CCATCTTTGGTTTCGGTCAAGATCGTCGGGAGGACTTTTTGCTGCTCAAGCTTTTCCAGGTACGATGCCTGGTTTGTGGATGACTCACTGCCTAATCATTACACACAGCTTTCTGTGCAGGAGGAAGTGAGAAGCGCTGCCACTGTTCACGATATTATCCACGGCCACCCTGTGTACATCAACAGCGCTGTGCCGTATGTTCGTGCCAAGCTGAACAACTATGTCCGGGAATCACTCCAGGGCATTGTCCGCCGCATCGTCGACCCTTCCCCCGCTGCTGGAGCCTCCGATCGACCTCGAGACCGATCCTCTGCGTTCGTGCTGTTGTGACCTTGTGACACGGCCATCGTGTAATGTTTTGCTAGATTTGGCGTGCTCGTGTCGAGCTCGAGGAAATTCACCTTGGGACTGCTACAAACAAGCGCAAGGATCTCAATTTCCGCGAAGCGATTGAAGATCTGCCTACCCGAACTGCCTACGTACAAGGTATTCATTTCCTGCGACTTTCGATCTGGATAGATTCTGATGCGTGCATTCCAGCTCTCGAACGCTGCAAGACTGTACACAGTGTTTATCACTGCCCTGACCCAGTCCGTCAAGCGCATGCCATATAGCATCCGATATCTGGCCAGGGAGACGTTGATTGCGCTTAAGGTAAGTGTTTACGTGCGTAGGATCACCACGGATTGTGTGCTCACCACAGCAGGAACGGTTCCAGATGCTACAGATACGATGTATGCTGCATGCATCGGCCGACTGGTCTACTACCGCTGTATCAATCCTGCCATTGTGTAAGCCCCACCACGCAGGACCTGTTTTACGTGATTGATTAGTGCTCCAGGCCTCCGGGACTTTGATTTAGTCTCAAAAACTATTGACCGGCGATGCTCGTAGAAATCTGGACCAAATCTCACGAGTCCTCACACAGATCACGTCTGGCACCGAATTCGACGAGGACTGCCCATATACTCCAATCAACGAGTTTGTACGCACGGCTATCAGAGAGGACTGCATGGTTGCTTGAAGGTGAGACTGCAAACTCTGCGGGGCGATTCCTCACACGTTTCCCAGTTGCAAATGTCCGGACCGCGGATTTTCACTTCCATGCCCACGAGTTCCTTGACGCCACTGTTCCACCGAAGCCGATCTACATATCCCGAATGAAATCTACACCATGCACGGCTGCTTGGACATACCAAGATGCAATTGTAAGCCGTTCGTTCACTCTGTTGACCGCACTGCTGATGATCTGAAGGCTCCTCCATCCTCTAACGACCCTCTCCGCGCGATCTTGTCTGAGCTCGGTGGTGTCCCCAATCTGGGTTCGGACGAATTGAAAGATGCGAGAGACCAAGCGATTACTCTTGAACTGACGAATCGGTTCGCTAATGTCCGAGGTGTGTTTCGCCTTTCCCCCCTTTTTCCTGTATCTGCTGCTTATCATCGACATGCATAGACCCACATGCGGAGGAAAAGACGTTGTGGGTTCAGGCGAAACGGGCGTTCTGATGGTTCTGAAAGTGCATCCGGACGAAAATCTCTTCGAGGCGTTGTTGCGGGAGGTTACTCCAGACGACGAGATGATTTGGGAGGACATCTTGGAGAGCGAGGCGCAGCATGAGCAGGCTGGACACAGCCGACGGCAGCCGTCCACCACGGTTGGCGATGCTGCTTACCGCTTGGATGACATCAGCTCGTGAGTCGTGCGACAGGTTGCCGAATATCGCTCACCACGTTCCCATCCCAGATTCAACTTTGCGCATGTCAAGCTGCGCACGATCGAGTTCCTGATCAAGCTCGAGAAACTGGGCAAAGTATCGCGCAGTGATGGTTTCCAGGGCATCCTCAACGCGATCGCTGCCGACGTGCGGAGCAAGCACCGGAAACGGATCCAAAGGCAGCAGGAGATGGAGTCGATGACCGAGGCTCTGCAGCATCTGGCTGAGAACAAGAAGCAGCTGGAGGAGAAGATCAACAGCTATCACAGTTATGCTGAGGCTGCGATGCAGACTATGCAACGCGGTGGCGGTAAAAAGTGCGTGACTCATTGTGATGCGTTTGCTTGATTGAAACTGATTCGCTTTGCGCTGCAGACGGAAACAGCTGGTACTGCCGTTTACGAAGCAGTACTTCCATCTGCGAGACTTGCAGCGGTCTGGCGAGACGCCGCAGTTCGGGTCTTTCTTGTACACGGCCAGTACTTGTACGAGAAGGGTATCCTGCTCTCTGTGGACCAGTTCTCCCCGCGACAGTTCGACAAGCTGCACATCACGATGTCGTCGAACACTCCCGGAGTATTTACACTCCTGCTCGAGTCGGTTGCGACGGGCATTACGACCAAGATTGCGAGCGAGGATGTGAAGATGGAGGACCTGCTCCAGGCCAAGTACGAGAAACGGCCGTTTTTGTCGCTGTTCAACGGCAAGGCCAAGGTGAACTTTGAGCGGTTCCTCGTCCAGATCAACAAGAAGTGCGTATTATGTTTCCACATTGCGGGTTGGGGGTCTCTGACGGGTTGGTGCAGATTTTACACATGAACCAAGAAACATGCCAACGACTGCGACGAATTGCGACGACCTAATTTTCATCTGTGTTATCTTACCCACTATCATTTGTACCGCTATGCATCACTGCCGTGTATCAGTAATCGAATCGAATTGCTTGTAGATTTCGTCTCGTAGGGCTACTCGTTTGCGTCGTCATGGGCTGAAAATGCCAACTGATAACAAGGCGGACACGCTATTGACTTACTCCCTACCTCCCCCCACTTTCCACCACTGAGTGTTGTACTGCACCATCGAATGGAAATTATATGTTTGTAGCTGCCAGGGTCTTCATGGCGTGAAGCGAAATGCGGGGTCCCTGTCGCCGATGGGGGCGCTGGTCAAGCCCGCATCGCGCAGGGCGTTGTAGGCAGTGATATTACCGTGACGCCGGCCCTGCGCTCTGGCCTGTTCTCCCGGAAGACGTGCAGTCTGCTGGGGTGTTAGTAGTCGGTCCAGCGCTGAGCTGAGGAGGTGCGTGACGACGTACACGTGGACGGCGATCATGAACCAGGCGAGGATGAGGAATCCGAGGACGATGCTGCAGCGTAGCCGGTCAGTGGCAGGATTCTGCTGCGTGACAGATATCGGGAAGCAAGAACAGACCTGTGACCTTTGATGTACTTGGGGGCCTGGTCAGTCGTGTAGATGTTTGTGGCGATGAATCCACTGAGGCTCGATTGTGACAAATCAATCCAAAATAGGGTTCAATTCACCCGGCATTTCCGATCGCCAGCTGCAGGGCCTGAAAGCAAGGATATATGTCAAAAAAGGATGCTGTGACCGAAAACGTCTGAATCACGGTTGTAGTGGCGCGCTTGTAGTAGCCGCTGCTGTTATTCGGTAGGATGGAAAGGATCGCAGGTCCACTCGGATATACACCCGCGGCTGTCAATTCACTTAGAAAGATGAGCACAAAGGAAGGTTCTCAGATCAACGCACCGATCAAGAAGACGGCTCCGTAACGCTGAGCGTTAGTTTTCGCAGCAATGGCGAGGATGTATCCTGTCTACGCACGCTGAAATGAGCACGGCACTAAAGCGGCATGGGATATCTTACAATAGCAAAAGGAAGACATATCAGGATAAACGGCCCGCGCCACTTCAGTCGATCACTGAGAAACGCGACCAGCACTGGACCATGCCAATCAGATGCGAGCAGGGACGGAGTGCTACAGGATCATACCTGTGAGAACGGTCGCAGGAACATAGGGCGGGACGGTGTGCAGCTGGGCGGATTTGCCGGTGTAGTTCAGACCGGCCACAATCGTCGGCAGGAATAGTGAGAACGAGTAGAGCGAAACGATCAGCCCCAGGTAGGCGATACCAGTCACCCAGGTCTGGAAGTCCGTCAAACCTGGCCAGAGACATTTAAGCGCGGTATAAATGAGATACTGAACGTTATTCACCTCGCACGACCTCTCTCCACTCGAATTTCTCGTCCGTCAGATGAACTACGGGAGCATCAGATGGTCCGGCATTTTCCGTGATCGACGTCTCGCCCTTCTCGGACGTCTCGACAGGGGCCTCGTAAACGACCCCGTGGAATCTGTTTACTACGTCGAGAGTCAGCGTACACCTGTGGATGATTTTCCCCATTACATGCAAATCTTCTCTCTTCCGGTGTAAGAAACGATGCCGTCGCGATCCCCTCAGGCATGAAGTAGGCGGCGATAATGCTTACGACCACAGTGGCCAAACCTGCGAGTCATTATTAGATACCAAAATTACTCAGCGCCAAAAATAGACACCTTCGATGACGAATATCCATTTCCAGCCGGCCAGTCCGCCGAGGCCGTCCATAGACAGGATTCCAGTCGCAAGCAGACCTGTGTGTGTTTGGATCGTACTATGTCACAGACAGGCAGGAGATTTATTACCTCCAAAGGCCCGGAAAGCGAAGCCGACGCGTAGAATATCCCGACACTGGCGAATATTGTCACCAAGAAGCATCCAGTTCCGGGCTTATCTACCTACCGGAGTTGCAGTTCGTGTGGTTTATAGATAGTACTCAGATAGAGAATCTTCGGGGCAGCCGTCAGACAGCGATGGTGAGATGGAAATAGCACGTACCATGCCTGGAAGTAACCACCTGCGGCGGATGCACGTCAGCACAAACAGAGCATACTTCTTGAACCAACGCGCCTTCGCACATCCCCAGAGCGAGGCGAATGGCGATCAGTCCGCCAAAGTTGTGCACAAAGCAGGTCATGATTGTCACGGCGCCCCACAAGAAGACGATCAGAGGGAGCCATCGCTGCAAAAGGTGAACGTCCGGTGCAGATCGCAGGGGCAGGCGGGAATACGTGGCTTTCATCCTCTTGAGGATGAGGTTCGAGGGTATTTCGGAGGCGAGGTAGCTACGGAGAGAGTTAAAAAAGCGGCGGGAATGCGCGGGGATGTTCACGTCAGGTAGAAGACTACAGCGCGCCAATGAGTGCATTGCCTCTGGTGGAGATGGAGAACCACGCTTCTCACCGGTGAGAACGATGTTGAACTGATTTCCATGCAGGCCAGTGCTCTTCTCGAGGCCTGGTGTCGCTCAGCCCAAGTCGTCCATGGCAGAATCGACCCACCAGCAATTCGCGCGTCTAAAAGCCGTGGATTTGTCGATCACAATCGATATGTTTCGATTACTCACTGCCAACGTTGGATCGATCTATAAAATTACAGAGCCTAGTGGCGAGGGCGCGTCAGAATGGCAGCCACTTGGGCATGTGAGCAGGCACACCAGAGCAGCGCCAGAGGAGGCAGGACATGACAGTCGAGCTTCCACAAGATCTATACCCTTTCAGAATGGCATCTGGGCGCAACGGATCCCAACGCAGGACGGACCTTCCTGGTCAAAGCGCGCTCTTCACGATCGCGATCAAGAGCGTCTGGAGAGGAAGCCATGCAGGGAGAGGGATCAAATGAGGCACCAAGTATTCATCTCGGTCTAGCGAGGTTATATAACGAGAATGTTGACGTGAAGCCGCGAGAGAGTTCATCTGGAAGAACGCTAGTGCGCGGTCATGGGACGCCATTTAAAGACCAGCTGAGCCGTCCATTGATCATAACCACTTGTCCATAGCAGATGCGAGGGAAACGGGGTTGCGGTCTGACAACTCAATGCAGTTTAGGCGTGGGACTGGGAAAATGTAGAGTAATTTTGGATGGATGGATGGATGGATTTACCGCATGGGTCCCTGTGCGGAACGGAGGAGCTCTGTACGTACACACACTGGCCTATGGTGTATGCTGCAGACAATCAGCGAACACCTGCAGTGCAATCGAGATACACCAGGGTAATCGTCTCATGCAATAGCTTCGTTGATTGGGTTGGGTTCGTACATAAGATCGGCTGCGCGGATGGTACATCGAAAAGGGGCCGCGCATGGTAACACCGGTTGGATATGTATCGTGCACCGCTTGGACTGGGAGATTGGAAGATCATGTGATACGTGATCGGTGCATAGCCACTCAGAGCCTGTGAATCCAGCCTGTACTTCACTGTACGATCATGTCCGTTCCCGGGGCGGCGTTCGGGCCACTGCCATTTGGTTGGACTCAACATCAAAGTGCGCCATGCCCTAATTTGAATCTAGGACTCCCCAAGTAACATTCGACAGGCCCCACCGACAGCTGTACTACCACAACGTCAACACGAAGGAGTCCACCTACACGCGCCCCCTCCCGCCACCCCCCGCGCAGGAGAAGAAGAAGAAAGAGAAGCCGCTCGTGAAGACGCCGATCCCGGGCACGGACTGGATACGCGTGCAGACGACCGAGGGCAACACGTTCTACTCGCACAAAATCGACAAGAAGAGTGTGTGGGTCGTGCCGGATGAGATTCGCGCGGCTGTGCAGGCGATGGATGACGCCCACGGGGAGGACGACGGCGTGGCGCACGAGATCGACAGGGTCAAGAGCGAGGTGGCCGCGGCCGTGAAGCGCAAAGCGGAGGATCCGACCGTTACGGGAAAGCCGGCGGTCTCGAAGAAGGCGAAAGTGGAGGAAGTAGGCGAGGACGACGAGGAGGACAGTGAAGATGGAGACGAGGTAGAGGAGGATTGGGAGAAGGAGGCCGCTGCTCAACTGGAGGCAGAGGCGGAGGAGGAAATGCAGCGACAGAGGGACGAGACGGAACGCGTCAAGGCGGAGGCTGCAGCGGAAGCCGAGCGTCTGCGCAAGGAGTCTATCCGTCTTAACCTTCCCGACCGCGTTGATCTATCAGTGGAAGAGGGCAAGGCGCTCTTCAAGGCGGGTTGGCATCATATCACCTGGAACCATTGTTCTAATAATCTAATCTCCAGACACTTCTCCGTGAAAAGGATATCAATCCGTTACAACCATGGGATGCGGCCCTGCCCCTGTTCGTATCTGACCCTCGCTACGTCTTGCTTTCGTCTGTTTCTGCCCGACGGGAGGCCTTCGATGATTACTGCCGGGAGCGCGCGCGCGAGCTACGACAAGCGAACGTCAAGAAGGAGGTAGAGACTCTGACCCCGAAGGAAGAGTTCGAACGGTTCCTGAAGGACGAAGTCAAAAGCACACGAACCAATTGGTCCGAGTTCCGCCGGACCTGGAAGAAGGATCGCCGGTTCTATGGCTGGGGTCGTGACGATCGAGAACGGGAAAAGAAGTTCAAAGAGTGGATCAAGGAGTTGGGTGAAAGTGAGTCGTCAGGTTGTCTCTTTCGACATGTGCTCAGGTCGCAGAAAAACGGGCCGCTGCTCTCAAAGCAGAGTCAGACTTCTTTGCTCTACTGCGCGAGAATCTCATCGGGAAACCAAGTATGCCTTGGAAAGATGTACGCCAGCAATCCCAGGCTTTGCATTGCTTATTGACGTCGTGCAGGCGAAGCGTGGGCTTGCGAAGGACCCCCGGTACGACGCTGTGGGTCTTCGTCACTTCGCGAGGAACTGTACGATACTTTCATGAAGGGCAATGCGTTGAGCAGTGCGTCAGGCTCCAAGGCGATTGAAAAGGAGGAAGATAAACCTGAGGAGGAGACGTACGAAGAACAGCAGAGAAAACGGAAGGAGAGAGCTTCACAGGCTCTGAAAGACCGGGAAAGTAAGGTGAAAGCTGATATGGAGCGAGTGGATGCTCAGATTGGGCGCTCGCGGCAGATCAGTGACAAGGAGGAGGGCGAGCTTTTGTTCAAGTGCGTTTTTCATTACTGTTGTTTAGCCCTGGAGGAGAGTTTGAGCTCTGATCTGTAGGAGTCTGTTGACAGACGCAGTGCGGGATCCACAGGTAAGCATGGTATGTTCTTCGGCTTAAGACAGCAGCTGATTGTGCTTGTGGCAGATGACCTGGGACGTTGTTGTTCCCTTATTGTCAGCGGACCCGCGGTTCCAGCTCTCGCCTCTTTCGACGGGTACACAGCGGGGCCTGTTCAATGCACATGTGAATCATCTGCGCTCCAGGCACATGGCGTCACTTCACGCGTTGTTCGAGCAACAAGCGCCATCACTGGTAACTGAATTCGACGCGTTGCCGCTGTCCGAGCTACTCGATGCACCGCCCGTCACGAGATTAGGCTTCGATGTTCGTGCGCTCGAGGATGAATTCAGCCGCTGGCGCAGACAACGAACGAGCGACTGTCGCAAAGCCTTCGACGAGATGCTAGCAGAGAACGCATTCATCGAATTCTGGGGGAAACTGAGGAAAATCGGGGGTGAAGGGGTGCGAAGGCTCTACTATTGTTAGGATGGACGGCTAATGCGCGGTACTCAGGTTGACGGCGGAGTCAAAGCTGACGAGGAAGGGATGAACGAAGATGAAGGGGCCGGTGGCGGGGGCAAAGTCGACATGAAAGTGCTCGCCAAGAGCGTTGATGTTGCTGAGATTGAGAAAGTTCTGAAGGTATATCGCTTCCTCTTCTTGTTTTGCCCTCACTGAGCTTTGGTAGAACGACAAGAGGTATGTGATGTTTGATCATGTTCCAGAACAAAGGGAGCAATGGATCAGGGTGAGTCTACCTTTCTCAAAGATTTCAAGATTAATCATGCTTGATAGACTTACTTGTCTGAGCTACCTCCGCCTCGACTGTCTGTTCATGTGCCTTGATCATCTACATTTCGTTTCTACCTGTTTGATCATCTACATCACGTAATCTATTATGTGGGTCAAAGCGCTCATCCACGCAATTGCTACATTGGATCTACGCATGCAAGCATGCAGCACTTAGGTTCCTGTCATATCCATGAAATCCTCCCGTCGAAGCAAGCACAAAGACAGTGACGTACTGAGAAGTTGTGTTCGATAGTTACGCGTTAAACACATGACCGCAGTGCAGATCCATGTGATCGCGTTTCTTCGGTGCTACGTGTCGCCACGATTGCATCCTGAACTTGCTTCGTACCCTGGTATAAAAGCCTAGCCGCGCCTTACTCGCGCGACAACCGTGCCTCGAGGATGCGTTTTCTCGGTTCACTCCTTCTTTCACTCTCGCTTGTCTCCGCGTACGCCCAGGACTTGAATGCCCAGGACGTGCCCAAGGAGAAACACAACTACCAGGTCCCTAGCCCACCGCCTTAGCCCGCACGCACTCAGAGCTCACTGGACGTTTGCAGAGCGATGTCGCCCGTCTTCGCAAGATCGTGATCAACAGCCTCTACTCGCACAAGGAAATCTTCCTGCGTGAACTCATCTCGAATGCCAATGTACGCCGGAGAGCGCGCACCCGTCCGGCTTGACTCTGACGCACCTACTCACAGGACGCCGTGGAGAAGCTACGACTGACGTCCCTCAAGGACAAGTCGCTCTGGGACGGCAGCGAGCTGAACATCACCATCGTGGCTGTGAAGGACGAGGACGGCAAGGGCGGTCGTCTCATCATTTCCGGTGCGCCGCCTTACGTACGCTTGGACAGCGCGGACCGCTGACGAGAATACAGACACCGGCATTGGCATGACGCCTGCTGAGCTGTCCACTAACCTCGTTCGTACTCGTCCAAGGCTCTGTGATCGGAGCACTAACCAGTTCTCTAGGGTACTCTGGCCAAGTCTGGCACATCCGACTTCCTCGCTCAGGCCGATTCTTCCGACGCCACGGGCACGGGCAACTTGATTGGTGCTTTCGGTCTCGGTTTCTACAGCAGTTTCCTCGTCGCGGACCGTGTGCAGGTCGCCTCCATCTCTCCCAAGTCAGAAAAGAACCCGACTCCCGCGCAACACGTCTTCACATCCAGCGCCGACGACAGCTCGTACGAGATCTTCGCTGACCCTCGCGGCGCGACGCTCGGCAGTCATGGAACGGAGATCACCCTGTTCTTGAAACCCGATGCGGTCGAGTACCTTGACACGGACAAGCTTACTGCCTTGGTCAACAAGCACTCGTCGTATTCATCCACGTTCCCCATCTACCTCTTCACTCAAACAGAGGATGAAGTCCCTGTCGAGGATGAGGTTAAGGAGCCCGTCGTAGTCGATGACGAGGCCGCGGCGCAGAAGCCTTTGGACGACGATGAGGCTGTTGTCGAGGACGCCTTCGAAGAGGATAAGGCTACACCTGCTCCACCGAAGACCAAGAAAGTCATCGTCGACGAGTGGGTCAAGTTGAACGCTCTTCCTCCGTTGTGGATGCGTCCACCTTCTGAGGCTGCTGACGGTGAGTAACGACTCTCATCAAAGTTGGACCCCTATTCATCGCCCGGACAGAGGACTACGAATTGTTCTACACTGCGTTCTGGAAGGACTTCAACAAGCCTTTGGGCTGGTCGCACTTCTCTGGTGACTCCGAGTCAGGGACTTCGTTCAAGTCTATTATCTATCTTCCCAGCAAGCTGTAAGTGAATGATTTCGCACACTGTTGTTGTTGTTCACGACCGCAGGGGCGAGGAATACTGGAAGCAGCCGTTGGCATACAAGTCGAATGACATCAAACTGATGGTCAAGCGCGTGTTCATCACCTCGGATCTAGGTGACAACGTCCTTCCCAGCTGGGCTGCTTGGCTCAAAGCTGTTGTTGATGGTGAGTCTGCCTATTCTCTTATTCTTGGTGTGGAGATGAACGTCATGCGCAGCCGAGGATCTGCCTCTGAATGTTTCGCGAGAGACCCTGCAATCGACCCGTTTCCTGAGGCAATTGAAGACAATTCTTTTGAAGCGTGTCATCCAGCTCTTCACTCGTATTTCTGAGGAAGACGAGAGAAGTTCAAAAAGGTCATCGAGGTCTACGGCAACGTTTTCAAACTGGGCGCCGTGGAAGACGCCAAGAATGCTGACAAGCTTCTCGGTTTGGTTCGTTTCTCCACCAACCAGAGGAACTTCACCTCGCTCGGACAGTATGGGAAAACAAGAAGCAGGGCCAGAAGCAGGTGCGTCTGGTATGCTCTATGCGCTGGATTGATCTCATTGCGTGACTAGATCTTCTACCTGGCTGAGATGGGCAAGACCATCGATGACCTCGCCCAGAGCGTGTTTGTCGAGAAGCTCCACGCTCGAGGATACGAGGTTCTCCTGCTCAACGAGCCGCTTGACGAGATTCTCGTGCAGAACCTGAGACAGTACAAAAACTTGCCCTTCCAGGATGTCGCCAAAGCCGGACTCAAGTTTGGTGACGAAGGTGCGCTTGTATGTCTTTGTTGTCGGAACACGAGCTCACCAGGCGTCAGATGTCGAGGCTGAGGAAAAGGCCGAGCGCGAGGAAATGACTGTCAAGTTCGAGCCGCTGATCAAGTACCTCAAGGAGCACAGCAGCGACACTGTCCGTGATGGCAAGTCGTATTGCTTCTTGTCAGCAACACCAGCTCATATATGCCAAACAGTTGTCATCTCTAACCGTTTGGTCACCAGCCCGTGCGCTGTTGTTGCGGAGAGCTACGGCTACACCGCGAATGTCGAGCGGATGATGGCGTCGTCGAACCAGAAACCCCAAAACGCGGCCATGCACGAGTTCGCTCGGAAGGCGAAGGTTCTCGAGATCAACGGCAAGTCGCCGTTGATCGAGGGTATGCTCAAGCGGGTCCAACAACTTCCCGAGGACGAGGAGGAGCGGGATTTGGAGGCTGAGAAGGAACTGGAAGAGGTGACTTCCATTCTGATCGATGGTGCTCTGGTGCGCTCTGGCTTTGAGGTTACCAACTCCAACACGTCAGTCGTTCTCTCGTGTTTCTTTCTCAAGCACTCAATATGATACAGGTTCTTCACTCGCGTCGACCGGGTTCTGCGTCGATCTCTGGGCGTTTCTGAGACGGCTCCAACGGACACCAAAGTGAAGCCGGCTCCGCCCGTTGACCCTGAACTGCCCACAGAAGAGGAGATGGCGGCGGCGGCAGCAGCAGCGGCAGAACCTATCCACGTCGACGTGCCACCATCACCGCCGCAACCGCAATGGGAAGTGGAGGAAGTCGACGAGTTTGGAGAACCCGTCGTCCGAGCCCATGACGAGCTATGATTTGGGTAGCTTAGCAGGATATCAAAAAATATCATTATAGTATCTGCAAGTGGTTAGTCCCTCAGGATGATCCGCCCTATGCAACATGCCTTCCTGGAGCGCTTGCGCAGATTGCTTATTTGCACTGCCACTGATACCTCATGATCGTTGATCGATGATCTTGGCGATCACTGAGTATCGACTGAGTCACGTCACTGACGCAATTATGCAACTTGATCTCTACGACTTGGTCTGTGGCGACCAGGACGCTAAAACGTCGTCTAAGGCTTGCTAATCTCGGCGATGTTGTTAAAAAAGTGTTGTCCGATCGATGTTGCTGTCCTTCAAATCCATGAGCCCTCGAGACGCCAAACCCTGGAGACCTTCGGAAGCACTGGTTTGTCCTCGACACACCTTTCATATTCTGACCGACTGGGAAACGTGCCGATAGCATCATCGATATTCGGTTCTCTTCAAGGCGATCGAGTGCTCCTTGACGGCGATGTTCAACACCCTTGCTATGTCATGTCAAGCCTCGTTACCCTTGATAACTGGACCCAGAGGCAGGGTCGCGACAGCACGATGACGTGCTGCGCAGGAGAGATCAAGTGGAGACGGAGACGATATGGAAGACGATGGATGAGCTTCGACGACGAGTACAACGGCGAAACCGATTGGGATGACAGCAAGCGGTCAGTGAACCTTCGTGTATACCGTTGGAATAGTCTATGTGCGCACTTGGAATGCTCACCACTTATCTCGTTACAGTTGACATGGCAAATAACTGAGCAACATGGGATATAAAAGCCCATGCAGCCCTCTGGATACCATTCAACAAAACACATTGCTTTCCACTTCAGCATCTTCATTTACTACACACACTCTTCACACAAAATGGTCGCCTTGCGCTTTACTTCACTCTTTCTGTTCATTTCTTCTGCCTTTGTTGTCGCTTCACCTCTTGCTCTGCGAGCACCGGTGATCGAGAAGCGTGCATCGATCGGGGGTATCGATGGCACCCTCCCGGGCATACAAGCTAACGGCGGGTCCGCCCTCGGCCAACGGGGTTGGTGCCGAATTCCCTTCGCATCTGCCAACTAACACCTCTCATGCTAGGTGGCTTGGGTGGCTTGGGTGGCGCCTTGGGTGGCTTAGGTGCTGCCGGTGCTGCTGGCGGTGCCGATGGTGCTGGCGGTGCCGGTGGCCTAGGAGGCGCCTTGGGTGGCTTAGTTGGTGCCGGCGGTGCCGGTGGCCTAGGCGGTGCCTTGGGTGGCCTAGGCGGTGCCGGTGGTGCCGGTGGCTTAGGCGGTGCTCTGGGTGGCCTAGGCGGTGCAGGAGGTGCAGGAGGTGCAGCTGGCGCAGGTGGCGGAGCTGATCTCGGCGGCCTCCTCCAACAGATTCAAGGCGCTGTGAAGCGTGAAACTGCCCCCCAGATTGCCCGGACCGTCTCGGCTCTAATCGCTGTACGTTCGCCTCCTTGTGGATTGCCTATTATCTGACATCAACCAGCGACTTGACGAGTACGGCGTGAGTCTCGAGGATGCCGATAAGGATGAAGCAACTACTTCGAAGAGAGCCGCAGATAAGAAAAAGAAAACCGGCTTGAAGAAAGCCATTGGTAAGGGCAAAAAAGCCAGTCCCAAGAAAGCCGCCGCAAAGGTCGAAGACACCGATTGAGCCTCCCGGAGTGGCCAACATGTGCGTGTCGTACCATCTCCCATCAATCATCCTAGCTCACACAGTGACGTAGCTTCGGTAGACCTGGAGTACTCTGGGGATCTACACAGTCAGCTAAATTGCACATCTAGTCTTCACACTCATTGTATTCAATATCATAAATCCATGTTGGAGTACCTGCCAGTCTGAAATCGAGAATCTCAGACGATGAGCTCATTTCTAGTATAATTCGATTGAATCAACAAATCGGGTCAATGGTAGACTTGACCAGGAGGCTTGATCTGCTTCAGTCGAGGCGATCAATCACGTGCATCAACGCACGACTCGGGCGTATTCAGCTTTTCACAATCCTCTTCGATGAGCAAGGACAAGTCGGAGAAGAAGGACAAGAAGAGGAAGAGCGATGATGTCGAGGACGGAGATGTAACGATGGAGCAGCCAGCTGTACGCTGCACAACGTTTCTACCGCGCTCAACCTTAATTGCATCGCCAGTCTCCGAAAAAAGCCAAGAAGGAGAAGGAAGAGATTGTGATCCCTCCCGAAGACCTCTCTCCTCTTGCCCATCCGCTTGCGCAGAAAAAACTACTGAAGAAGCTGCACAAAACCATCAAAAAAGGTCCGCACGCGCAACGCTTGGAAGTAGATCAAGTTGCCTGAATCTCAACTTGTTCCTAGCGTCCAAGGCGCGACAGGTGAAGAGAGGAGTCAAGGAGGTAGTAAAGGGGATCCGCAAGGGAGAGAAAGGGTGCGTTGCTCTTCCTGAGATTTGGTGGAGGCTCAGCTGACGACTACTTGAACAGATTGCTCGTTCTCGCTGCGGATATAAATCCCATCGACATCATTTCACATCTCCCTGTCCTCAGCGAAGAGGCCCAGATACCTTATATCTTCGTCTCTTCCAAGGAGGAGCTGGGAAACGCCAGCTCGACGAAACGACCGACCAGTTGTGTGATGATATGTCCCGACCAGAAAAAGAGGGGGAAAGCAAAAGAGGGAGAGACAGAGAAGGACGACGATTACCGAGAACTGTACGAGGAAGTCTACAAAGAAGTAGAGACGTTAGATACCGCCATAGCTTTCTAGGCTACAATGACTTTTTGGGGCTACCATGCCATCTCACATGAAGGAAATATCTCAGCAACTGTTCCTGATTTCCCATCATCAGCAGTCTTTTCCTTTCCGCATCTCGCGAGCACTACTATACCCTCCTCTTCGCATTCTCTTGCATAAACTATGGCCCCCAACCCAAAATCGGCCCCCGCGAACGGCGTAGCTGCCCAAGGAAAGGCCCCCTCCACAAACGGGACCACTACGCCTGCTGAGAAAAAGGACACGTCGGAGCACGTTGGTCGGCCGGACAAGAAGGAGTTCGACGCCGAACAGGACAAAATCAAGTCCGACATTGACGCCCTCCAAGTGAAGCTGGTTCGTGTAGTTTCTCGCCGTCCCACGGTACGGTTGCTCCAATTGAGCTGTCTAGACTGCTGTGCGAGACAAAATCTCTCTGGTCACCAAGTCCGGCTCTGGCAATGACCGTCGGTCTGTTCTGCGTGCAGAACTCGACAGCATTCGCGGTCAGCAATCGACTAACAAAACGTCGCGCGCCAAAATATTCGACCAGGTCAAAACTCTCAACGACGGGATCCAGAAAAAGGTTCGGCTCGTACGACCTCCGTCGCTTACTCGCACGCTGAATACCCTGTCACCCAGGTCAAAGATCTCCAAGCTGCCAAAGCCAAGACACCATTCAAGACCGTCGCTGAGGTCGAGGCTCATATTAAGTACGTGCAGCGTTACGGTGTGCTGTCGGGTCAATCTCCGGTCTGACCTCGGCCCTCAGACAGCTTGAACGCCAAGTCGAGAGCGGTAGTATGAAACTTGCCGAGGAAAAACGAGCCCTCGCCGAGATCACTGTGCAGAAGCGCAACCGGCGCAACGTGGAGGCATTCCAGACCGAGCAAGAAGCCATCGACAAGGACCGGGCCACCCTTGATGAATTGCGCAAGCAGCTCGATGACCCTGTTGCCAAGGCTGCATCCGAGCGTTATGACGCGATCAAAGCCGAACTCGATGAGCTGAAGAAAGAGGGTGACGAGCTGTATGCTGGTCGGGCCAAGCTTTTCGAGGAGCGAGACAAGCTGCAGGCGGAAATCAACACCCTCTGGGACGAGAAACGGGAGTCGTCCGCGCGTTTCCGTGAGCGTAACGACCACTACTGGACCAAGGTCAACGAGGACAGGGCCAGGAGGGCCGAGCGGGCACGGGCCCAGCGTGCTGCCGAGGAGCTTGCCAAGAAGCAGGAACGGGCCGAGAGGATCCGCGAGGAGGCCGAGCACCCTGCTTTCCAGGCTGAGATCGAGGACTGCCAAACCCTGATTGATTTCTTCTCGGGCAAAACCACTGGCGCAGTGGTGCTTAAAACCGCTCCGCCGCTTGTTGCGAAGACGGACGTTGCCGGTGTGCCGAAATTGGAACTCCGTAAAGTCGAAGCCGCCACCGACGGTCTTGTTGTGCGGAAGAAGAAGGGTGAGGAGGAGCAGTCCTATTTTGTCGCCAAAGGCAAGGGCAAAGGCAAGAAGGCTCCGGCCAAGGAAGTAGAGACGCCTGCTTCGTCATCAAGCGCTCTGAACATCCCGCTTGCGACACTGTCTGCTCTGCTGTCGCTGTCAATCCCGGCGCCTGCGTCCAACGTTGATCTTCCCCGCGTAATTGAGGACTTGAAGACCAAGAAGGAGTGGTTCGCAGCGAACCAGAGCCGGGTCACCGCCGAGAACATCGCCAAAGCAGAGAAGGAGATCAAGAGTCTCGCTGCGAAGGAGGCTTCGGCAGAGGAGGACAAGGCGAATGGCGATGCATCTCCAGCGACGCCTGAAGTGTCGAGCGAGCAGGTCGCTGACGCGGTCGAGTCTTGATAGGTTGTTACATAGCACGGAGTCTTAATATTATCTGCCGAAGTAAAAGTCCCATATATATTGATAACAAATCCGCGCAGGGATCCCTGTACAGTATTAAGGAGCGTAGGAGCTTGTGGGATAAAGAATAGTACAGATCAAATATCGACAGAAAACAAGAACAGCGGACAGCAAGATCAAACTTTAAGCAGTCGGTTGTGGCTCAGCCTTGACAGGCTCTACATCGTTTTCGGACTCGCTGCCTGGTGTCGAGGAATGCAGGGCCAGCTCCGACGAGAATCCAGACACATCAAAAGAATTGGCGGGATTCGAGAAATCCCCGAACGACATGGACGAGTTGTGCACTGCCGGCAACGAATCGTCCTGTGTCGGGGATGTGTCCATATAAGACAGGGCCCCATAATCTGAGCTGAATCCTGTCGAACTAGGATCAAGAGATCCTTGAGGGAATGGATCGTTCTGCAGGGCTGCGAGCATGCTCGATGTAGTTGGCGTGTGGGCCATCATATGCGAGGGCCGCACTTCCAACGAGCCAAATGTCTCCTGCCCGGCCATCGGGGACAGGGTAAAGAACTGTTGCTGCATCACTGGTTCGACAGACGCAGCAACTGAGTTTGTCGACAACGCAACACTTCTCAACACGTTTACTGCAATCCAGTCGCTGCAAAACACATGAGCGCGTTGGTGAACACGTCGAGCGAGAACACGCACTCGAGAAACAGCTTCATGATCTGAAATGCCCCGAAAGCCGGGTCGCTGCGAATGGTCTGAAGAGAAAAGTCAGTACCAATCCACGCAACGGAAAGCGTGAGAACGCACGAGGTCTCTCATCACCTGACTTGTGACATATCCCCAACGAATAAGCACGCTGCGCGAGCTCATCGTGCTCCGCTCCTCTGGCCCACCATGAGTAGCCCGGCTGCTGCCCATCAAACGTTCACAGCACTTGTCTGCCCACGACATCACCTCTCGCACAGGCTCGGTGCTCTTCGCCAATCCGTCCAACAACGATACAAACTCGACCTCCAGAAGTTGCACCAGCTCCTCGTGACGGCAATTGCACACCAATGCAGACTGGTTGCGCACAGACTCAAAGTCCACTTTCTGCCACGAGCGCCGCATCTCACCCAGCTGCTTCTGGTTCGTCAGCACGGTCGTCAGAGCTTGAGTGACCTGGTAGATATCCAGGAAACGCACTGTCAAGGTCCTCAGCCACAGTCAAGAAGAGTAAACGCATGTACGCACGGACAAGATGTCCAAAGCGAGCTCCCAATTCTACTTTGGGCTCGACGAATGTGTTCCCGTAGTTTTCGAGCGCCACCAGTAGGATCTTTTCCATTTTGTTGGCAAGCTGGCGAAGATTGGCGAGAGCTGCTGGTGTGATCGGAGACAACATCTGCGAGCGAAGAAACTCGAGAATTTCCTGCAGCACGACACATGAGAATACTGCACCGAAAGCATGCATGTGAGTGGAGCGACGTACATCGTATACAATCGCATCCGCCTTGGCCATCAAACCTGCAATTGCCGGGGCGTGCACGACTTCGCGGTGATTCCCGCCCAAATTGGACCAAAACGTCCGCAGATGCATCTCGAATTGATCGAAGCGGTATGACCGCACACTCTCCAACAGCAGATCAAGATGGTCCTGAAACCAGCCCCAGACGTCGCGTGCGGCAATCCCGTGTGGAGTAGTCGGATTCACACCAACCGCCTCTTCGATCGATGGGAAATGAGGTAATTGGCGGACCGATGCGGGCTGCTGCGTCCCCATGTACGGCACCATATTGCCTGCCGGAGGTGAGTGGGATTGCACCCCAAGCGGCCCATCCTGCGTGGGATGCCTGCGGATCGAGGCCTGATGCGGAAACGTTCCCGGGCGCTGGGCGGCTTGGGCCTGAGACAATAACGTCGCGGCTGTCGGCGTCTTGTCACTAAGATCTTGAGCGAAGACGGCTCCTTTAACATCAGGGCCCAATGACAATGAGTTGCGCTTCGAGCCGACGGCTGAGCTGATACCTTCCGAATCTTCGTCATCGTCTTCGTCCGAGCGATCTTCGGCCCGACTCGCCCCACCCTCCGACTGGTCGTTAGGCCGCACAGCGTTGACCGAGGCCTGAGCAGCATTGTTGTTGGACTTGTGAATATAGTCCTGAAGCCATTCTGCTTCCGCCGACGTCGCAGGCCGGATCCCACAATCTATCGATCACAGGATTAGGAATGATGCATCAAGGAAAGAAGGGACTGACAATGGTATTTGCTGTTGCCTCGCACTCCGAGCCGCCGTGTTTTGATAGTGGGAAAACACAGCCTGATGGCCTTTCCCAATGTCGCCGTATTGATATGCGGGATCCCATACTGGTCACATACACGTCGATACGAAAAGTACAGGCCTTGTCGAGGTACATTGCCGTCCGGATAGGGAGCATAGTTGGCTGTTAACCTGCGAGGTTCAAGTCAATGTAGAGCGAGGAGGCATGTGTTACAGATGGGCGCACCATGCTTGAACGAAGATCTGTTTTGCCCTATCCGAAGCACTAGTCGTTGTTGCCGCACGAACATTCGCGGCTAGCTTTTCTAGTGCATGATCCGGGGAGATGGTCATACGGCCAAAGGCACCGGCCGTGTGCATTGTTTCCTGATGATTGGGCGTGATGGACTGCGGGGCAGCGTACATGGGGTGATACTCCGTGGCAGCGGAGTGGTTTCCGAGATACATGGAAAGGTCGTCCGTCTCACTGGAGGATGAATGCACCGAGTCGGTATCGCGAGGATAGGGGGACGCGGCAGCGCGCGCGCGTATGTGGCTGGGTCGAAGATGATTTTTGAGGGCGGGATTAGTGATATTGTGGTTCGGAGGCGACTGCGCGAGCTGGGGGCAATAGCTCAGCACAGGTGACAGAGGAGGTAAAGAGAGGGAGAGGGACGTACGTGATCACCGAGACCGCCACTAGGATGACCAAGCTGATACGACACCCGATACAGATCCTCCTGAGTTGGCCCCATTCCCGACATGTGAAGTCCACTGGAGGACTGGGGACGCGAGTTGGACGAGTGGGTGGACGACGAGCTAACCGAATTTGACCGAGAGTGGGAGGGTAAGAAGTCGAGCGCCATGTTGTTGGACATTTGCAGAGCCATCATGGTGAAGAAAAGAGGAGCGAAAGTGGGCCGGCCACGGGAAATAAAGACAGGATAATGTAGACGGCAGCGATGGGGACCAGCACGAGCGACTATACACTCGCAGGGCGCTACTTATTGCTGCCGCAAGTGACAGCGATGGCTTGGAATCCGAAAGATGGGGCTTTTTCTATGGCAACGGCCTTTATGTACTCCTCCCACGATGGCATTTCCAAAACGGTACAACCATTGCATATGTCAGTTTGTTCCCGTTCATTAAAAACCTCGGAAAATCGATTTCTAGCTCGCCCAGCGTGGTATACAGGGGATGCAACGTCTAATTACTCCCAGATGTTTCAATTTATGGAGGTCTGAAAAGTCTCAGGAACGATCCTGGGATGCAAGAAAAGCTTGCAGAGTCACAATTGAAAGCATATCTGACACCCGTACTCGGGACATGGCGGCCTCTGAGGACAATTGGCGGCATCCAAGTCCATCGAGTGCACCCGCACGACCCCGCTGTCCGACCGAGACGGTAAACAGATCGGTCCTTGAAACAGCTTGTCGACAGAGATATCTGTCCAGGAGCAGTCATCAGCAGCTGTCTGCGCCGGGCAGCGTACGTCGTCTCCCGACTCCCGACTTCCAGCCTCAAATCAGATCGAATCACAGCGCAGGAGAAGAAGACCAAAGCTGGCTTCTCGTCCCGACTGCTCGCTACCTTCTGCTCATCAGACTGCAATCGTCTGCGCACCTGATGACTGATTCCTGATGCCAAAGCAGATGGAATGCAGTGCGATCAAGGGGTGGATGTATGCCTGTTCCAGCTCCTGCCAGCACATCACTTGTCGGACCTCGCCGTGCGCGACCGAGGACAAAGCACTGCCCAGGGCTCGTCGTCATGTCGCTAGCTAGCGAGGCAGCCGAAGTGACGAGAAATCTATACAGAGCCCATGAACCCGAGACTTGAGTCCAATCGACAGGGTGAGGTTCTGCCATCTATTTCCGGACGTGTGAGAATAGGGATTCGAGTCGATGGATGCATTTGGAGATTCGGCGTAGATTCCTCCGCAGCTGATTTGTACGTGAGAGGTATAAAAGACGCGGTGCAAGCGGGTCAGAAGGACTCGGCTTTTCTCGAGGAAGACCAAGTCGTCGATATCTGCATCGGATGGCCCTCCCTTGTTTGATTGAGGGAGAGAAAGACACAGATCGCTCAGATCGTCACTCTGGTGAAGAGGTAACGTTCAGGATGTCCGGACTCGAGACTACTCGAGACTAGCGACTCTTGGCAATTCCCAGTGGATCACGGCTGCGTGCCGACATCAGCACGTGATACTTGGTGCGTCTGTCATTGTCACGACCACTGGTCGAATTGACCTCTTCCCTGCCTGTCCTATAGTGCGCTGCCTCGGGAATCTACGACTTGGGATCCTATCAAAGTGTTTCACAGTGGCGAGAAACCTCCTCGCCCACTATGCCTCCCAGAAAGAAAGCAGGAATAAATCCCAAGCAAAGCAAGCAGGTCAGAAGTCGCGCCCCCGTGTGGATGTGCTTTACGCGTCAAATGCTAAACCAAGTCAGCAATCCTTATTAGACCACTTTATTAAACGTCCTGCGTCCTCCGTATTTCAAACAATGCCATGTGTCGAACACGACGGAAGCTCGAAAGATGAGGCTCAACGCGCTGTACCAGATTCGAGACAAGAGACCAGAGGTCGAAGTGCGTTCATGCTCTACCTTACCTCCTCTGTGGTTCTACCATTCTCCAAGTTGAATTGTCCGCCATCGAGACTGCCAATGTTGTCGACCTAGTTCCTCCCGAGTCGTCCAGTCCCATCGAAATACTCGATGTTACAGACACAGAAGAGCAAGAAATCCCCTCCCTACCTGCAGAAACCAGACATACTGCCTCTGCAGCATCCACGCCTCCTAGAACGCGTGTCAGCGAAAGCATCAGAACCGACTCTTTTATCATAGATCTCACGACGCCTGATCCTTTGAGGGTGTCAAGGCCAAATCATGACATCTTCGCTCCTCGACGGAAAACTGCAACGGCTTCGGAGGCGTTGCCTGCTTTGGCTCCGACCAAACCGAGCTCAGGGTCTCTCCGGAAATCAACGACCGATTCTCATCGTCGACCATTCCTTGCAAAGGCCGAAATGATCACACCAGCCCCCAACAAAGAAAACCAGCATGTGAGAGGACATCAGTCTCACTTCGTTACCACTGCAGCAGATCTGCGCGGGACGCCGAAAATCTGTGATCCCTACCCGATAACGCCGATTTCTCTTTCGAGAGAGGTTGACGACCGTGAATGGCATACGCCTCCACCTTCGGAAACAGATATTGCATTCTCGGAGAAGAAAATTCTAGAAAGCATTCCATCTGTCCACCAAACCGAGCATCCTGTTATCCAACGAACCTGCGGTTACCGTGAGGGTCTCGCTGGGGCAGACCGGCTGTGGAGTGACGTCTGGCGGCCACTGGTCGCTGACGATGTATTGGGCAACGAGGACGAGGCCAGGTATCTGAGAAATTGGCTGCAAGCACTCGAAGTCCGGTCGGAACACCAGAAAAAAGAAGACGGTCCACGCGCTAAACGTCCACAAATCATCCGAACTGTCTCCCGGCCTCGCAAAAAGCGAAGATTGACTCCGGACGATAATGGCTTCGTTGTTAGCGATGCTAGCGACTACGCCTGGGAACCTGAGCCAGCAGGGGCAGACGACGATGACTTCATCCCCACGTCCGATGCAGTGTTCGGCGCTGGTTCCAAGAGTGATCTCATGGGCAACACCATACTGATTACGGGACCACCTGGCTGCGGCAAAACCGCTGCCGTGTTCGCATGCGCGGATGAACTAGGATGGGACGTCTTCGAGGTGTATCCGGGTATCGGGAAAAGGAACGGTGCTAGTCTCGAGGCCCTGATCGGGGACGTTGGCAAGAACCACCTTGTTCGTCGAGCAGACCACGAGACTCGTACCGGCGATCCTGATGCCGCAGGCCTGGGACAAAATACTCCGCGCCAATCACTCATCCTGCTGGAAGAAGTCGATATTCTTTTCAAGGAAGATGTAAATTTTTGGCCGACCGTGGTGCGGCTCATCAGGGAATCCCGCAGACCAGTGGTCTGTACATGTAATGGTGAGTCGTGTCTTTCCTGGACGCGGGTAAAAAACTGAGGATGAGAGCCCAGACCCATCTTTAGTGCCTGTCGGAGACTTGCCGTTACAAAGAATTCTCGAATTCCACCCGTGTCCTCCAGATGTTGCCGGCAGCTATCTGCAAGCACTATGCTGTGCCCAGGGCGTCGTCTTGCAACGAGACTGGCTCATAAAATTCTACATTGAAGGCGGACTGGATCTTCGACATGCAATCCACCAGCTTCAGATGCAATGTCAAGTTTTCCCTTTTTCTCGACATGGGCGGGGCAGTGGGACCCGATCTTCTGTCCAGCATGCCGTCGATCTTCTGTCATTCGTGGATGCTTACAACACGCGACGTGATGCACAGTGTCCAACGGTGGGTCAGCCTATCAGTCCTGAGAATGCAGAACTGAAAGTATGGCTCAGGCGCTGGCCTCGGCCGAATTACAGTCATCTGGGGATGAAGAGACAGGTCATTCACTGCTTGTAGATGCGCTATCGGATGGTTTCGGGTCTTACAACTGGGATGAACGGATCAGGGATACTCTTCTGGATGTGACACATGGAATTGGGTGGGCTGCGGACCCGTCGCCGTGCTCCGATTATCTGCGGCTGGTCCGTGACTGGGCGAATGACAAGACGTTGGCAATTGGAGTCATGGCCCGCCCTACGGTCCACTTGGATTACATACCCTGGGCCCGACACATCGTTGCCGGGGAGGACATGCAGGCCGAGGCCCAGGCCAGTCTCCCCGTCGTCGGGAGAGGCACGCGAAACAGTACACGACGATTTTATCGCAACTTGGAGCTCGATGAGCCGCAGCGGCATCTGCTGCATGCGACAGCGCTCGAAGCTTGCAATTAATCAATCCTATTTGGGCTCTTACACGTGTCTTGATTTTGATTTTGGCGTTGTATCGTGTTAGTAGAGTTACCAACGTTAGTTTCCCTGTGTACGCGGGATTCTGAGATCTCTCGTGTTGCATAGATCTTCTTGCTGTCCAACTGCCGTCATTCTCGCTTCTGTTCCCACTACTTCATTGGACGCCGCCGGGAACGTCCCGTTCAACCTTTATCCATGGCCACGGGCTCCCTCAAGCAGTCACACCACGGCCTGGCCAATAAACCCTCCTCAAGGCATTCCTCAGTCGCACCACTGCGACCCCCTGTGAGCCAGGGATCGGACGAGGCCAGCCTGGCTCCCCTCGAGTTTCTCCAGAATCAGCGTCGCGGATCTATAACAGACCCGTTCCTGCACGCTACACCCCGCCAGAGCATCAACTCCCAGTTCTTTCGCCAGGACAAAAACAATCCCTCAGAACCCCGACCCGCTTCACCGTACGTCTTTGGATCGGCCGGCCATGGGGATGGATCCCATCTTCGGAAGCTCTTACGATCTCCCTCCCCCAATTCTCGGGATACTGTGCTTTCGAGTGCTGGGAGTTTCCGTGGCTCAGGTGAGAGTTTATCTAGCCCACGTGTGCTGTGGGAGGTTGAGCGCGTCCCAGGAACACCGAAGAATGACACCTCAGACGCCATGAACGTCGACGCCATTGAGCAGCATCCACCGACTGCACCCCATCCCGCCCGAGCGAAGCTCATGTCTCACGAATCCCACACACCCTTCGACTACACCATGAGACGGCATTCCATTGCCGTCGGACAAGACACGCACACGCGGTCGCCGTCTCGCCTGGGCGCACCCCAGGGACTCAAACGCAAAATGTCTGCCGATCCTTCCGCCTTTCCCGCAGTGGGCGAGGAAGGCGATGTCCAGCATGGAGGAGCTGGAGCATCGGGCGGAATGGACGTCGATTCCGAGGCACCGGCGCCTAAGCGCCGTGGCTCGGCCATCGACACACAGCGTATCGCCCAACTAAGCCTCAATGATCGACGTGACTCACTGGACGCGCGTGGCTCTCAGTGGCGGTCGCCAAATGACAGGCGAAGCTCCACCTCGTCGATGTTCTCGAGCGTATCCAGTGTCGGCGGCTATAGCTCGCGTTTTTCCGAGAATGAGTCGCCGCACGGACGTCCACCGCCCAGCATAGCCTCGTTTTCTTGGCCTTCCCGTCCTTCTGATTCACCGGGTGGATTCTACAACGAGACAGATGGCAGTCTGCCTGCAGCTTCTAAGAGCAAAGAATCTGGGATTATCGTGGTCCCTCCCATAAATTTCCCTCCCGACCGGCGAATGTCCATCACGGACTCATTGAGTGGACCGTCGGTCAAACATCAGCGCTCCCGTTCGCCACGCCAGAAACCAATGCGGAAGCTTCTAGCCATGGTTCGCCGGACGATTCCAGTCCTCCAACAACGGCTAAATTGGGACCTAAGGAAATCGGGACAGCACCGTACTCGCGGTCTCCTGAACTTCGCGTCTCGCATAAGTTGGCCGAACGGAAAAGACGCAAGGAGATGAAGGAGTTGTTCGACGAGTTGCGGGAACAGCTCCCCGCTGACCGCGGTCTCAAGGCAAGCAAATGGGAGATTCTGAGCAAAGGTCTGTTGTTTTCTCTGGCTGGATGTCTGTCGCACTCATAGCCTGCAGCCATCGACTTTGTTGCGCAGCTAAAACAAAGCCACCAAGATATGGCGCACGAGATTGAGGTCCTGAGACGCGAGTTGGACACGTTCCGGCCGGGATCGTATCCCCCGCTGGCGATTCCCCCGCATGGATTCTCGCAGTCGTCCAGCAGCAACGGCCCGGTCCACTCACCGTCACGTCCAAGCTCTTCCCAAAATTCGTACTCCTCGACCGAAAATGGCAGTCCACGTAGACGTGAAGATTCTCTCAGTTAACCATGTATTCCTTTGTGTTGAACGTTTTTGTTGTGCGGACCATTTGGATGTGTATGTACTTACTTTGACTGTCTATGTAGGTAGGGTAGACAGACATACAGATCAATGTATGGGCCAGAGAACTAGAACAGCCCGAGTTAGTGAGAAATGCACATTACACACAAACTTCGACGGTGCTTGCTTTTCGGAGAAATATCAGCGCATTCGTTGGTTCTATGCAACAGCCAACTGAAACAACACGGCGAGTTGCGAAAGCTAGATGACAAAAAGAAGTGCTACAAGTGACAAATAGAAAGTAGACATGCGAAACCAAGATGTGAATCGTAGAGTGAACCTCACGAGAATGATCATTATATGTAGCTCCATTCCCTGCATATAGCGCAACACCCAGCGCGCATTCAGGGCCCCGGATTTGCTCTCTGCCATGGGCTTCAGCACAATCGGATACAGTCTCTCGAGGCGGTCGTCGGCAAAACGGGTGGAATTCGTCGAAGACCCAGGTGTGATTCTTGAATCCAGTCAGAATTCGAACCGCTCGGAAAATTTCGTCCAATGGAAAGAGACTCGCATGGAGCTCCCTAGTCTTTCTTGTGAATGGCTTCGGGGTCGAGACACGGCTGCAGGTGGGCACATGCATTCTGGCCGAGATCCCCGTTACCTCTACGAGCACCGCCATCAGCGCGTGATTCATGCCCTCCAGTGAGGATCGGCCGTAGCAAACATGTGGGCAAAAAACATTTTTGTGGCGTTGGGCACCGCATCATGATGGAGCTCAATGTGTTTTGCCGAGTCCTGAACGTAACGTAGAGAACCGAGACAACGTTTTCAGCCATTCCAATCCGTCGGCAATGAGGGTAGGCACATGTGATTTGGGCCAGGATCCGCCGTAGTGTTGGACACGATTTGGTATCACAGCCAGAAGACCCAGTCGTAGAGTCGAGGCGTGTTGCCCGTCAACAACGTTTGTGGAATTCAGCTACTTGCAGCCCAACGATCTTGACACGATCACCTTACTCGGCGATGGCGGATATAGAGACGTTTGAAGGCAGATTCTGTGGGAAGGAACAAGGGTGCCACCAGAAGGGAGCGTGCCGGATTCTCCATGTGCTCTGACGGCGGCAGCTTCTTGTACTCACGCGTAGTCTTGAGTGCATGCTGCCCAAACCTTTTCAGATACGGCAGTTGGTGATGAGCCGGAGCAACAAGCGCTGCCGCGGCGCTCTCGTCTAGGATCTACATTAGACGCAACACTAATAATAGTTGTCAAAACGCACATGGCCCTCTGTCTACCTCGTGCCATGCGATTACCCCGGCATTGAAGTTGACGTAGAGTTTCTCGTCTTCAGGCGCAATGACGTCTTCCCTGTCGCCTCCAGGTGATTGGTGCAATAGAGAGTCCAACCAGCCGAGAATGTGATCGACATCGTGTGAGACTCCAATTAAACGAGCGGTCGCAGAAGCGAGAACACATTTGTAACCCCCTCCCCCAGCTCCGAACACACGTCGGTGAAGCTGGCGGCTTTGATGAATTTCATGAAGACGACGATATACGGTCTTCGCAGCGTTATCCGACGAGGGACCATGATTGTAAAGCACGGGAAGTGGCAGGCCACGCCACTTCACTAGCTGTAATGTAGAACTGGAAAAAAGTGACGAAAGTCAACACTATTGTCAACCCCCATGCATGATGACTGGAGAAGTGCCATTGGGGCTCGCCGACGTCGAACTGAAATCTGCATTCTACGAGACGAAGGCCATTGCAGAAGCCAGATGTGCAAGACTGTACACTTATTCCCAAGTAGAAGATACAGGAGGGTTGAGACCAGTTATCAGCTGCAGCAAAGTCGGAAAGGCTGGAGGGTCTTGAAGATCGAGAAGCAGTCCAGCGTGGAACGTGGTAAAGAAGGAGAGCACAGCAGACACGGAGAGATCGAGACAGATTATAAATGGAAGGAAAGTCTCCGATGCTCGAAGGAGTGTCGTTTCATGTTAGTGAGTAGCACCGTAGCAGGACCGCAGATGATATGAATAAGATCAGAGGAGAGTTTGTGACACCGTTTTGTGACACTCGCACACCGACTCACCTTGCTGTTGCCACTCGTCTCTCCGCACCTGTTCGTTCTTGACTGACGAACCCGGTCCCTTTCACACCCTATAAACCCAAGAAGTAATCTACAACTCGCATATTTGACAACGATGGCACCCAAGGGGTCGATGGCTTCTCTGTTCCATCCCAAGAAACCCAAGAAAGATGCGAAAGGGTCTGCCCCCGCATCTCCATCTGCGCAACCTCCTAGGAAAACTCCTATCACCCGGCAGCACACTGCGCCCCCGAAGGAGGAGGACGAGGAGCTCCAGTTGCCGGACACGCCGTTCCAGGAATTCAAACTCATGTCGTCCTCGCTGAATGGATGGAAATACGACGTGATGAAATTCGACTCGCGCAAGCCCGTCGAGCTGACGCGATGGCAACTCCCAATCAAACTCAATAGGAAGGAGATGCGGTCGGAGGAGGGTACGAGTGTGCAAGTGCCTGTGGGTCCTATGTTAGGGCTGGACGGGAAGCCGGTGATTGGAGTGGACGGGCAGATCGTCATGGTGGATGCCGAGGGGAAAATGATACAACCGGAGGGCAAGGACAAGGACAAGGATAAGGATGCCCCGCCCGCGAAGAAGAAGTTTCAGAAGAAGACGAAGCAGGTTTTCAAGGTTGATGACGAGACGAGACGGCTGAGGAGAGAGGAGCGATACCCCTGGGTGATAGAGGATGCGACGGGTGCTGAGACATGGTATGCGCAGCTGGAGGATACAACCAAGGCTACAACGCACGCCTTCTTCATGCCCGCCGCGAATGATATATTCAAATTCGTGCCGGCACATCGATGGTACAAGTTCCAGAAGAAATTGAAACATGAATTTCCAACAGATTCGCAGGGCATGGAAGCTGCGGTATGCAAGATACATACTCCATACTGTTCGTGTGATGCTCATATTCCGACCCAGTTCACAAATCGACAAAAGCGTGACCCTCAGCAATGGCTAGCGAAGCGGAACGGGAAAGGACCGTCCGATGAGACGGTAGCCATGTTCAAGGCTGAATCGGAAGGACGAGCTTTGGCTGGCAGCAGCACTATGGTGCATAGCGCATCACACAGCTTGGGTCCGAATGGACGAAAACTGAAAACTGTGGATAGTGGTATGAATGGACTGTTCGGTGACGACGATGAGGATGGAAGCGCGAAGCGGCGACTAGAGAAGGAATATGGAGGCGAAGGAGATCTCGATGAAATGGTCTACGAAGAGGAATTCGCCGACGACGACGAGAAGATCGAGGCTGAAGCGGAAGATGACGAGGTTAAAGAGCTTGAGGTGCGATCCCGATCGATTGCCTACTGCATTGATTCTTACATCGCTATAGGAACGATTGAAACGGGAATACAAGAACGCCAACAAGACAAGGGAGGGCAATGTCGATGAATCGGACGACGAAGAGATGCCTGGAATGACAAAACAGGCCAAGGCAATGCAGAAGTTGATTCGAAATCGGGAAGGCAACGATGCATACGATAGTGACGAGGAAAAGAACCCGTACGCAAGCTCAGTAAGTTCCGGCCCTGATTTGTTTATTTGGCATTGAACCTCTGCTTAGGAAGAGGAAGAGGAGGAGGAAGAATTGCCGACACAGCCAGTTATCATACAGCCACCAGTTCCACCTGGGGCCGCCGGGCAACCACCAGGAGCAGAGACTGCGGCGGGGCCAGCGTCTCCTACGTCTGATGTCAGAGCGACTTCGCCTCTGCCATCGCCTGGGCTTGGAGGACATTCTGTGGTTGCAAAACGAGCGACGAGTCCCAATGTGGGCAATAAGTTGAAGACCAATGGCAGTCGGGCCGGGAGTCGGGCCGGGAGCCCATTGGCCAGCCGGGCCACGAGTCCATTAGCTACTGGCGGCAGTCGAGCGGGCAGTCCAGTCGCCACTGCGAATGGGGCCGCTATCAAGAAGCGCAAAGCAACGGAGGATGCTGGATCACCGTCGCCGACGTCGCCGACAGCCCCGAATGCACCGACGAAGAAGAAGCGCAGGGTCAACGCAGGTGCGGGCGAGCTCGAGGACAAGATGGTGATCGAATGGCTGAAGAATACCCCCAACGCAACAACTCGAGACTGCATCCAATATTTCCAGCCGTATTTCTTGGCCGAGGGAAACAAAGCCAAGTTTACGGCCCTGATCAAAGAGGTTGCCAGCCTCAAGAACGGGGTTTTGATTCTGAAGCCGGAGTACAGTGGCTGATAGTCGATTACTTGGGCGTCAATTACTTGTGATATGGTGGTATGTACGCTAAACGTATCGAGAGATCACATGAGATATTCGTAATAGTCGTGTCTCGTGAGTGTGAATAAACAGACATGAGGAGTAAGCACGGATAGCAAAAAAATAAATGAATCATCACGTCAGGCTGGGCCATTTCAGCCGCAAGCCTTCGAGCCATCGCATGTATAGTAGCTCAGCAATAGGAGATTTCTTGGCTGCAGGCTCTTCTGCGTCGGTCGGATCCGCGCTCGATGGAAGGCCAGTCACATCCTCCTGCACTTCGGTCACAACCAATCCTTTCGCAGTCATCTCGCTCTTGCGGATAATTCGTCTGTGAGGGAACAGGCCTCGAGCCGTTTGTACATGTTGTCGGACAGCAGTGTTGCTGCCGCAAAAATGTCAGATCAGGGAAACAGTGTTACTAAAACCCAAACACTCACTCGTTGATGCCGCTGAGGATATCGAGAATGATATTGTAAGCCAGCTCGGGGTTCGTTTCTTTGAGTTCTGTAAATCCTCTCGACAGCATGCTCAGAGACTCTATTTCCCGAGCATCCATATCATCATGAATTGCCTGTGGCTATGATGAGCTGTTGAATAGGCGTAAGGAAAACCAGCTGACCCTTTGTAAAACGGGAGTCACAACATCGTCAATCAAGGTCCGCCCCGCTTTCGAGGCTTCGCTGGCCACTCGACGACCCCCTGATGTCGGTGATGTTGGAGTGGAGCTACTGCCGCTACCCTCTCTGCGCATGTTCCCAACAAAGTCCGCCGACAATCGCAAAGAGCCCGCCGTGTCGACTTTCTTGACAGGTCTGATCGTGTCCACGCCGGTGCCGAGGTCAGCCTCCCGCATGACCGTCCCAGCGCCTTGCACAGATGTTCGGGCCGCGTAAGAAGCCCGCCGGCTACCCCGCACAGATCCCGAATAAGCAGGTGGCGCCCCCAGACCCAAGTTCTCTTGCGGCGGTGTATGTGGACTGTCTGAGGTCGTCTCAGCAGAGGCAGTGTCCGCGAGCAAAGCCGGAATATCCTTCTCCGAAACTGGCGACCGAATCACCACGGTTGAGTGCCCCGCCTGAGGGTTCAGGCCCACGCTGCGAGCGATCTGAATCGGATCGCTCCCCTTGGTTGCGTTCCCAGTGTCAACCGAGTCCGTGGTCTCTTCAAAATCCGACCCGTCTTCCTCAGACTCCATATCCGGAACCATGTCAAGATCCTTCGCCATGCTACGGAAAGTGCCCATAGCTGAGGCGGAGGATTTGATGGTGTCGAAGTTCCAATCGCTCCGGATTGTGCTGTCCCATCCTTTGACCGTAGCCTGGTACATCTGCTGTGCTTTAGGAGGAGACCGTGCGCGGTAATCCTGATACCGTTCGATGAGCTCAGTCAGATACGAGGTTTTGCGCGCGCCGCGAATAAATCGGTGTTGCAGTAATTCATTTGCTGTTGGACGCTAATGAAAGGTTTATTCAATTAACGAATGCAAATGAAGAAAAGACTGACAGCGGCGGGATCCTTCGTCAAACACTGAGTGACAAAATCCTTGAACGCGGAGGAGAAGGTGCCTTCCAGCACTGGGGGCTTGGCTTTCGGAATCAAGAAGAGAACACGCATGGGATGATACTCTGCCAGTGGCGGTTCACCCTTGGCCATCTCAATCGCCGTGATTCCCAAGCTCCACATATCAGCCTTCGCGTCGTACCCAGCCTGCCGAATCACCTCAGGAGCCATCCAAAACGGCGTCCCAACAAAGGTGTGCCGTAACGTGCTGGTGAGCTGCGCGGCAACGCCAAAGTCCGCCAACTTGACTTTGCCTGATGAGGACAACAGGATGTTGGCAGCTTTGATGTCACGGTGAATGGTCCCTTCTGTGTGGAGATAGTCGAGACCGAGCAAAAGCTCACGACAGATGACAGCAATGTGAGCCTCAGAGAAGGTGCCCGGCTTCAAGAGGTCGAGGCATGACCCGCCGGCCAGATACTCCATGACGATCCACAGCTTGTACGAGACAACGAACGAGCCGTAGTATCGAGTGACATACTCCGAGTCGCACTGGGCAAGACTCGCAATTTCCTGCTGGATTTCAGAGATATCGTCGTCGGAATCCTCCAGATCTAGACGCCGTTGAACAAGGACAATACCGGGCTGTCACGGTCCGAGCGCACCTATCTGCTTTATGGCTACAATCTGCTTCGTTTCATTGTGCATCGCCTTGTAGACCGTCCCGAAACTCCCCGTTCCCAGCTTTTCGAGGAGCGTGTACTGGCTCGCGGGATTGCTGCTGGGTATGGGGACGGGCTCCCTCATACGGCCCTGGGGTTCTTCAATGGTAGAGGATTTGGGCGTCTTTGAACCATCGTCAGAACTGCGTTTCCTGAACCGGGAGACGGGAGCCATGACGCTTGAAAGAGGACAGGACCGAGGGGTCTTAGTCTTGACCTCATACAGGTGATGAAGTCACACGTGCTTCGACGCGAGTGATATATGCCGCAGATATCATGCGGTGGTATGAATTAGAGAAGCCACTCACCATTACAGTGTTGATAGGCCACTAGCTGAGCGGAGGATTGTGGGAGTGTTCAGGAATCCGTGGGCCGTAACGATGGTATCACTTTCGGAATTGCTTCCTCTTGCGATGGCCGCGGTGAAAACAGCTGACGATGTGTATTTGGCGGCGCGAGGTTATTTAGAAAGAATGAGAAAAGACACGGGCCAGGGAGAAAATGAAGGGGTTGAGGAGAGGAACGCCGTGATTGAGGTGGAGGAAGATGACGAGCTCCTCTGCGTTCAATCAAGACCGATGTGAAAGACGCAACGCATGATGCTCGTCTGATCATGATGCGTGAGCCTGATGGCGAATTGTTTCACATTTTTTGTTTTGAATTTTATCAAGATTCCACCGACGTGTACAGAGTGCGCGATGAGAGCATGTGTAACATAGAGGCAGACATGGGACATAGTAGACGGAATAGTGAACTACACGGGTACCTATGCCTTGACGGCATATTTTCGGATCGGGAAGTTCAAGTCCTTCTTGCGCTGCTTCAAGGTCTTCACCGATGATTCGTGCTGGATGGAGAACAAATGAGCGGGCACCAAAGCGGAAAGAAAATGGCAAACCTTGGTCAGACGCCGCCGGATAGCACGAGTCTTCTTCACACGGAGGTCAAGCGGCAAGTACTTCTTGTTCTTGTAGTAATCACGCAGATTTTGCCGGGCCTTCTGGGTCATGACGGTCTGGACACGAGCGATCGACTTGCGGACAGTGTTGCTGAGTATCGGAAGGAAGGGCAGATCAGTAATCGGCGCCGCGGACGCGCAACGGTACACGCACATCTTCGTCAGCTTCGACGCTGATCCACCAGCAATTTTCTGGACCCGCAGGGTCAAGAGCTCGTTCTTGAGCTCGACCAGTTGTTTCGACAAGTCATTTTTGGACCTAGAGTGGAATGAGCGCCGTGTTTCCTCAGCCGAAAAGTCGTGCCGCACTTGGACTGGAGTTCGTAAGCCTTGACCTTGCCGGGCATCGTGTCGGAGTCTGCACAAAGGAGTCGGGATCGAAGGAGAGAGCGCTCGGGCGAGGATAATTACCTTGAGGAAATGTGTGAGGGATGGAGGATGTCACGAGAAGTCACGTCTCGTGACTATACAACTCATTAGTCAGCATCTGGTCGCTCAAGCGTGATTTCTATTTTTTGCAACAAGATCATCGAATATTACTAGAGTTCCACCAAAAATGTCTAAAGAGCTGCATTCGTCGTCGTCAGCAGCGATGCTAGGATGGGAGGATGAGAACCCACCTTCCGTAGGTTAGATCAACTTTTCCTCTGGAGAGATGATGGACCAATTCGAGATCCTCGATACCTAGAAAGAGATAATGATGAGTTTGTGGATCCCAGAAACCAGTTAGAATCACTTTTCGCGCCACCGGCATAAGTGCAAGGAATGGATACCCATTCACCTAATTCTGCAAAATCATGATCAAACAACAATTCCCATACATAGAGCAGACAGCGTACTGGCGACCAGAGCTTCGTCAATACCCTTGCACAGTCCCTCGACATCTGCAGCATGGATAAGGAATTCACTACATTTGATCAGCTGCACAACCAGCATCGACGCTACAATCGACTCGCCTGCAGAACTGCGCCAGCATGTCCAAAGACTCTGTTGATTCATCCAGTCATGCAACTCGTCGATCATGAACAAGCACGACCTTTATTGACCTCCATGTCTGTGATGTCTTGCCATTTATTCATGGCGACGAACCAGGCATCTCCTCGGCGTCGACAACTATCTTGAAACTCAATCCCGTTCCAGGAGTCTGAGCGTGGTCGCGACATGCCTGACATCAACTACGAGCCTGTCCTTTCCGACGGCCGCGGCAAGATTCGATAACCGTTTTTGAGAAAAGCGGCCCCCCGGAAAGAGGAAAGAGGTGACGATGACCTAAGATTGTTCGTCCACCTCTTGCAGTCAAGATTGCACCAAGCGGACCTTGCTCGCCCCGACGTCAAGCCAGGTTTGCGCGTTGCCGTCATTAATACCGCCACCGATCTGTAGACCTCCTGTATGCAGCATCTAGTTCCTGTATTCCCTAGCAGTAAGAACAAGCAGAGACCTGGCCAAGCAGCAAGCGCCTCTTTTGCGGCCTCGTCGTTTCCAGGTCCGAGTTTGATGACGTGCCCTCCCTCAAGATTGTGTTTCCGGTACAGTTGAGCGAATTCGCCCGCAGATTTACTACATCAGACGTTGACACTCGATATCGCAAGAGAGTCAACATGCACGAGCCTCGAAACAAAGTTGGTCTTCAAAGACGCAGGAGATGCCTCGGAGAGAGTTCCTCCGACAATTTGCTTCACCTGTCCGTCGTGGAGATCGATGCATGGCCTGAACACAGAGCGACGCGACATGGTAGTGTTGGTAGCAGTAGCCTTAGTTGATGGAATTCAAGCACGGTGTCTATTACATAAGCCGCGTCACGCATCATGTACTGCAATCAGTATTCGAGCGAATTCTGCAGCATTTTGGCAATGTGCATCCGACCATCTTCGCCTACGATGTCTCCGATACCAGGAGCAAGATCTAAAACACGACGCTGGGGCAACGTTCCATCGACAAGCATGTCGATGTCCGCTGCAGTGTAACCGAGCGCTTTCAGGCCCCGAGGGACACCGAGACCGTCCAGGAACTGAGCGATCGCGTCATACAAATGAGCCCCAATTTCACGATCAGGAATGCGGCTTATGGAAGGGTCGGAGGTGGTCTTGCCCTGGAAGATGGCCAGGGCCTGTCGGTGACGATCGGGTGCTGAAGGTGCTGTGAATTGGAACACTGGAACGCGTCCGATCAGATCCGGACGCTTGAAAGATCACCAAGTCTCACCGGCAGGTCCTGTAATCGCTACAGAAACACCGTGCGGAATAATCGGCTTGTCGTTGTTTAGATATCCGGGATGCTTGTATCCGGGTCCCTTCTTATTCAGTCCAGAAATCTGCAGACGGAGGTGAATAGAATGCACGTGTTTGAGGTAATTCCCAGTACCGGATAAGACATCTATGCACATCAGGGTCAGCCAAGTCTAGACAGGATATGTAGAGCACCCACGCCGTGACATAAGTGAACCCCTGCATTTCCGAATCCAATTCCAGCAAACGAGGCAGCAAGCCTGATGTATAGTCAGAACGGGGGTCAGCCGAGTGAAGCAAAAGAGAAGTACAGCATCTGTCGGCGAGCCTCCTCATCCTCGCGATCCTTGGCGACCCGGGGGAGATATGTCACGGTGGTCTGGAGCGCCCAGAGGGAAAACACATCGGCTACGGGATTCGAGCCCTGATAGGCTGGCCGGAGAATCGGGTTGGCCGGTCGCGGGGTACGTTCAGTGTAACTGGAAGATATGAGAAAGGGTCTAGAGCACATAGATTGACACCCACGGGATAGCTGTGTAGCTCTCAAGACTGTGGAAAAGCACGTCCAGTCCGGCACTGATATGCACGGCTGTAGGGCAAGTAGCCGTGTTCTGCGTATCTACAATCCCAAGAACAGGTTTCATGGCCCGGTTGGCGATCCCGGTTTTAAACGATCGTGAAGGGATGTCAAGAATGGCTGTTCCCGTGGTCTCCGAGCCTGGCATCCGTGAAGCGGGTTAATTTATACCCAAAACCACAACGAACCTGTTCCTGCAGTGGTCGGAACCGCAATTAGAGGTCGGAGAGTTTGCGTGATCGGGAGACCTGAATCCGTTGAGAAGTGGACATGCCAAAACACCATCCCTACCTTTGCCAATGGGGGCATTCACAAAGTCGAACAGATCCGCATCCTTGTAGACCCCAAACAGATTGGCGGCCTTCGCTGTGTCGATCACACTACCACCGCCCACCCTAGAAAACACGGTCAGGGAGCGCAAGGAGGCGCCCAAGGATGAGCACACACGCGAGGAAGTGGCTGAAGTCGTGTCCCCGAGACCATGAAATCGCGTCAGCCCAGCTCTGTTCGGTAGGTTCACCGGCAGGAAGGGTCAGGACCTCGAACTCCAAAGACTGGGATTCGAGAGAATCCAATGTCTGGGTTAACAGGAATCAGCTCGGGGATCGAGACGAACAGTGTGAGGACTCAGCGCACGGCTTTCATGGGCCCCAACTTCGCGACGTTCTCGTCTGTCAGCACCCCGACCTAGAAGGCACCTCAGCGGATCTACACAGCGACAAGACTACGCGATGCACACCTTGCGGGCTTTCATGTTCGCCAGATCCATGCCGACTTCCTGCGTGACACCGTCCCCAAAGCGCAGATTGGAAGCGGCGACCTCAAACGCGTATTCCTTCTTCACTGCGTCTACGGGCGACGCAAAGCGCCTCAGTTGATTCAGGACACCGGGATGGTGCATCCCATGATGATGTGCGCCTCCGTGGCAAGGGCATGCTGTGTGTTGTGCCGCGTTGATGAGGCGAGCGATTGTGGACCTTGCCGCCATGGTGGTCGTAAGAGCAGTCGTCCGTCGATGCTGCCGGGAGACCGGCTATATACCGATCTGGGCCGCGGGGTCAGCTGCCTTCGAGCCGATCGGAAGTGACAAGAAATGACAGTGCTTCGCGGGGAAAGGTGCTTTGACCCTGAAAAGCGCATTTCAATGCACATGGCGAAAACGCGAGAACCAGATAGTTGGAGGTTAGTGCGAAAGAGGATATTCAACTGTGTCAACGCAGTCGAAAGATAAGTTATACATAGGTCACGGTATCTTATCTTATCTTATCTAGAACAGCGTTCTCTGGCACGGCCATTGATTACCATTCCGTATCAAAATAATATGGGCTCCAAAACATATACAGAGAGAGAGCTACATATACACACACTACTTTCCTCATACGAAATTTAATCAGAAAAAGTTATCGCCGCTGGGTTTCTTGAGATGGACAGTCACGGGGCCCCGGTGAAGCGAGGCCGAGCGCGTGTGGGCCGGAAGGATCTTCGTAGGCTCGCGGCGCCGATGTTCTTCGCCCGACTCGGATCGGGAGCGACGGGATTTGGGGCTGGAGCTTGGCGGGGCTGCGACGGCGTCGAGTTCGGGAGCCGGCGGAACGACAATGTCCGGGGGGCGTCTGCCCTTGCTACGCTGTGGAGGAAACGTGTCCATGTTCTTGCTTGAGCTGCGAGTCATAACAGGTTGGAGAATAACGGATGACGTGAGCGAGGGATTGCCCCCTTGCCTAGCCACCGCGGGTGTGCTCGAGAGTTTGATGGTCTTTCCCGGCGTGCCATTGTCTGCAAGCAGAATAGTCGAGAGTGTGTCCAATCTGCGGGTCCGGGCGGGGACGGGTTGCTTCAATAGGTCGGGTGACGCTGGATCTTCAAGCGAGGACCGAGTGTTGCCGGTTTCACCGTAAGAATATTTGTAGGAAAGCACAGGGAACTCGGATTGCGCATCTTCGGCCTTCTTTTCGATGTCGTCCCACTCCTTGACTTCAGCTTGCTGGAGAGCAGTCAGCAAGGGACGCGACTGCAGCAGAGCACAGTACTTTGGAAAAGTAGACCGGAGTAAAATCGTCGGCATCTAAAGCTTTGGTGACGTGCACTGGGCAGAAATCAGACAGATCAAAAATCCTATAATTGAGCCACCCACGGAAGTGTGCAAGCCCCAGTCCAAACTGAAGTCTGCATGCGATAGCGAGGACCAAGGTGATCACAAGTAGGATATAGGCAGCTAGAAGAAGATGAGGCGGCAGATTAACACTTGCATCTGAAAGACCGACCAATAGAAAGGGTCGCATAGAACGACCACGCGCCGAGAACAAATTGGTTTACTAAATTCCAAGTCAGCGGAGACAGAGGAGAGGAGTCAAGAAACACCCACATCGACTCGCAAACATAGCAGTTGCCTCACTCAGCAGGATTGCAGAAATGAGGCAAAACACTCCGAAAAGAATTCGAGATTCTTTTCGGACACTCGTCCATCCCTGGGACAGATCTTAGCGTTCGTATCGGAGGTCATCACGCTCGAGCTGACCATAACGAGCCAAGGGACAATCAACTGCTGCGCATCAGTGACAGCGAGAATCGTAGATTGGATGTACTGACCACAGTTGTCACAACCAGACCGGCAACATAAAGATGGAGGTTATCCGCAAGCTGCTGAATAGAACCCCTCGTGATTTTCCATACCCAGAGACCCTGGAAAATTTAAAGCGTCGGCGGATAATTGTTTTGGAAAGACTGACCGCCTGGGCAAGAGTGAAGAATCCCGCGAGTTGAAGAACAACAGAGAACAGTAACACGAGCTGTTCTTCATTCAGATCAAGCTTAGCACGTGACAAGCTGGGACAAACCATGTAAACACGATGGATTTCCGGAGCCGCTCCAACACGGCTGAATGTTTGCGAGGAATAGACATGGTACAGCTTGTACGAGAGCCCTGCCATGAGAACGGCGTTCACCGAGTTTGTGACCAATCCAGCGATCTGTATCCGGTGAGTTCGGCCAGGAAAGGCAATGCACGATCGGGCCTACATCGTGCAAGTTGTTCTGTTTCCACCAGTCTCCCATGATGTTCCTACCCTGGCAGGGTCCCGAGTCGATGACGCTGAAATAGACAGCCACCAAATTAATGTTGCCTCGGACGCGGAAGCTGCCCCAGGCAATGGCCAGCGTACGGGCAGCCAGCCCCGCAATCAAATGAGGCAGGCTCTCGTTGAGTAGGGTGACGACGGAAAGAGCCAGCAACCAGATTTGGAAGGCAAGTGTGACGATATCTTCGGTCCGCTGACGTTTGAATTAAGCCTGTGAAAGATGCACTCGGATGTACGTAGTACTCACAGCATCCTGCAACCTGCCAAGGTCAGCGATCAAAATTGAGACTTCGAAACGGCCACTCACACACTGCTGAGCCACATCAGAGAAACAGCACACTGCTGTGTTTCATCGATCCCACCTATGCCCAACGATTCCGAGCCGAAATCATAGTGGCGACGAACATGGATGTGATCGTGGACGCGGTGCACGAGAATGTCGCACTGCGTGCCAGGTTGCATGGGAATATCGTCGCAGAGCTAGCGTCGTATGTTACATCTGCGCGAACGCGAATGACTCTGGGCACACACCATTACATGTCCGTCGGACAGAAACGACACTCCCAAGGCACTGGTGACATTGCTGGCGCGCAGAAAGTCGTGCACTACTTGAGCGCCTTCAGTGTTGCTCAGGTACGTGGTGGACTGGAGGACGACCAGGATTATGCAGCTCAGAAGAGCGAGGAAGAAGTAAAGCGTGGTGTAGCGAGTGAGTGCGATTCTCTCGAACTAGACGATGTTCAGCGGGGGTTGTGCCAATGGAAGAGTAGTCCACGCACTATGAGTTTGACCCGAGTGATCACAAGAACATGTTTCCACCACTCCCTAAGCTTCTGATTCTTATACATCGAAAGCGAACAGAGCAGCTAGCTGCAACACGTCCCGACCGGCAAGAAAGGAGAAGTAAAACGGGAAGCGATCCAGCCCGTATGAAAAGAGTGAAAAGGTCGGACGACGACGAAAGTGCTGAGCCACGGGCCTAGAGGCAAGCAGAGGTTTTGAGGTTGAGTGTCGCAGACGACAACCGGCCAAAAGAACCCCTGAGCCCGAGACACCAGATATTTAGTAGCCGGCGGCCCACACCAACCGTAACCAACTGTAAGCGATTCGACGGATATAGCCTGGAGATGAAGTGTCTGGGCTGCAGTTCTGGGTCACGCTTGCTGGAAGTACGTCAAACAATTGAGCGGTCTCGTCTGCACGCGTCCTGTTAAGTGATATCGCCTGTTGAGCATCTCCATCTCATCGGTCGTGGGCTGCAGGAACAGTATTAGCACGATTAAGCGTTCTAACCAGAGAAGGTCGCTTGGCGTTGCTAAGCTAATCAATTGCCTTGTGACTGTAACAATCTCAGTCGGGACTTGACATGAATATATCGGGCGCCATTTTGAGAGCGTCTAATGTGCTTTCGCTAGAGGCCAATCCAATCCAGATTTTACGACATCCATTACTGCCCAACTCTCCCTGAACGCGAAGCTTTGAAGATCGGAAGGCTGTGATCCAAATACTGATATCGAAGTAGAATTCCTCGGGGTTCCGTGCACTCTGTACCACCCCGCACCACCATGACCGCTGCGGTCAAGGCTTCCGATAAGAGAAACAGAGTCATTCCGATCTCCGCAGGGCAGGACCCAAGAAGATTGGAGAGGAACGAGACCGATCTCATCACCACTGTCCTGCACGCTTTCAGGGAGGACACGCTAAGTTCCAATGCGACAGAGATACAGGGCGCGCATAGCGAATTCATCTCGGCGCTGGATACTGGCAGCATCTCAGACAGTATGCTGGATTCCTGTTACTAGACACCGCAGGCCCGGATTGCAGGCGCTAAGTGATGCCATAGCGAGGGCTTCACGGGTTGACGTGACGTTTATTGCCGAGGGGAGGAACAATGGGTAGAATTATCGCGGCCCGTTTCGAAACGCTGGCGGCGGACGAGATCGGAAGGAATGGAAAGGCTGGTTTATCGCGACATGGACATGAACGGCAGAAGGAAGGAGCCTCCAAGGCGATCAGGACTCGAATCAGCGGCTCCCGAACGGGGATAGGTCGACTGTAGGCTGAATTTGAGTCCGATTAGTGCGCACATGGGAGATGTATCGAGACATGGAAATTAAGAGGAGATGGATAGAGGGACGTACTCACAGAGATGGCTCGGGATGTTGGACAAGACCTCAACCGACGAGTGCGCGTCGGCGCGCAAGTACTCGGTCCTGCCGCAGTCGTGACTGCCGAGCAGCATGCCTTTGATCTGCGTATCATTTGATCGCACCATGGCCTGTGGGATTCGAGAGACCTGCTTCCGACCCCTCTCACCGCCAGCACACTCGGCGTCCTCTCGTTTCCCCTCCGCCCCGCATGGCCCCTCCACTCGTTACTGTCCTTCTGGTTCTTCCTCTCATCGTCTCGGCCCTCAGATTAGACGTTACGCGAAGCAGACCGACGCCGGGAGTCGCACGCAGCAATGGCCTCTCGAAAGTCTCGCTGTTAGCTACGACCAGTGGATCCAACAGTTCGTCGGGCCTGAGGTGCGCCCAGATACCTTATTGAGTCTTATTCGTATAAACAATGCTGTCCATAGCACTGTTCGGGACCTCATTTACATGGCTAACGTGCGTGCTCTTTCCTATCTGTCTGAATTAGACTCATGCTCGGTGACTGCAGGTCAGCATTGGGAACAATTGTAACTGCTCTCGCTTCATCCCTTGAATGTTTTCCAATCAAAATCCCAGTCTATCCCATGCAACTCGACACAGGCTCCTCGGACGTGTGGGTGAAACCCGCGATTACCCCGCTTCCCAACGCGATTAGCACTGTGAGTGGGAGTTTTGTTTCGATGCACAAACTCATGGCCTACAGGCCCAAACATACAATCTGACTGTACGTCCATTCATCGCAAGCCCGGTCATCCGCTGAAACGACGTGTAGTACGGAATTGGGTGGGTTTCGGGCAATGTCTCCTTTGCCCCGATCACATTCGCTGGGTATGTGTTTCGCTTCACATTCGCAGCCGTGTTCTGTCTGGCTCAATATGCACATTTAGCATCAACGTATCCTCGCAAGCGCTGTTGGATGTAACTAGCGCCAATAACCCCGCTTTGCAATACGGCGCGGATGGACTGCTCGGGCTCGGGTTTACGTCCATGTCTTCCATCGATCACCTTCTGAACCAAACTGGCCAAACCACCGGCCGCAGCTTCCTGTTCAACCTGTTCCTCGACAACCCCTCTGAGCCCAATTACATTGCGTTCTCCCTGCAGCGCAGCACAGACAGTTCCGATACAGTTCTAGGAAGTTTTTCAATTGGAGAAGTCGAGCCGGCCTATACCGCAGTTCTGAACACCACACAAATTCCGACATGGCCAACTTCATACCCCAAGCGGTGGAACGTTCTCGTTGAAGCCTTGATTATCGCCTCGGACTCGACATCCCATACCGTGATACCCAACACCACAGTCGCCAATGCCCCCAGCAACCGGGCCGTCGCCTTGCTTGACAGTGGAACATCCTATTCGTCAGTTCGGAGACTTCTCCACCTGCTCTCGGCTAATGCTGTTTCAGGTATGCCACGACTGAAATCTGTGACGCGATCTACGGAAGTGTTGGCGGAGCGCACTTCGATTCCGACTTGAGCCAATGGGTGGTGCCATGTGATGCGGAGATCGACATTGCACTTCAGATTGCGTACGACCGTCTAATACCGACCAGGAACCGTTGAGAGACTAATATCACATAGAGGGCAAGTCTTCCCGCTGCATCCGTTGGATGTCACGACCAGGAGTCTTGTCAATGCTAGTGTTTGCGTAGGATCCTTCATTCCCCAGACAGTCTCTGTCGGGGCCGGCGAATTGTGAGTTCGTCGCTTCATTTACTTGTTCTGTTGTGTTCAATTTGGCACAGCGACTTTTTGCTGGGAGACAGTGTTCTGCGGTCTCTGTATGCCGTGTACGACTTTGGGGATTTTGACAAGACTTTGACGATGGGGGACCCCTATGTGCAGCTGCTGTCTCTTGTGGATCCAACTACCGCCTCAAAGGATTTCCATGCTGCTCGCGGCGGGGTCGCCATCACCAACATCACCTACAATGCTGCTAACAGTTCTCCGGGTTCAGCCAGTTCTGTGACCATCTCGGGAGACCTGAACAACACCCTGAACAAGATTGTGACCTACTTGCCTGCGATGTTGGGCATCATGGCTTTGAACGCTGCGGTTTTGCTGGCTCTGATTGTCTTTGGTGTGGTCTACATGTGTCGGAATCGGCAGCCTCGTGCGACTGCCAGGAAGAACCGGGGTCGGGCAACCCCTCTGCCGATGAATCCTCGCAACAGCTACATTGCCGGAGCCGATCCACAGCCGCATGCTTATCAGCCTGTGTCGATGGCGATCACGGAGGACTTCAGTGCAATGCGGCCGATGTCGATGAATCCGCGCGATAGTTTTGCGGCTGGCGTGCCGATGGCAGATCGAGCACCGGTCTCGATGGCCATTGAGGATGACATGTTCATTCCACCCTCTCCGCAGGCGAGGGCCTTCAAGAGCAGTGGTCTGCGTCACATGGATCGGCCTGTCAGTACCGTGGAGGAACAGCCGTTTACGGCCCCTTCACAAGGCGCCAGTCCATTCGCGGGTGACTCCGGTGACCTAGCGAAGCGTGCAAGCTACCAGCGACACGCCTCGGAAGATTCGCTGGTGGCACCCAGCATCCAGTCTCGAAGCGCTGGAAACCAGCGCAGTCCTTCTGAAGAGGACTCGGTGTTTGTGTCGTCTCCAACGGCGATGGCTTCTGAGGGAGTGTCGCTACCCCCACCTCTCCAACCGGAGATCATTGCTCCTGCAGCTGCCCCAGCCCAATTCCCCCCGCCACCTTCGAGGCAGTCCCCCTCGCGGCAGCCCCCGCCCGTTCCCCCTGCCCGGCAAATCCCGGCACCCTCCCGACAAGATTCGGTGCAGCTGAGTGACGACCAGTTTGCAGGCAATCCGGCCCCCATCCCCCGCCGCCGCCAAGCATCCAACAGCAGCGGATTGTTTGTCCCGCGGGAGTACACGGGACGTCCCGGTGACCGTCCACAGAGCTTCGTGTCCTCCGATGTGTCCGGGCTGAATCCGCCGTCGCCTGCATTCCATTCTGACGGAGGCAGGCCGAAGAGCATCGCCTAGTCGGCCTCGTTTACGTCTCCATCTCTCACTTATCTACTAATCTTGTTGGACAACTCGCATGGATTTCTGTATTGCCCAGTTACTTATGAATAAAGTGCTACTACACAAATGCCATCTCGTATCTACTGCTCCCTCGTCTGGTCGTCGTCGGCTTCTTGGGCGGTGCGGCGGCGACATCGCCACGTTTGCCCTGGGCGAGGGCCACTCGCTGCAGCTTCTCCCATTCCCGCACTTCGCTGCTCTGATCTCTGGTTTTAATGAATTGCACAGCCTCGTTGACGGCAGCCGCCGCCTTTTGCACATGGAAGCCCCAGTTCTTCCGTGTCCTGGGAGCCACGTCCTCGGGTTCCACGAAGAGCCCGGCCACGTTATAATGGAAATGCGCTACGATGCGCAGACACTGGCGGACCGCGGCAGGATTCTCCGTCGCCAGTGCGGTCCGAAGGAGCAGTGACATCGTCTCAGGTGTCGGGACCAAGCCTTGTCTCCGCGTTCGAGGCACGGCTCGCACGGCTCCATCCGCAAAGTCGTGAGCATGGTACCCCGTCATCTGGCTGAACACCTTGGAAGCCGAATTCCAGTCTTTCGTGCGCCAGCAGAGCGTCAAAGCGAGATTGAAGGTCACGGTGCCGGGCCGGATCTTATTCCCAGCGCGCAGGGATACTTCCTGGGCAAACTCAAGGAGCTCGACGGCCGCCCTTGCAGTCTGGGGTTCCCGAGCGAGATGCGCCCGGAGAAGCTCTTCGATGTGCGCACGGTCAACGATGTCCAGCCCCCCGCTCGCAGCCGGCCGCCGTTTCACCTGTTCGAAGAAGTGGATCGCATCAGCTGGCCGGTCGCTCGCGTTGCATAACGAAAGGATCGCAGCAAAGCTCTGGGCAGTCAGTGGCATCAACCCTTGATCTGCCGGTTGCCCATCGCCCTTGAGCCCCAAATATTGCTCTGCGATCTGGAACGCAAGTTTGTGCTCGGGTTTTTGACCCCGAGAAAGCGTAGCGATCGCAGCGGTCACTAGAAACGAGTCGACCTCGAGCCCCGACTCGCGCTTGGCTGTGACGACCTCTGCCCACAGCACCCTCGCGTCCGTGGCGTTTTTAGCCAGCTGCGTTGCGGACACACCCGCGTTGGATGCAGACAGCGCTTTGAACATGGCCGTAAAAATGTACTTGTTTGAGGCGATATTTCCATCCTCCAGCCAGGTATGATAGAGCACGAAGATTTCATCGAATCTGCCGGCGTTGCCGAGGATAGAGATGTAGCCGGACAGCGCATCCACCCCAAGTTCGGGATCGTGCGGGTCCTTCTTCTTGAGCATCTCGATATGCCGCTGGTAGAACTCGTAGAGCGAGCGAACATTCGACATTTGCTGTGTGTGGGATGCCCAGACTTCTATGCGCGCATACCCGTTGAACATGGTCTGGAACGTCCTTGTCGTCGGGACCATGCCACGGCGCTTCATCTAGACGCAGCCATTAAAGCGAGCGCTTGAATGGCACAAAAAGAGCAGCTCACATCCACAAATAGAGCATACGCGGACTTGAACCGCTTCGCCTTCATGCACTCCCAAATCAATGTGTTCCACACGGGCGTGTTCTGCGCCGCCAAGGGTGCATTCTGAAGCATCTGTATAGCAACATCGATCCTATCCTGTGCAGCGAGATTCTTGAGCCGTTGCGCTAGAACGTGAGGTTGTAGCAGGCGCATAGTGCCATCCTTTGACTGGTTGCTGCTATTGACGGGCGTGGCGTCCGAGTGCCGGGAGCGGAAGCGGGGATTAACGTCGCGTTTGGTTGTCGGGGCGGGCTCCTTCATCGCGCGGGTAAGGTAGCGAGGGGGTTTGGACGCGGAGTCTTTGCGGGCTGTTCCACTTTTGGACCACCTCGCCTTCTCTTTGGCACCGCCAGCAGCAGACAAGGTGGCAGCATGGTGAAACGAGGCGGTTGATGAGCTCTGCGCTGGAAGTGGACTGCTGCACGATGCTAATAGAGTGGGGCGGGGACGGAGGCTGAGAACGCTCTGGCGAAGCATGCAAAGGAAGCGCCGGAGGAAAAACTCGTCGCGATCACGTGTGATGCATCGCGTAATTAGGATGGTCACTTGGACACCAGTCCGCGCTGATTCGCGCAAAGCTCGGAAAAAAGAAGGGCTCCACGTCAGACCCGTGCTACCGCCATAAAGAGGTTCGGATCTTGTCGAGGCCGCCCCGCTCTGGATCTGACTCTCTCCTCCTCCATGTCGCGCGACTTGTGGATTCTGCTCTTGTTAGCGTGCTACGCTGTTGCGCTGCCAACGTGGGGCGGTCTCAATTCGCACAGCGATTTCATTGGATCGCTCGTGCCCTGGACCACCCCGATGTGCGTATCTCCACCAATGAGATGAGATGTTGTTCTCAAGACACTCAAAGCCAGATTATGGGTCCACAGCTCGTGATGAATTCGCGATATGCGGTCCAGCACTTGACAAGCCACGTCCCTGGTGATCAGCACACCAGCCACGGCTTGGGGAAGCGTGCTCATTCTTTCTTGCAGGAGAGTCGGGGAATCTGACGGCGATGCTCCTTCCCAACAACCCGCCGCTGTTCGCTATCAGCAAGAACCAGCTCTGGCAGATCACCAACGAGACGACCATCTTTCCGGTAGCCATCAAGAATACAAGCCACTCCGAACGCGTCCCACCGCTGCAGCTTGTGTTGGGCAAGCAGCCTGCATCAGCCAAGATCGTGACCGGGGGCACGTGGTTTTGGAAGGGAGCGATGCTGCGGTACGTGCTGGACGTTCCGGGACCCAACGGAGGGACCAACAACGGGGTCTTCTACACCTGCCCGGACGAAGGTCGGATCAACGGCATCTACATGTTCCTCACCCCGTAAGTGTTGCTACCAAACCGCTCTGCCCTGAAAGCAGCAGCAGTCTTACACCTTCCAGATCGCCGACACCACCAGACTGCCATATCGTAACACTACACAGTTTTGCCTCCCATGTTAATGAATAATCGATTTTACGTTTACTTCTTGTGGATGCGGAGATCTACCCGGCGCGTCACCAGCGCAAATGCGAACACGCTGAAAAAGGCCACGGCCACAGCCAACGGCTTTTTGAGATGCGCGGAAAACGGCACTCGGTACGACACCTGCGGAGAGGTAAGCGGGGTGTGGTGGGTGGCACCAGCAGCAGCAGCAGCTCACATAGATGTGTTGCGCATGTTTCTCCGTCAGATTTTTGTAGCGCAATGCGATGGCGGGGCGGCCGACCGTGTCTAGGTAAGTGACATGGGTCATTGTTTGGCTCGAAATGGGCGCAAACGGCGAAGCAAAGTCGACATCCCTGTGAGCCACAGATCAGCACAGTTACCACCACTTGCCACTCGGAATCTACTGACACAGCTCCCTCAGGAAGGATGATGGTGATCTCCACATCGTTCATGACCGTGGCCGGAATCGTGGTGAATATGGGCACCTGAACAATATACTTCCCGGAGGCAGCATCGTAGCTGGCAGAATCTGCCAACGGCGAGTCCCATCCCAAGGTGAAGCTGTAGTTCCACCCGCCCATGATGGGGTAGCGGGGCTTCATCTCGAGCAAGCTGTACTGGTTGGCCAGCGAGTTCTTGGGAACAGACGGAGCAGCGCGAAGGCGGGAGGTCGACACGTTGCCGTTGAGGTCGTAGAAATACACGTCGTGGATGCCAGCAGGAAGGTGCAGCGTAAGACCGGGGATGACATGCGGAGAGGAGCGCTTGTAGAACGAGTTCAGTTGATGGTCAAGCCGTGAGAAGTGTCCCTTGAGTCTGTAGACACGACATTAACCACCAGCGGACAGGACCTCGTTCAGGAAAAACGCACTTGGGTCCTGCATTGTAGAGGTGGATCTTGTCCTCGATGTTGAGGTTCGCACCCCAGTGGCTGATCTCAGCAGAGCGCTTCAGTTCAAGAACCTCTGCGACAGGGTAGTCGTAGTTGTAATGCACGTAGATGGGTTGCTGGTAGTTGGCAATGAACTCATCGTTCGCAGAGGGAGCAATACCGCGGTACGGCCCATAAGTGACAGTCGATCCAGACTTAGTGACGGCTTGGTCCTTGGTGAACGAGTCGATGTTCTTGGGAGTGGTATACGAATGGATCGTAGGCGAAGTTGTCCTGTGTGATGTTCAGAACGAGACACCTGAACACGCTGGAGCGCGCACTTGACTTTCGTCCGCTGTAGTTCGGTACGGTACGGGCTGAGAACAAATAGATTGGTCTTGTACTTCAGCGCCTGCTGCTCAGTCTGCCCCGCCCGCTCCGGCCAAGGGTACGTGGCATGGGTTTGGATAGTCTCCACGACGAGACTGACAGTTGAGTCCACGGCAGGAGCCTTGGGGAGTGTAATGTCGATCGAGTGGAGGCCACTAGACACGGAATAAACATGCTGAACGACGTGTCTTGGCTATGCGCGGGAACGCACCTCGTCGCATCAACACCACGGCTCGTGACGGGAAGCGGGTTGGTTTGCCCCTTGATTCTGGCTTCCAACCAACTCGTCTTTTCCATCTCCGAGTCATCAAAAGCAATAGTATAAACCTGGGAGCCGGCCTCGAGAGATTTCACGGCATATGTGGTGACCACTTGAACGAGAGAACCGCCCAGTTCGATGGTGCGAACGACAGCCGTGTTCTCGAAGGAGTCGGCACGGGCAGCTGCCAGAAAAGAGAGTAAAGAGACGATACACCAGCGCCGCAGCATTTGGAAGGAAGGAAGGTGGTCAAGTAGAGCGCGCAATACGTGTCTGATGGGAACTTGCTAAATTTAGGCGTGACTTCTGTAGCCACAGCGGCGCAACGGTTGCCCTTCGTCTTGGAAAGTCACTTTCGGTAACTCCCACCCACGCACGGCGTACGAAACTTCGCGATTGATAGCAGATCGTATTAGACAAATCTACCAAGCCCACATTGCACCGGTATTCCTCAGCGGTTTATCCTCACGAGTGACGGAGGCAGAAACGATTCTAGCCAGCTTTCGTTTCCTCGCTTCGACCTTCTGCTGCTCAACGGTTTTCCCCTCCTTGAGAACAATGGTCAAGGATGAACTGGGCTTGATCCGAGTCCCCCGGTGACCTCGTCCTTGCGCAACCATTTTCTTCGAGCGTTTAGAACGCTTGCTCACCCATGCTTCCGCTACGGACAAGTGTATCAGCACGTAGTGCCTAGAGTTGGGAAAACTTGGAGAGACGAACCAACAACTAAAGTTGGCGCGTCCATCTTCCTCTTCTGCACGGCACGCTGCTTAGCATTCGCAAGCAGTTCCTGTATTTTCACAGAGGCGCGTTTGTTGCTGAACTGCATCTGGAGGATAGCGTAATCAATGGGTTGCCCAGAGATCTGTCTTCCGAGTTTGTTGAGCTTTCGGTGAGAAATGACGAAGGGGTCTGTGGATTGCTTGTGCTGCAAAACCTGTCAGGGAACCGGCGGAGAGAGGGACTGGAGACACGCACGAATACAGTTTCGTAACGAGAGTTGTTAGGAGCAGCTGCTCGTCGAACTGATTTTGCAGCCGCTATCGCCGGTGCCGGCGCTGTTGCCTTCACTTCAGGTGTCGGGGTTGATGGCGCGGTAACTTGCTCAGTCTGGACAGGCGCCACTTGAGCAAAGATACTCGGGCTATCTTCGGGCTTGGCTAACGACGTGTCCTTCTGACCGGGTTGCACTTTTGGTGCAGGCAGAAACGTCCGTTGAGCCCAAGCAAGGGGGTTGAATCGACTCGCGCTGGTTGTTCTCTCCGTCAGCCACCAGCCGCCGGCCAGAAATTTGGATGTTCCGCACCTGCGACGAGTCCCAATGGCACCGCTAATCCCGTGTCGGGATGGTCCCGCTACTGAGTGTTGCACCCAGCGAGAAGTCGTCGAGAGGCCATGACGGCCGAGCATGGTAAACACCAAAATGTAAAATCACGGTGTCACGATTCGTGACACACGCGTCTTGACCCCGACTTCCGCTTTCACCATGCTCACTTTCGCACCAACGAAGATGCTGGCAACAGCAATATATGTTTCTTTATTAGTGGTCAACTCAATGGCTGTCCTCAGTGAAGACAGATTCCTCGCGCGCAGTACGTCAATTCGGCGACGTTCTTGGTGCCAGTACTCAAGTGCTTTCAGTTGGATGGTCTTCATCCCAAGCTTCCACCAACCCCACGTTCCAACAGCAGACCTATGACGCCCAGACCGGATATGGTGTTCAGCAGGAGATTGGAATGAAGGCGCGATTAATTGACTTAATCAGTGCTGTGAGGACATTACTGCGCAGTGAGTGACCCTCGACTACAATATCTCTGGTGTTGAGATTGTCTAGTTCCCTTAATTGGTATGAACATAATGATAATCGTGTATGAGATACTGCTGGGCGGCACTTGAACCACGATTCCCGTTTGTCCTCATCATCTGCAAGGCCACGTTGACATTGCGGAGATCCACGTACCACGTTTAAGACTATCAACGCTCCGGTGGCTAGGACACATTCGCGTTATCCCACATCTCGCTATCCGACGCTGGAGGAACGAAGAACTTGCAACGAGATCGAAAGGCTGGTGAAGCAAGTTGGCTAGAGAGTGCATGCGGCAGTCCACCAGTGCTTACCTTGCAATGAACGTTGTCTCACGATGGTGTCTACGGAGAGTTCGCCGTGGACCTGATTTCGCTGAGGCACAGATTAATCGTCGAAGGACATGCAGCGATGGACAGACATACTGTAACTTGGTCTGCAAACGCGGCTGCCTCCGCAGCCCGACGCATCCTGGGGTTTTCTTCATTCAGCGCAGCGCTCTGGTTTTCGTTCTTAGATTGGTCCACCACGTCAACGCAGTAGTCAATGAGTTGTCGCCGCCGTTTCCAATTTGAGACAAGTTCCTGCCAGAGGTTCAAGCAAGCCCGGTCTTGAACGGTTTCCCGTGCTCGTCCTGACAGACGCTCTTGATCCCGGGCCATCGCAGTTTCCCGGTTGAGCCTGACGATAATAGAATCGTCGAGTTTGCGATACTCCCGTAGCAGCTCTAGTCGTGTGTTGGTCCCGGAGACGACTATGAGAACGGCGATGTACCTTTGAAGGCCCCTAGTTGGAAACAGGTCGAGCGCGACACATTCACGATTTGTGTCGGCGAGGGAGATTGGAGATAGAGGCTTCCGAGCACTGGTACATCTGTTGGCATAAAGTCTCGAGACAAGCTGGTGCGGCACTGCCACACGTGCCAGAGATGGGCTCTACAAGTTAATTCTTTTCAGCTTTCGCATGTCCTGGACCAGTGGTTTTACATGACTGACTACGATACAGAGTATTTCTAACTTCGAAAACAAGATGACAATAAAACAGCAATAGCGAAAGCAGGAATAAGCAGGAAGTCGTGAATGATATTACCTATCTGGTCTGGAAAGGCGGCATTGTTTCGTATGTGGCTGACTCGCTGGTTGGGTATGACGACTGCTGTCTTTTGAATTTGTTTGCCTTGTGACCATGTACATCGACATGGTGGCGATGTCGGCGCGCAGGGTCTCTGAACCACAATCCACACTTGAATCGGCACTCGTGAGGCGACTTCCCCGTGCTGTAAGAGTGGTCAACGATTTTGCAGATCTTAGCTGATGAATGACTTGCTGTCCGTCTTCATGAATGACCAGAGAGCATTTCTTTAAGAGGATTGTTAGAAAGAACAGACATTAAGAGATTGTGGTGCTACTTGTGGGAATGTTTTCTGACAAAAAGAACAGATGAATGGTCTGGCCAGAGTAAGATTCGGCAGGAAGCAAAAGAGAGGTCGGCTCACTTGATTTTGAGATGCGTCGTCTCGATATGTCTCTTAACCAGCTGCTTTTTTGAAGTGTAGCCACATTGGCCCTGGGGAGTGATCCAGACGCAGCGGAACGCGTTGTGGCCGTCCAGACAGACTGCGTGCTTTTGCCAGCCTTGTGATGGGAAGCCAGTAGGTTCGGGGGAAGACCCAATTGTCGGCGGCTCCTGGTGACTTGAGGATGCAAGCGGGGGCGATTGGGCGAGGAGATCCCAGCGTTCTTGTTTGGGCGGTGGACCGATATCAGACGAGGTTGGCTCTGTCGACTCAAGATATGCAGGCGACGACTGCCGTTTGGCGCTGCGGCGTGAGTATGAGTTGATCAACGCCCACGAACATGAAACGTTCACCGAACCTGGTCCTGCGTACGCTCCTGGAAGATCCTCTTCAACTGTCAAGGACGGTCGTCTCAGAGCTTTGTCACGTACGAAGTCCCCCCAGAATCAGCCATGCTTCTTCGTGGGTTAGACATGCTGTCCCCGGAATCTGAGTTTGTAACACCCATAGGACTGTGATATTTGGCATACAGAATGGGCCCCGACGTCATCTGAGATGCGGGTTTGAGCGGTGGCCACATATAAGTCGCAGTGGGAGTGTCAATAGCGAAAAGAGGTGGAGGCTTGCTGCCAGATAGGTCACCACGTTGGCTTATGGAGAATTAACGCCAAAAGTATTGATGCGGCATACACGATCAATCCACACACCGATGTTCTTCGTCACGAAACATATTTCTTGTAACACAGGGTGTCAGTGTTCGCACGCGTCGGAGCCGAATACCCACTTGCCTGCCACTCGATTCAGCCCTCTCGGATCCCCATCCGTCCCGCTCGGCTGAAAGGTAAAATGGAGATGCTGGTCGCAATTTAAAGTCCCCGCACGAAGGCGTCGCGTCATCATGATTGGAGAAGACCCGACTGTGATGACCAGAACGCGGAGGAGAATCGTCGTGTCGCAGTCTGGAGAGAAGATTGTCAAGACAGCGAGTGAATGAAGACGGGGGCCGGATGAACGGACCTTGAGCCACTCCCAAGTGCGGGAGAAGAGTGGAACGAGGAGCTCATGACGGTGAGTGATGAGATGGACTCAACAGTCACTAAGAGCACGAAGCACACACCTGATTTTATACGATTCGGCCACTGTTGCCGCGAAAGATAGAAATGTCCCAGTTAAGCGAGTGAGAGGATCTCCGATCCAGATCCAACTTGTCATCAGTACTGCTCGCATGGAGAATGATGGCGGCCTGTGGGCTGGGGATCGAGCTTGAGCGTTGTGAGCGCGTCTAGAACTGATTTCAGAAGTACAACAAAACCATGCAGATTGGGTGCAAACGTACATCGTATGGACAATACAAGCACCTTTAAGATACAAGCTTTACAGCTTACAAGTCCATTAGGTTAGAATCAGGCGGCTGCGACGTGTCCATGCTCCAATCAGCTTCCTCAGTTGAGTGAGCAGACGAGCCAAAAATATCAGTAGGCAACGACTTCGTCTGCAAAAATTTTCGTCTCGGCTTGGCCTTAATAGGTCTGGGGTTCCAAAAATCGTCGTTCGCGACGGCTGTAACGGGTTCTGGGTCCCTGTCCTCCTCTTCCGAGGCATCATCACCATCCTCTTCGACGCGTCCCCTCTTCCGCGGTGAGACAGGTGGGCGTGGAGAGATGAAGGTATTTCGTATAATGTCGTTGGATGACGTGAAAATGTCTGTCCGGGTATTGAACGGGTTTGATGGCGAGGAGGGAGCACTCGACGTGTGGCTCGCATTTCTGTAGCCCTCCGTGACGCCTACGACGCGTCAATGGAGGCAGGGACACATTGCATGGACCTCTACTTTTCCTGACGCGAGATCCAAGGTTCCGGAGCGCAAGCGCGAGGTCCGCGGGAGTCCTACACGGTACTTGCATGGGTGTGCATTCATCTGCTGTCACAAGCACTCACGAGCTATGCACCACATTAGGCGCGTGCGCATCCGTGTACGCTTCGATCGTCAATGTGCGCTTGCTGGGGGATGCGCTAGCCATGGTCCCGTATGTAAGAAACAGGGCGCTTGGCAGAGTCGGCAGTCACGGTGCGGATTGGGTATGACCAGATTTGGAACAAGAGAGCAACGTGATGTCACGCGCTGTGGTGACAACGTCACATTGCCGCATACAGGTACCTTTGATGTGTGGAAGAGCTGAAATCTCCCGTCCCTATGTTGTTCGGAAGATCAAGCTTGATCATGAGTCCAATTTATCACAATGATCTTTTCCTGAACTGTTTTGTCTCCGCTCAATGTCCACATGTCAAGGAATTTCGACAATAGAAATCGTTCCACCAAGCAAAGCCAAACTAGGACCCACAAAGATAACACAGACAGCAGAAGCTGTTGATCAAATATCATCTGTCAAGATGGATGTCGTGATACATATCTATGACTCCATCACGTGTCATCTAGAGTCATATCGACTCGTCCCAAATAGACACAAACGGCCCCCTGTATCATATATAAGGAGGGCTCTATTACCCTTTAATAAAAGTCTCTTGACTACTCCCGCATAGTGCCCACACTAAGCTCTCACTCACACAGGTGAGCTGCTAGACGCTCTCCCCAGTGCTCAACAGGTTATGGGCCCCGAGAGCTATGTCTGCGCCTCAATGGCCGCGACATTCATTGTATGCGCCGTCACTGGCTGCAACGATGAGCAGCGTCTTTAGCCTATCTGTATTCACTTCAGCTGCTGCATAGCGCTGGTGAAACCATGCCGGATCGCGATTACATCGTTTGATCCAGATGCATCGATCTCTGAAGGAGATTATGATCTATGAGGATCTGATCATCTTTATCTTTGATTTAATCTATCAGATTAGATTGATGCTGATCACTCACACAGATCAATATGTCGTCCAACTCCAACAACATCTTCAATGCTGTCTCCATCTTTGATGGAAAGCACTGGCTTGTATGGTCCGGAACTATGGAGTCCTACCTGGAACATCAGGGGATCTCATATGTGCTGACCGAAACGGCGCCGACTGAAGTCAAAGCTACCGATGGCTCTGTGACCAACGCATCGGAGATCAAACAATGGAAGCATGATGATCTCAGAGCCAAAGGCAGCATTAAGTTGCGCCTGACTGAGGGAGTCATTGCCAACATTCCAACCGCCAACATAGTGTCAGCTGCCAAGATCTGGGAGCACCTGAAGACCCAATACGGTGGTGCTCAGTGCGCCGACCTGTACGCGTACTTCCAAACCGCGTTGAACGCCAAGTACAACGTGGGGTTGCACCCTGATCCACAGCTGCTGGTGATCACTACGGCGTTCGCTCGCCTGGAGAATGAGTCTTTGAGCATCCCTGAGTTCCTCAGAGCGATGATCATTCTCAACATAGCCCGGATTCCCTCCGTCACAGAGACTGTTCTCCAGACCTATGAAAAGGACGAGATCAAAGTCTCGGCGGTTCGTGACGCTCTCTTGACGCATTTCGCTCAGAAGCAGTCTCAAAGCCAGAATCATGTGGCCAAGTTCAATACCAAGCGCAAGCGCGATGACCCTTCATTCACCAATCAGCAACAGGGCTCTGGCTCTGCACCCGATAAGGGTGATAAGGCTGATGGAAAGAAGAAGAACCGTCGAGGCAAGCGCAGTGGGAAGAACAAGGACAACAAGGGCAAGGGCAAGGCTGATCACAGTCATGTCCATGGAGTCTCCGAGATCACTGGCTCCCTCACTATCGGTTCGATCGCCTCGCTCACTCCGTCTATCCCTGCGCCGACGATCTCGCATGTCACGCACATCTCTCGCGATGGACCCAAAATCCGCGCGGTTCAAGAGAAGTCTCCCGTTAACAACAATGGGATTATTGACACCGAGTTTCAGAAGCCTACTCGCAAGGTCTTCGAGCTGGCCAAAAAGATGGATGTGACGGTGACCGCAGAACGCTTCCGGACTCTCGACAAGATCGTCAATGAGAAAGGAATGCTCCGCGAGGACGCAATCATGCGTTCTCCATCTCCGGTTGCTTCCGGCTCGAATCACACGCTGGATGATGGTCCTCCTGCCAAACGCAGTCGTATCGAGGAGATCCCCGACGTCGAGATGGCCACCGGCCAACAGAACGATCTTGATCTTCTGTTTGGAGATAGCGAGTTCGCCCAGGCTGAACCGGTCAATTGGGATGAAGTCGTCGACTTCAACACCCTTCTGGAGGAGATGGACGCTCCTTCCGCCGAAAGGCAAGTACCCTGCCTTCTTGGGCACATGCACAATTCTGATTGTTGCTCACAGCCAGAGCGCGTAATCACCGCCGCCCCGGGTTCTGTACTTAATTCGTTGATGATTCGATCGCATGATTTTTGTACCAATCTATTCTGTGTGCACTCCGATTTTGCTGCCTGCTCTAAGTGTAAGGGGAAACATCATCATCATGAATTAGGGCCTCTATGGCTTCTTGATTCAGGTGCATCTCTCCATGTGACATCGGAGATTAGTGATCTGGTCGGATATGAGAAGCTCTCAGATCCTATTGTTGCTCAGACCGCTGATAAGAACACACGTGTTGCCCTTATTGGTCGAGGAACAGCCTTCATCGATCATTACGTCACAAGGCATGGAGAAAAGACAATGGTGACTTCTCAGATATATCCAGTGTAAGATAGGGCTCAGCCATGGTCCGCCAACGTCAGTGGCTGTGTGTAACGCGTTACGGACCTGCCCGATTTGGACGCTTTCAACTAGATAGGTTTCGTTACGAGGATCTACTTCCCTGGGAATGAATCGATGTACGGGCAAATATTGAGAAAGGTCTTCAGATGATCTCAGAAAAATATCTTGGTGAATAATGCACTGTACGAGACGTTGAATCCAAAACATATTAAGTAGCAGTAATTTTAAAGCTGACGGAGCTCTTTGAATGCCTCCAGAGCACCCGAAGACTCAAAATCCTTCATATAATCAACAGGGATGGATCGGTGACCTCGATAACGCTTAGTGGCATATGCGGCCTCGCGCCCGTTCATGCCCTTTGCATATGCATCTGCATAACGAAGGCTGCGGTTGCAGAAACTGGAAAATATAATGGGTCTCCGAACTGAAATTCAAAAATATACAGACATACCGTCGCATACAGATCAGCGGAATCGAATCCAAGGCATTCAGCATGTTCCGACGCAAATCCTCCTCTTTCGAAGACTCCTCACATAGCCGATACAGCCGCTTCGCATAGCCCCAACATTGTTCAATGGGGTTGAGTTCGCAATGGAATTTCGGGAGGAATATCACCTGGACACCCAAAGAGTTGCACGCATCCTCGAGCACGGATCGAACACGAGAGAAATCTGGTTCGTTGAATAGAGTCCGACGCATGCAGCAGTTGTCATAAGTCCCGGACTCATTCATGGCACAGTTGAATTCAGTGCATTGGGCAGCCATAGCCCTGACATTGAAGCCACGCTCCTCCAAGATGCGCTTCATGCCCTTGAATAACCCCGCGTTGGGACCGGACTCGACGTATAGGGACTGAGGGGCGCCGTTGTGCGTGGCACCCGTCATTTGAATTTTCTCCTTCATCAAAGATCCATCAGAGTTGTGAAGCGGCTTGTTGGTATCGGGAGAGAGCACTGTCTGCTCAACCAGAAAGTTCGGACGCATCTTACCAGCGTTCTTCCCCGATTTTATCATGGCTGGCATTGACATAGGCATCCTGCGAGCGGATAAAGCATCATCGGCACGCTTTTTGTGTGTCGTTGCATTGTCATAGACAAACACATGCTGGAATCCTGGCCCGAACTCAGGCAAGATCTCAGTGGCGTCACGAGCTTGTTTCACAATGTCGGTGTTTGTGAAATAGCCCTGCAAACAGATCAGATAAAAAAATGGGCAGCAGCGAAGACAACAAACGTCTCGGTTCTTTCCAGGTGCAAGAATGACTCGAGCAGAATGTTTAGTTTCCGGGCCAATCAGCCAACCAAAGTCGGCGGAAAAGAAGTCGGCCACCATTAGAGATAAACCCTCGCCTTTCTTGTATGGTTTGACCGAGGCATCTTTGTGACGCCAACCCTGACGGCGACGATCATGTGCATAAAAAATCGACTCGTCATGATACCAGAGCACAACACGAGTCCCAGGGATGATTGAAAGAGCATCAGTTCTGGCCTGCATAGTTTCTGTGATCTCCTGACCATTTTTGTCAAAGACACGCATGCGTTTGCGCAAATCCGAGAGCTGGGGAATATAGATGTTGTTCCGATCATGAACCACATCAACGCGCTCATGCCCGTCAACATACTGCCCTTGAACGGGTGAACCAAAACGATACCCCAGTGCATTCAAGTAGCGCTTCGCGGTGGCAAGTGAGATGGACCAAAGAATACCGTGCTTCTCCTGAATCTCTGGCAGAGAAAACCAAGCCTGGACCTTTGCTGCTGAGATCCCGTCCTCCCGACCTTCTACACTCTTGGTTGATCCCAGGAGCTGCAGGTACTCAATGAGATCGTTCACCAGATCCTCGTTGGTCAACATGGTATGATTCCATTCGCCAAACGGATTGACAGGGAGAACCTCGCGATCGAGAATGTACTCGCGAGAAAGACGGCGGAGAACCCGAGCACAATATTCACCACGACAGAGTGCGACAGCTGCTGCGGTGGAGGACTTCCGCCACTTGCCTCGCGTATTAGATAATTCACTGGTATACATGGCCAAGAGGGCGCGAATGCCCTCGATCCGTGAACGCGTGAATGGATCAAGCTTGGGATCCAGATATCCAGGTCCCTTCTTGCGAGGCGGTCGCAACACCCGATCAAGATCGACAAGGGCTGAAAGAGCGGCTGTGATACTGGGTGCCTGACGCAGGTATCCATCACGCAGATGTGGATTTGATGCGAGTAGTGGAATAATCGGGGAGGGATTGGCCGGAGGACAACGATCTGGTCGCGTGGATAGTTCCTCCTCATCACATACTGTGTCCAGATCAAAAGGGTGAGAATCTTGCTCATCATCTGCCAGGAAGAAGACAAACTCGGAGTCCGAGTCTGATAGAACGGTGCTGCCAAGTGTCTGGGGAGGTTTCGAAAAGCGCTGACCCAAGATAGAGACGGAGTCGCCCCACAGGGATTCCTGGACGGATACTGTATCATCGTCCTCTATTGGTAGCTCCATCTTCCGAGTACGCAAGGGCGAGAATCGTGCGAGTGACCGAGGCTTCCAATCACTGAGAAAGCTGCGAAGCCGGGGTGATGTGATCGGAGTTCCGGTAGCCTCGGGAGCTTCTGTCAATGTATCTGCTCGTAGCCTGTTGGCCGAGAACAAGACAAGCTTTGATGTGGATCCAGGTGCAGTCGGGGAATCGTACTTACAAGACTGACTGTATACCAAGAGTGGCAAACGGATCATTGTCGGGAGGGATGCGCCGTGCAATAGTGTCATCAGCAACACCATTTGTCGTGATGTCTGGCTCCTGGACACGTCAGTCTGGTCAGTATTCACATGTATTTCTGCAGGATGTAAAGCTTACATTCTCATCTCTCCTTCGCTTCTTCTTCCGTGGAGTAACAATGCTTACAACACGTTTTGCGGTGTTCTTGATGGTGCCAACAGCCTTGCTCCAATTGGCAACCCGTGCGGCATTCGCCTTCTTCGGACGAGCCATGCGAAGCGGAGATGGACAGTGGTGGGAGGGAAGATTGGGATTGACAGCCATGTGGTGATCTCTGATCTTTGCTCAAACCGGTCAAATCTACAACTAACAATCATATTTTCGAGCGCCCGTATTCTGATTCTTTCCAAAATGACTCAATTTTGGTAGATTGTGCTCGAAAGTGTTATCTACGGCGCCATCAGTCCATAAAAGGCAGTCACGCGCACAGCCACTGACGTTGGCGGACCATGGCTGAGCCCTATCTTACCTAGTGCTAGGATTACATGGTCGTCTCATGTCTTTGGGCTCCTTACTCAAAGGAGGATCTCGCGTTCGTGGAGACGAATCGCGGATCAGCTTACATCGAGGGAAGTCCCCACTCTTGATCATGGAGTTTAGAACTCTAGGGAAGGACATTGCCTTGTACTTCCTGATGTCAAAGCCTAGTACGGCTGAGACAGTGCGATCCATGTCCACTGTTTACAAGGTGGATTATGAGATTATGCACCGGCGATTTGCACATCCGTCAAAAGACGTTTTACGTCAGGCAAAGAAGAATACCAAGGGCTTTCCAGAAGACCTAGTATTTCCCGAGGAAACCCGACCGTGTAAAGGATGCGCGCAAGGGAAAATGCACCAACGTGCCTTCCCGCCTTCCGAAAAACGAGCGGAGAATCCGTTTGATTTGATCCACTCGGATCTCAAACAATTTCCCACGGCGTCTTATCACAAGTACCGCTACTTCATGAGCTTCTTCGACGAAGCACTCTCCTATGGCTGGACAGTATGCCTTGCGCAGAAATCCGATGCCAAGCAGGCTATGCGCAATTTCATTGCGATGGTCAAGAACCAGTTCAATGTCACCATCAAAAAGTGGCATATTGACAATGGGGGAGAATTCATGGGGATGGGAATGGAAGAATTTCTCGCGGAACAAGGAATTCTAGTGGAGAAGGGTGCTCCATATGCTCACCAGCAGAATGGGCATGCTGAGCGCTTCAACCGTACGATCATGGATAAGGCAGAAGCCATGCGCTTCACTGCCTGTCTTCCTAATTCTTATTGGGAATTTGCTATTAAACATGCGACACGGATCTACAATTTGACACCTATCAGGCGTCTAAAATGGAAAACTCCATTTGAAGCTCTTCACAAGGAAAAACCGGATGTTTCCGAACTCCGAGTCTTTGGTTGCGCTGCATATGTCTTTATCCCTGATGAGAAGCGCGCCAACAAGTTATCGCCCAAATCGGAGCTGATGACCTACTTGGGCATTCCTGATGGTGTGAAAGGATTTTTGTTCATGCGCACAAACAATTCCACGTTCGTCGCCACCAAGGCATTGTTCGACGAGGAGTTGTTCCCCCGCTGTCCTGACAGCAATCGACCACCCCACGTTCCTGTTGGAGAGGAATTTCCAGAACGTGATGACCCAGTGAATCCACAAGATCCACTACAGGTAGACGGAGAAGATTGGCTATATGGAGATAATCCTTTTCCATTTCCCATGCCATCTGATCCGGCTCCACCACCTCCCGTACAGGGGAATGATGATGGTGACGACGGTCATAATCGTCAGGACCCACCGCCAGAGCGTCGGGATGAACCTCGGAGGACTCGTAGAAGTAGAATTCCACGACCAAGTCGGGAAGCTTCACCAGCTCCTGAGCCTCGAAGGTCTTCACGCCAGCGGAATGTGCCTACACGTCCAGGAAACGTCTATGGGGAAAAGCGTACCCCTACGGATATAGTCCGTGACATTCAGAACAGCAGAGGATGGAAGCGGTATGTTGGTGAAGATAAGGGTAGCTCCCAATCTCAACCATCAACCGGTGCTGATGCAGGGGTTCCCGGCCCTAGCTCGCAACCAGATTCCTCAAACGTGGGTGCTTCTGATGATCTAGACGAGGATGCACGCATGGAGAAGCTATGCCGGGAAGGGGGAGTAGAGCTCATCACGGCGCTGCTGTCAAAAGCGGTTCCAAATGAGAACCTACCTGATACGTCCAAAATTCGCGATTGGACGTTCCGCGATATCAAGCGGTTGCCTTCTGAACAACAGAAAGGTTGGATTGATGCTTGCCGCGACGAGTTAGAGGCACTTCGTCAGCGCAAGGTCTATTCCCTTGTGGACCGTCCGAAAGGACGGAAGGTTATCAGATGTCGCTGGGTCTTTGACCAAAAATCTGATGGCCGAAAACGTGCCCGCCTAGTTGCCAAGGGTTTCAGTCAAGTCGAAGGTGTTGACTATGACGAGATATTCTCTCCTGTTGTTAGGTATGAGACGTTCCGGTTGGTCATGGCGCTTGCAGCGCTCAATGATTTGCATTGGTCTGGACTCGATGTCAGTAAGGCTTTTCTCTACGGAGAGCTTGACGAAGAGGTCTACATGGAACAACCCGAAGGCTTTGTGGCGAGAGGCCAAGAGCGCAAAGTCATGTGCTTGCACAAGGCAATCTATGGACTCAAACAAGCTGCTTTAGCATGGTGGAAAGCGCTGACCAAGTCCACGAAAGCCATGGGCTGGATCCGACTAACATCGGATGCCGGCGTGTTCTTCTACAAGGACTCTGATGGCAGCATAGCCGTCATAATAGTCTATGTGGATGATGCTCTGTTCTTCTCCAAGAACAAGAAGCTCCTCGCCTTTCTCAAGGCTGAGTTCAACAAGCGATGGGAATGCCGCAATTCTGAAGATACTCCAGAGTTCTTGCGCGTGCGCCTCAGTAGAGTAGGATCTTCGATCAAGATTGATCAGATTCCTTATCTCGACAAGGTGCTAGAGCGCTTTGGGATGCAGAACGCCAAGTTCGCAGCGACCCCTCTACCGGCTGGATATGTTCCAATGCCAAATGAGGATGAAGTCGATCCAGAGCTCAGGAAGAAATTCCAATCAGTCATTGGATCTCTTCTCTTCATCATGCTAGGCACACGCCCTGACATTGCATTTGCTGTGACCAAATTGTCACAATTTGCTGCCAATCCGTCCCAAGACCACCTCCATAAAGCGCTGTATATCTGTCGCTATTTGGCTGGTACTAGGAATTATTCGCTCATTTTCAATGGTGCGACGGATAGAGGGCTAATTGCATTTAGCGATTCAGACTGGGCTGCTGATCCGATCAAGAGGAGGTCTACCACTGGTTTCTTCACGAAATTGGCAGATGGGATTATTTGCTGGCAGTCTAGACTTCAGCGCACAGTCGCGCAGTCTTCGACCGAAGCAGAGTACATGGCGATTTCAGATTGTAGTCGCCAGGTGATGTGGCTGAAGAGCGTCCTTTCGGAACTCCAGTTCAAACTCACCATCCCAGTACCCATTTGCGGTGACAATCAGGGTGCACTCTTCAGTGGCAGCAATGCCTACCGAGACCGCAGGATGAAACACATAGACATCCGCTATCACTACATTCGTGAGCGAGTCGAGGAAGAAGAGGTTGAACTGTTCTTTATTCCGGGCAGTGAGAATCCTGCAGATATGTTCACCAAGAACCTAGGACGCGTCAAGTTTGAGAAGTTCAGATCTCAACTAGGACTTGAGTTCAACTCGTCCTGAAGGAATGGCCGATGAAGATTCGCTTTCAAAACACTATCCCGTGGTTTTCAGCGTGGGGGAGTGTTGATCAAATATCATCTGTCAAGATGGATGTCGTGATACATATCTATGACTCCATCACGTGTCATCTAGAGTCATATCGACTCATCCCAAATAGACACAAACGGCCCCCTGTATCATATATAAGGAGGGCTCTATTACCCTTTAATAAAAGTCTCTTGACTACTCCCGCATAGTGCCCACACTAAGCTCTCACTCACACAGGTGAGCTGCTAGACGCTCTCCCCAGTGCTCAACAGAAGCGAAGGTTTTCCTCTGATTCCCGAACTGCTTCTTTGAATACAATCTCTCGTCTTAACCGAGACAGTACAAGGACACTAGACGCGAGCCTGATCAAAGAAGGATCCCAACAGTGGGTGACTGTGGGCGCTTCGAAAATTTCCATTTTGAAGACAAGGACAGGAGCTCTGGAATCGAATAAATGCGAAACATCACGAAACAGTCGGCACGCCATGCGGTTCTATCGCACTCTTGCAGGAGACGGCCCCCGACGGCTCTGGCAGCACATATGATTGCCGCCGCTCGACCAAAGAAGAACAAAGAGGAACAAAGAGCGGGGAGGTTACATCCAGCTTGTAACTTTCGAGAAAGATGCTATGATGTTCTTATCCACGCGCGTTTCCGCGAAGTCGTGTTACGTGTGGCGAAACTTGCTCAATGATCTTATCACGGCAATCACGATCTGATCCGTATTACTCTTTCCAGTCCGGGCGGTCCGAATCGACGTGGTTGCTTCACGCAAGTGAGCATCGTTGGATGGCGGCATGCCCGGCGCAGCCAGTCTTGTTGCTTCTGCTTCTCGGTCAGCCCGACTGACATGGCTCTTTCGCATTGCTCATGCTTATGCAGCCTGCCTCCTCCCTCCGTCCATCTTCGCCGCTGTTTCTGCTGATTCGGTCCCACCGTTTCAATGGCTGAATATCACCAGTCTGTTGCAAGGACCCAACCAACCTCCAGGCCTGATGGATGCGGCCATGGCCTATGATGAGACGAGGTACGTCGTCAAGCCTCCATATACGCCATGAGTCTGACAAGTGTCACAACTCAAGTCGAACGCTCATAATCTTTGGCGGATTAGCGTCTTCTGGGGTTCCACAAGCCGAGACTTACTTGTGAGGAGCATATAGTCTCATCTGCGATCATTCCAAGCCTTCTGTAGATTGAATTTGGACTCCCTTACGTGGTCGGTACCTTCGCCGCCAACGACGCTCACACGGACACCGCCCGCCAGAAGCGCAGCCGGTTCGTCTGACCCGGTTTTCGAATCGAACGAGATCATTGAAGCTTCGTCTCTCTCTCCCAGTGGCGGGTCACGACAGTGCCGCTAGCAAGTGAGTGAACAGCTTCGTCGTCGCGCCAACTTGATTCGACTTATCACCTCAGCCGCGATGGATTTGTCGTCATCGGCGGGATGGCTTCCGATGGATCAGCTTTGTCCGATGTTTGGGTCCGCATTACATTTAAGCTCGTGGTCACCGCTCATGAAACATCAGGAGTACGATTTCAATAACCAGTTCTGGTCTCCCGTGGTAAGTTCTTCTGACGTCTTACGGTTGACATAGGCGCAGAGATTGACCGCGTTCAGAATATTTCCCCTGGAGGTCCTTCATCTCGCTTCGGAGCCAGTGGAGGGATTGACACCCGCCTTCAACCCATATCCGATCCCGTTCTGCCCGGGCCTAACAACACGTTTTGGCTATATGGCGGCTCCGACGGATCGACGACTTACAATGATGTTTGGCGGCTGAACATCTCCGGAACCCTATCTTCGAATCTCCCTGATTCTGCTGTTGGTACCTGGGAACAGATCAACATCGCTACTGCGCCTGGACGGATCAGACAGGGAGGCGGCGTACTGGGCAATGACATCGTAGTCTCTGGCGGCTGCAATGGAACGCGTGTCTCTGGCCAGTCCTGTGCTGTCCAAGGATCGTATGTGATTGACGGTGCGACCGGGAACCCGGCCACGCCCCCATCGGAGAAGGCTGCACTCAATTGCCCCGCCCCACGGCTATCTCCCACCGTGATCCCGAACGGCAATAGCAACTCTACCGGCTTCCACGCGCAGATGCTTGTCCTTCTTGGTGTGTACAACACGAGTGTGTGGAACGATGGAAACGGATTGGAACACGGGGAGATTGTCAGTGGTACATCTGTGGGTCTGAGCTCGTACAATCGTTGACGCTTTCGCAGGCTGTTCTGGATATCAATACCCAATCATGGACCCGTGTTGTGCCTGCTGGTGATCCCGGAAGTTCGGGACAACCTTCTTTCCCCGGGCCTCGCGAAGGAGCTTCGGCGGTGATGTACCCACAAGCGCTGGTCGGTGATGCTGACAATCGGAAATCTGCGTCTGACATAATAGTATGTGATTTTTCCCGGATGAATGCATTTTCCGACCCGTACATCTAGATCTTCGGCGGACGTGATTCGTCCGGAAACTATCTGTCGGAACTGTGGATTCTTCGTGCGTACAACGGGGTTTCGTCGGTATCGGCCCCGGGGTGGGCTGGCTCTGGGAATGGGCCGTTGGAGACCGGGGTCAATGCCAATGGTGCCGGAGTTCAGAATACATTTATCACGAGCTGCGCGTCCTTGATTCCCCCGAACATCACCACAGTCACATCGTCTTCGTCTTCATCTTCGTCTTCCGTTTCATCTCACTCATCGTCTTCATCTTCCTCCTTGTCTCACAGTACTTCATCTGCGACACCGACATCCACTGGAAAAGCCAAAGTTGCTCCTCATGTGACATTGGACGCCGGAGTCCTGCACAAAACGCTTAGCTCAGTGTCTGTCGCATTGCTGCTTCCCTGGGTTCTTCTCTTCCGTCATGCGTCTCCATTCTACAACACAAAGAACGCAGCGAAGCCTATCTGGCGATATCTCGCTTATGCACTCAGTGGAGGCGTGTACGGTCTCGGCCTTGGCGGGCTGATTTTATCCTTTACGACTAGCTCGTCCTCCCACGGCCTGAAGCCATCAACGCTGGGGACCACGCATGGGCGGGCAGGGATCATCCTATTCATTTTCACGTACACTGCATTTCTGATTCTGCACATGTGCCATGGCCCGGCCGCTCCTGCAATCTTGGAAGACGAGAAGAAGCCGTCGACGCCTCCTCCCCTGTCTCGTTCCGTTGGCCCTTCCAGCTGGAGAAAGCGCATAGACTCGCTTGACAGTGGTTCTGCGGAGTCGACACTGCATCGCGGGTTTGAAGTTACCAATCGGCCGCGAAGGACGAGGCCGAGTCTCGATGCTCTGGTATGTGTTTCGGTCTGCTTTGTTTGCTTTGACTGATCCGTTGCAGGCTGAGCATCCAGGACCTACACCCGAGCCACTGCCTGCACCTGGATTGCCCAATTCTTCCTCGCTGGCCTTACGGATGTTCTGCCAAGCATCTTTGTTAGCCATTTCGATCTTCTTGTTGGTCAGTCTGTGGACCATGGCACCAAGAGCTGCATTCGGTGGCTTCTTGGCCTGGACTGTGCTCTTCTACGCCATTCTCGTCACATGCAGCTGGCGCGGCGTCCCGGATGGCTCGACGCTCACTCTTCTATTCCGGCGGATCCGAACCGAGCCCCTGCCGTCAGCAGAGGCGCCGCGGCCGTCCGTGTCTGATGAGGGCGGGAGCCTTCCATATCTGCATCAGCCAGCCTACAGGCGAGCCTTTCCCTCGGCAACTGCCGGCCCGACCAGCTCGGAGAGCGACGACGACGAGGACGACGACCGGGCTGAGAATGAGATGCGCCGGCGGGATATCTCAATCACGTCTTATCCCAAACGCGCGCTGCGCATCACGAACCCTTCATAACACTTGCGATGATCTGCTTTGAATTTGTAGAGTATGCTGTATGATTAAATGCCAAAACTAGTGGAAAATGGACTGATAACGAGTGTGATCGGAAAGATAATCAAGGCTCGTCCGCGACGACTTCTTTGCGCCATCGGTCGACTGCGCCGTATTTTGCCTCCTCGTGGCCGGAGACCATCGACATGGGCGGCTGCATCATCATCGGCGGAGGCCCAAAGAAGCCCGGCGCCATCATGGGCTGCGGCGAAAAGAACATGCTTTGAGCCTGCATCATCATCTGCTGGTGCTGCACCTGGGCTTGCGCCATCATCTGGTACTGCGACCGCCGCTGTTGCTCGGGATGGAACGCAAGCGGCGTCTCGTCATCGTCACCGCCGCCCTGGACAGACCCGTGGAACGACGGCACCAGCCGCGAGGCGCGCACACCCAGTGGCTCGTCGTCCTCTTCCTCCTCTCCCTCCTCTTGATTGCGACGGTCGAAGTTTATGGATGGCAAACTGATCTTGTTCTGCTGCAGCAGCTGCGAGAGCGGCTGCTCCTCGTCACTGTCCGATGCATCGTGCGCAGCCTGAAGCTGAGTAGCCCGCTGCACGGCTCTGTCCACTGTGGCAGCCAGCGGCATGTCCTCCTCGCTGTCCTCATCCGCCATCTGAGCGGGTCCCTTGTTCGGATAACGCGGGCCGGTCCCGGTGGTCCGGCGGGGACCTGTTTCTTCATCGTCAGACGAGTTCCATGCATTCCCTTTCGCCGGTGCTTTCGAAGGCCCGCCGCCATCACTCTCGTCGCTGTCGCTGTCGTTGTTCACCGGTGGCGGTGCTCGCAATCGAGGAGAAATTGCAGGCAGAACCGGTGGCGCGGATGGCAGTCGTTCCTCGACGGATTCGGAAGGTGTTAATGGGGGTGCTGGAGACAGTGATGGCTCCCGTCCTTTGTTCTTACCCTTGCCCTTCTTGCCCCCGCGCTTCCTGTCTGGGACCTCTTCCTCTGCGGCTTCTTGAGCTTTCCGCACGGCTTCTGCCTCTTTCTCCTGAGCCTCCAAAGCCTTGAGCTTCACCATCTCCCGCTCCCATAGCGTGTCCACACCGAACACGGATCGGTTGTTTGGTGTCCGTCCAACGAAATTCGGCATCGGCCGTCGCAGTTTGTCGTCTTCGTCAAATGAAAGCAGAGGCTTGGCGTTGATCGAGCCCCGACGACCCAGGGCTTGCTGAGACCCCTGCGATTCGAAAGAGCCCAGATGCTGCGTTACTGGGCGTGACGATGAGCCAGGCTTCACCTGCAGCGAGGCTGGATCAATCAACGTGCTCTGACGTTGCGCCGAAGTGCGGGCCATCATCGTCGGTCGAGCATCGCCCGCAAACACACTACAAGTCATCAGTTCGAGTGCGTCCCGACAACAGTTGTGCACTTACCGTTGCTTGGACTTCATCTCCAGTTTACGGCTCTCCAGATCATCAATCAGACTCTTGCCGAACAACTTGCCCGCGGGTTTCGCCGGCTTGTGATCTTCTGACGGAGGCATAAGCTGCGGTTCCTCCGGAAATTCGGGAGGCGGAGCGGTCAGCTGCATCTGAACGCCGTCTTCCATTGCCCGCGGGATGTCGCCGTCGATGTCCTGGTACGTCACATCCCGCTGCCCGTCGACCATCAGCGTGTTGCGGAACGTCAGTTGAGACAACGTGAGATTAGCACGCGGATTGGGAGTGAACAGATTGGACGGAGAAGGGTCTAGGGCTGATCCACGCCGAGTCGAACGGGCACCGGGGGGCAGCGGCGGGTCCACAGACGACAGGAATCCGTCTCTGGACTGCGCAGAGGGCGTGGCCATGACAGGGTTCGAAGTGCTCTGCTGCAACGGACTCGGCATGACCAGAACTTTGGGTCGCAGCAGTTCGGCCGTCGAGTACCGCCGCTCTCGTCCTAGTCCAGTCATCACAGACGCATCGTCGAGCATCATCCGCGAGCCCATCGACGCGTTGGACATTGTCCGGGCGTGCGCTGCTCCCTTGGGATCGAATTTGGACATCATGCTTGGAGGACGGAGAGCAAATGGATTGTTGTCGTCTGCGCCAGTTTGATATGCCTTGGGGTCAAATTTAGATGTGAAGGTCGATGCTCGGGGATCTCCCTTGAAGTCGTCGTCCGGAAACTGGCCCGGTCCTGGGGAGGGAGAACGGACGGAACCCGTGGGGAATGGAATGGATTGCGTATTGCCCGAGAAGCCAGCAGGTGGCTGCGAGAAAGATTGGGACATTGATCTGTGCCGAGGGAACGAGATGGGCTCGACGTTGAGCAGGTCGACGGGAGAGCCGAAGGATTTACGTCTGTTCTCGTCTTCTAGGTTGACCATTTGGTCCATGTTGCCGACGCTCATAGACCTCATCGTACGTCGAGGGGCAGTATTCATAGTCTGGGAGCGCACAGACTGTATGGGGTGCGGGTTCGGTAATGTCGAGCGCCGCGAGCTGCGCTTGGACACCTTGGGGTCCTTCTCCTTCTCTATGAACGCGTCCAGTCCCCACGATGTCAAATCTACCTCCATACCTCCCTCCTCTCCCTCGTCCCCATCTTCGTCGTAGTCGTAGTCCACGCTCTCATCCGCACCAAATGGGTTCCGGAGCATATTAATGGACGATCGGGATTTCCGACCACTTAGTGCGGATTCTCGGCCGTTCAAGCTCCCTGGGTCGCTCGGTAGGGCGACATTCAGAAAGTCGCTTTTACGAGGCCCAGCACCTCGAAGCTGCATGCGTCGGAAGTTCGAGAAGATCGCACTTTCCTGGGCGGAACGATATGGGGCCTCAGGATTATTGGGATCATTGTCATACTCTGGCCAGGACGTGTGAATACAAGGATGTGGGGGAGGAAATAAGCCCGACCGATTAATGCTGCTGCGAGCTGCAGTCGAGAGAACGGGGCTGGAGTTGCCATGGGGGACTGACTGGTCGGACCAGGTCAGGGCATGAGTTGGCGATTAGGCGCTAACTCCATATGTTAGATGATCACGTGATATGCCTGTCTACTGCGAGGGTGCGGTGGTGTCCCTCATAAAGCTAAGCAATGCCCATGACATCCCACGCATCTCCATATCGTACCACCAGTTGAGCGCGATTGTACGGTCTTCCTGTCTGACTTGGTGCCACCACCCGGGAGGAAGATACAGTGTTTCTCCAGCATTCACAGTGATATGGATGGGATGGGCCTCCTTGGGAAGAGCGTTGGGGTCATTAACAGTGGCCCACCGCACTGGGGCATGCCCTTGAGATAACTTGAGGGACAGCGCTTCGTCCGGATTTTGCCGCACCCAGGTGGCATGTGGATAGATATTCTCTGGCATCCCTGATCAGCTTCGGGAATATCAGAGAGAGGAAGAGCATGACCTTTGACGCACCACCCTTCTGCAGGCGGCAAAACCATGAAACGTTTCACGCCGCGGACGACATGATATACATTCTCGTATGGATCTAGGCCAGTCTTTCAGGATTTGGGTGGCATGCCACGCCGAGTCATACTCGCCGCTATGGATGCTCGTCACGCTTTTCTTGCTGCCGACTATTATCGTCAGCGCCTTCCGGTGTGGATAGACAAGGAGACCCACTCCACAGGTTCACTGCATCGGGCGGTCTCCCTGGGGGTCGTGAGCCAGGCTCAGACATAGACATGCAAGAAAGATGTACCGAGTGCTTCACTACACCACGGGATTTCGCTGGGGATGTCCGCCCGCAGAGCAGTGAATTCGGAATCATCTTCAGCCCCATCAAAGAAAGGCTGCGAATACACATTTCCATTCTGCGATTGCAGATAGTAGACATCCGAGCTTTCAGCCTCTGGTGTCGAAGTCCTCGGTATCAGAAAAAGTGGGAATTGGAGCCGCTTGCTCGAAGACTTACCAGCATCCAGGATTGATAAGAGATGACCCATAGTCATCTTCTCTGTTGCCGGCTCGGCGAAACACAGGGGGCCATCCTGAGTCGGGGTAACCGCGTCTGCCCGACTGCCAAAACTCGTGAGCGGTCTGCACTCGATGTGCATACACCGGCTCCTCTAACCCGTTTGGAGTCACAGCGACAGATATTTCCGAGTCTCCCAGCGCACCAGCAAGATATTCGTCGTCCCAGAGTCTACAAGCTGGAAGCACAAGTCCCCGGATCAGAACTGGCCGAGAGATATGAACTAAGCGCGAAAACTCCATAGCCGAAGGCGGTGAGTCCAGAACATCGATTTGGGAGCCGTTCAAGTCTGAGCATGTGCACAGTGCTGGGTATTCAAGAGAGGAAATAGATCATGTATACCATAGTATTCATTTGATAGAGAGACGAGATGAGGGGGCGCCATGATCGTCCAGTTCAACAGCCAAGATCAGCAGATCACAATCGACGCGTCGGCACGTGTTTGCCACACCGCGCTTCACGCCTGTCACCACACGCCTAGGAACTCGCGTCGTGAGAGAACAGATGGAGGACACATTTGGACATTGATTCTATGGGATGGTAGTGCTACATTGACAGGAATACAGAAAACACGGATGCAAAGGCAAGCAGAATCCAGACAAAAGGAAGCCGAAAAGACATCGAGAGTGGCTCCATCAATGTTCAGCTTCTTGAAGCAGAAGCCTAGCTGTCATATGGAGAGGCATAGAGGCTGAGGAAGTGTTGGACATTATCTCCGCGATCCAGCACAGCGACGATCGAATCCGTGGCCAAGTGACAGACCTGCGCGGAAAAAATAAGTTCATAGTCATGCGCTGCGTCCATCGGACATACCCTCGAATACCCGCCGGCTTGCAATGTACCACGGCTGTCGGACAGGATTGGTCATCGGCCAACGGCAAGGTGACGGGCGCTTACCTCTGAGAAATGGCGTTGTGGATGGCATCTGTGCTGTAACGCCGCCTGTGAAGTTATCAGACGGAAGCACACGCGTACGGTCAATGTGATTCATACGCACAGAACGCTCTCGAGATCTCGCCTTGTACGAGGCGGTATCATGAGCTGCTCGCGGGACAAGTAGCGCTATTGAGCGATCAGCACGAGCCCTTAGACAACCCAGTCCGTGCGTGCTCACCTTGAAGCTAAGGTAAGAAGCTGAGAGCGCGACCATGCCCTCATCGACGCGGTCCCAGTCGACAGGGCTTTCACTGTGGCAAGGTCAGTCATTGTCCCGACGACGACACCAGACTGCACTGACGAGGTGATTGTATGAGCGCGGGCCTCAGCGCTGTGAGGCTCAAGGAATTTCGCGATATCAGTGTGGTACATGGTAGTGAGAGGGGAGGTGCTAGTGATTGGGTTGGCACCTAACCGGCTTATATATGTCAGTGTGGGCTTTCCGCATCGCACACGTTCGATGAGTCAGTTGGGCAAAGGAAAGATTATTTATGTAAGTTGTTGCTTCATCACGGTGTTCTTGGCCTCGCCGGTAGCAATCAATTCCCCATAAAGACTGACTTCGGCACTTCCGGGCGCTTCCGGGCGCTTCCTGCGTCCTCCCCGCAGCTTGGCCTAGAGAAATCCAGTCTTGGCACAGTCGATATGACCGAGGCTCCTCTATACCGACCCTTGGATCCCCATGGCTCCCCGACGTTCCAATTACGAGATCGCGTCAACGACAAGTTCAATCTTGCTTTGGAATCTTATCAAGATCTGTACCGCTGGTCCACATCGCATATCGCCGATTTCTGGGACATTGTATGGGACACCACTGAGATCATAGGAGAGAAAGGACAACATGTAGTGGACGAGTCGGTCAATATCTCTGACAATCCGCCGTGGTTCAAGGAGGCACGTGTCAATTGGGCGGAGAACATGCTGAGACCCGAGATGCGCGAGAGTAACAAGGTCGCATTGGTCCAAGCAAGTAAGCAGCCCATGTGCCTCTCATCCGCAGGTTCTTAGAGATGTCCCACATGACCAGCCGAGCCAACTCCTGTGAACCCCAATCCTCCGATGAAGAGATGCACATATGCCGAGCTCTACAAGCTTGTTTCTCGTCTCGTGTCCGCGTTGCTTGCCAACGGCGTCAAACCCGGAGACCGCATCGCGTCCTATTCCTCGAACTGCATCGAAGTCGTTGCTCTCTGTCTTGCTACAACTGCCATTGGAGCCATTTGGGTGAGCGCCGCCGCAGACTTTGGGCCCGCTGGTGTCCTGGAGCGGTAAGCTTCTGGTATGTCCCTGTCTCGGCCTTGGGAACTGATCATGCCCAGCTTTGATCAGATCCAGCCGAGCTTTATATTCGCTGTCGACGCGGTCGTATACAACGCCAAGGTTCACGATCATCTTCCGAAGCTCGCAGCACTTCTATCCCAACTGAGTCCAGGGCCGAAGACTGCTCGACCGCAGGTTGTCATCATCCATACGATTCCTTATGCCGAGGATAAAGCGTCTTGGCAAGACGGATGGATGGGCTGGGAACAGTTTCTCGAGAATCATCCTGTGTCGGCGGAGATTGCCTGGCATAGAGCGTCTTTCAATGATCCGTTGTGGATATTGTTCTCCTCGGGGTCCACCGGTGAGTATGATTGACATGATTTAATGCATGTCTTCATAGCACATGGTAGGAAGACCCAAGTTTGTCTTGACAACACCCTTTCTTCTCAGTTCATGCTCACGTTGACAGAGCTATTGTGCATCGTGCCGGCGGAATGCTGCTTCAAATGAAGAAGGAATATCTGATATGCGCTGATCTGAAGCCGGAAGATGTCTTCTTTTACTACACAACAACGTGCGTGCAACCAGTGGCGGTTTTCCGATATTCAACCTTGACAGCGGCTGGATGATGTACAACTGGCTCATCAGTGCGCTTAGTGTCGGATGCACTCTGGTGTTGTATGACGGGAGCCCACTGCGTGATCCGGCTTATCTGTGGCGGCTCACCGACGAGCTGGGAATCACACTTTTCGGAACCAGTGCTAAATATCTCGAACAGCTTTCGGTACTCTTTCCTTGCTAGCCTTGTGCTTTCATTCAATAACGATGCCCAGAAAGGTTACCAACCACGATCCCACCACGATCTCAGCTCTCTCCGTCACATCTATTCGACAGGCTCTCCGCTGTCCTCTGTGCTATTTGATTATGTTTATGAACACATCAGCCCCGCTGTGCTTTTGGGCTCTATCACCGGTCCGTTCTCGTGTCTCCACTTTCTTGCTTGATGTCACGTGCGCTAGGTGGAACGGACATCTGCTCCTTGTTTGCAGGAATGTGCTCGGCCTTGCCGGTTTATCGAGGAGAGATCCAATGCAGAATGCTTGGGCTTGCAGTTGAGAGCCTCAACGAACAAGGAGTCATCAATCCACCGGGACTTCCCGGTGAACTTGCATGCATGAAGCCGTTTCCGTGCATGCCTGCAGGGTTCTGGCCCCTGCCTGGTTTCGGCGCTGAGGAAGCGGTCATCGCTGCACGGGAAAAATACCGCCAGGCCTACTTTGCTGAGTACAGCGGTGTCTGGTGTGGGTTTAGTTCGCAACGTGGTTTCCGGGTGTTATGCTAATATTCCCACCAAGACCACGGGGACCACATTGTTATCACCAGCTCGAGATCTGGGAACGGCGGTGGCTTGATCATGCTGGGTCGCTCAGACGGTGTCTTGTGAGTCTACCCGAGTCCTTTACCCCGCTCACGCTCCTCAAGAAATCCCGGGGGCGTGAGATTCGGATCCTCCGAACTGTATGATGTGATTGACTCCGAGTTTTGTGCTGCTGGCCTGGTGGCAGATTCGCTTGCGATTGGCCAGACGCAGGCTGAGGATGAACGTGTCTTACTTTTCGTCAAGCTGCCTCCTGGGCAAACCCTGACCCCCGATCTTGAGAGGCAGATCAAGCAGCAAATACGGACCCGGCGGAGTGCTCGTCACGTTCCTGCGCTGATTCTGCAAGTGGAGGACATTCCGTACACTCTGAACGGCAAACGCGTCGAGGTCTTGGTCAAGAAGGTTTGCCTCCTCGTTTGCTTCCGAGGAGATCGATCGACATGTCTTAGATCATCAACGGAGCAGCTTTATCGATTGTCAATCCCGCCACCTTGGCTAACCCGGAATGCTTGCCATTGTACTATGACCTGGGTGTCCAACTCAGACGTACCCAGTAGTTCTCCTTTATCTATCTATCTACGTCTGTTGCTCTAGCAGCATATTGTATTTGAAGAGAACCTCTGTTGCAAGCTGCCTTATTAATAGCAACCATGTGTTACACAGCCACAGAAATTTGTCTTCGTCCCCCCACGGACGCAGATTTCTGGGTCAGCCACAAACGACTCGGTGTCTCTTCTCGCTTATCATCTCTACAGTCTCATCGTTGCACCCCTCGCCGCATCCGTCAGGCCTCACGATATTCACGCCACGCGCTACCTTCGGCCAAGTTCATGTTTGCCTCGTGTTCATAAGTACAGCCTACTTATCATCACACCTACCGAGCTTCCCCCTTTCCCTGCGACGCCTTATTCACTCCTCGACGACACTTACCTGTAATGCCTTCCCTGTTCATTGCTCTCCGCGCATGCCTCTATGGTGCGCTCGTTCATCTCCCGGCGGCGCTCGGCTCATTAGTTGCAGCTGCGGTTCTCTTGTTTTCACTGATCTGCCTGTCTATGGCGGGACACTTTGCCAGTGCGTTCATGTCCTCGGAACTCAGTGCGTATTCCTCAAAAGTCGGGGGGATTGTGAAGCTAAGCTGTTGCAGCGAGTTTCGTTCCCTTCGCCCTGTTCGTGTGTGTAGTCAGCCTGTTGTTCATGTCGGCTCTGTGAGTAGACTGCTTTGAGATGCATCTGTTTGCTCACATCTGGTAGTCTGGGCTTCAGTGTGATCAAGAAGGAGCGCAATCCTATTTCACTGAAGATTGAGTTGTTGAGTCTGGGCTTTGTGGGCATCATCTGGTTCTGTAAGTTACCGTTCTGCCTTTCGTCGCGGCCTCTCTCTTACTATGATCGTAGCGCTAGGAATCTTCTTAGCGACATCCAATGCCCAATCAGCGGATGTGGAGTGTTTCGCGTCCGAGTCGAATTCCACGACAATGACTGTTGACGACACTACTTCAGCTCGTGAGCGAACACTTCGTCGTGGCGAGATGTCTCCTGACAGTCGTACAGTACAGACCGAACAATTTCACGCCATGTATCACGTTCTAGAGGCCTTTTCATTGCTTAACGCCATCCTCGGTGCGCTACAGCTCTCGTCGCACGAACGCATAGCACCCGCTCATTCACCACAGTGCTGTTCGCATTCTTCACTCTACTGTTCTTCGCTTGTCGCCGCAAACTCGAGGGCGACTCTCACATGTGGATGGGACCAGTCACGGCTGGGGTCTTCCTCGACTACAGCAAATCGACTGCGCGGTCGAATCCTCGCAAGCAGAATGAGCTGCCGATGCCAGCAACTCTCACCGAGAAGCCGACGCGTCGGGGTCACTCCAGACACAAGTCCCACAACAAAGAATCGACTGCGAAGCACAGCCGATCCCGGACGCATGGGGCTGCAGACCGCTACACCCGGCGTGCGTACCAAGGGGGTTCTGGCCAGTCTTCTCTCATCGGATCGAACGAGTTTGATAACGGTGAGATGCACAACCCCAACCGCCGTCCGTCCCGGTGATGGATGAAGCGAGAGAATCTGTAGCATTATATTTGGAACAAATATGTAACGAACTGTTTACTACCGGAGGAACCCCCCCATAAATGCATATTGGTGTAACAGCGCTATATACACGCGAAACACTGGCCATGTTTAGACAGTGCGGACGATGTTGATTCTGGGCGGTCGGGTACAATCAGTGATAACGAGACTTTATCTTATCATGAAGATCACGCAACATCGATCCAACCCCGTTGATGCGCCGAAGGCTGCCGGAGCAATGTGCACCAAGTGGTCACAAGAATGACCTTTTTCCGAAAGATGGCTCTAAACTCCAACTTTCCGTGCCTATGAGCGAAGATTAAGCGCTGAGCACCCATACGGCTCATCGAATTGACGACGGCCCCATTATCTAATTATATCACGTGCTTAAATCTAAATCGTAAAGTCTCACGCCCAACCTGCTGGATCCTCCTCAGCCTTCACTTGAAGCCATGCCTCGACACACATCACTATCCCAAGAGTTTGAGGTTATCGATGTAGACTCGCTAGAAGAAGAAGACTTCCGCCCTATTCAGCGGCAACGCTTACCCGAACCACGTGCGAGGTCTCCAGAGGTAATAGAACTGCTGGACAGCGACGATGAGTTTTCTATGTGGGTTAATGGCTCGAGCGGTCCAAATACTGGTGAGCGTCGCTAATTTGTTAACTTATCTCGGGGTTTCTGACATTAGCGTGCAGCCTCTACGTCGATGAGCAATGGAGAGAGGTCTAGAACGGGTACGATTCCGCCCCCTGCGGTTGCAGTCCTCCACTCATGTCTCATAAGACCAGCGACGTTATATTTCCCCGCCACCTCCTCCTACCGCATACAATAATGTGCCCCCCGTCCCGTCTCTACCACCCCGTTTCCAGAGCTTTGCCTCCTTCCCTGGTCCCGTGCATCGTTCCCGTCACCCAGCACCCGTGCCTTCCGGATCGACGTCCCGCAACCCGATCCCCGCGCCGATCCGCCCGTTCGAGCAGGATTTCGATTTCCAATTCGCATCGCCTCCCCGCCAGACCTCTCCGCGTCCAGCAGCGGTGCCTCCCCGGCGGGCTTTCTCGCCGGAGTTCCGCCCCGCCCCGGCTGCGCGGCATAATCCTCCGATGGGATTCGGTGGCGCTCTGATCAGCACTAACAATGCGCGCCTTGAGGCCGAGCGGGCTGAGCGGCAGAGGAGGATGGACCGTCGGCTCGCTGGGGGGCGGGTGGCACCCGGAATCGCTCAACCGGATGGTGGCAGGTCTGGTCTCGACGGCTGGCATGCCGCTAATCACAATGTCGGCTACATGCAGGGGATGACCAACACGAACCCCTTCCGTTGGGGGGGCGAGGGCGCGCCAGTGAACCAGGTCAACGTGCTCGCTCTGGGGCAGCTTGAGGGCGCGGATACTCGTACACAGGGGGACGCGCAACTTGCGCTGGATCTCTTCCTCGCTGATGCCGAGCACGGCGCCCGTGCGGATATGGCTCATTTTCGCCGCTGGGCCATCTTTCGGCCACCTCGAGAAGAAGACAAGTACAAAAAAGAGTGGACACATCCGCACAGGCTGGATCCTGGCTTCGTCAGCGACTTTGCACCCTCTGATGCCCTTTCTGGGGTGGTCGAGGATCACGGCAAAGGCAAGGCCAAGGAGTTCATTGATGTCGACGCTGAGAACGACGGTGGTCCCAACATGCCGCTCGTGTGTGTCAAATGCTTGGAACCCCTCTCCATGTGCTCGGAGCTCAGTATACCGGAAGATGAACTGCGCAAGCGGCGTGTCTGGGGATTGCGTTGTGGGCATGTCATTGATGGGAAGTGTGTCGACCTATTACGGATACCCCAGTCTGCTGCAGAGCCCCAGACTGCTGCTGCGGAACAACCAGATCAAAAAGAACCAGATGAGCAGACGGAGGACGATGGCGACGCCGGCGGGCTCATCCCAGCCCCGATTGCATCTCGTTTGCGTCATCGAGCTACTCTCGGTGTGCCTACAAACGGCACCTCTCGGCGTGCTTCGGCACAACGAGCCAAAGCTAAAGCGAAGCCCAAGGGGAGACAGGCCCGGAAACCCGTGGTCGAAGTCGAGTTTACTTGGGACTGCCCTGTTGAAAGCTGCCGAAGAAAGCACGTGACTCAGAGGATCGCTGGGCAGTGGATCAACCCTCCAGACACCGGCGCAATCCCAATGTTTGTATAGGTGAATACAGCGTCACTAAAGCCGAGGAATAGTCTAATTGTCCTATTATACTACTTGGATCCAAAAGAGTGACAAGATAACAGCAACTCATGGGTCACCGCAATGTTTCCACATGCGGACATAGTCTCTGCGGGGTTTATGAGTGACAGAAGGAACGGGACATGGTCGGACACTTACACGACCATCGCCCGGTCTTCGAGATTCTCGGGCCAAGTCGGGAGCCACTGCTTTGAGCCTTGGATGAAATCGACCATAGGATCTGCGCACAATCAGAGACAGTCTCCCGTGAACATTGGATCAAACTGACTGCCAGCCGCATTTAGCCAGGGCTTATCTCCCTGCCCGTCAGGAAACCAGCCGTTGGTACCTCCGACGGCGATATTCATGATGAGATAGAAATCTACGTCGCATTCAGCGTCATCGAATGCAGGCAGTCAACAAATCAAGCACCTTGATCGAACGGAGTCGCGCTCGTTCCGTTGGTCCAGGGATCGGACAATGACTGCAGCCGGCCATCCTGTCCCACGATCGTTGACGGGAAGTCCCCGAGATCCCAGAAGGGCTGTTTGAACGGGAAATCGAGTAGAGTGTGCAAGCGCGTGTCGACGAATATCCGCAGCCACTTGTCTGTCCATTCCAGCGTATACGTGTGGAATCCGCTGCTGAATGCCTGTCGTTTCTCCGTCCACCACGAATACGATTTGCCGACCCCGTTCAGGCCTGGCGTCGGTCCCCAGTTGAGCGAGCCTTGAACGTAGTTGGCTCCTCTGCCAATCCGAATTAGTTTTGCGGGAATGAAGCTGCATCAACTTGCCACACCGATTAGTGTACTGGATGCCATTGCCTCGGCTCTCGACGATATCAATCTCTCCGCTCGCGGGCCAGGGCCCGTAGGTGTTGTTCACCGGCAACATCCAAATCGCCGGCCACAGCTTTGACGCGTGAGTAACGGACAAGTCGAGAAGCAGCAGAAGACTCTCACCCAGTCACCCACGGGCATCTTCGCACGGACTTCGACCCGCCCGTATCGCAGACTGCCGCGCGAGAGGCCAGATTCGTCGCCCTTAGCGGATAAGATTGTGCTCAATCTCGCGCTTTGAACTGGATTGATGATCGTGCCCGCGGTCGAGTTGGTCGTCCGGCTGCAGGCAGCGTAGTATCCATCCCAGTCGAAGCTGGGCAGCCTAGTGAGCATTTCTAGAAGAAGCGAAACCGGAGGTTGGCTTACCCAGGTTCAGTGCTGCCTGGTGCAGGTGGTTTAGTGAAGCCTCCGTTCGGAGCCGTGAGATTGAAGGTGCAGTCGGTGCTGTTATAGGTGGTGCCTGCATTTATTCAATCTCGGGAATGACGCGCGTCTCGTTCCACTCACCCTCCGGGAATGGGAATCCGGGCGTCAAACTGGGCACGAGGTACAGATTTCCGTTCTGGAGGAACGAGTTGTTCGACGATCCTGTGGTCATCTGGAACTCCCCGTTCCCGTAGCCGTCCATCTGCACCTCCCTCAACCACCGCCCACGCGATGTAGCAGTCCCAAATACAGCTGCATCGTCCCCGCTGTTGAAATTGTCCTCGAAGACGAGGCAGAGTGGCTGGCGGTCGAGGCGGACGTTCTTCCATGTGAGATAGGATTGGAGGCCGCCCAGTCCTGCACCGACGAAGAGGAGGATCCATGTCATGAAGTAGCTGACTTTTGCCCGTGGATTGGATCTCTTGAGCCACGGCTTATCGACCGCTTTGTAGGGCTCCATAATTGGAATTGCGGTGGATTTCATGCGCTTGGGACGTTCAGACCCCAGCGATGCGGGGTCGACGACGCCGGTGTTGGCCCGCGTCAGTGGGGGAGTGTCGAACGGATTCGTGGCCATGGTCAGAGGAAGGAACGGGACGAGAGGACCGGAAGTGAAGGGGAGGAGCGGCGGACAGGGTATCAATGTCTGTAACACGACATTTACTCCGTTATGACATGTCCTCGCGTTGGACCGCCCCGAAAAGAAGGGTTCCCATCGGAGTCAGGACGCTTCCAAACGGGCGGACGGCATGGTACGAGAGACAACGTGAAGGCCGGCCCTGGCCCCTGGCAGATATCTCGACACAGGCCATGACATGCGATTACAGTAACATAGAGTTATCAAAAGAGAATCTGTCGGAATCTGGTTTCAACATAGGAGCGGCCAGTGCAGCAGAAGGCAGATGCCAGATGGAGGTTGTTCACGAGGGTAATCACAATCAATTTTGCTTCCGTGATGGACCTGGCGGCTTTGTCATTTTGACAGATGGCGATGCCGCGGGGATTTACCGCTGGGCAGCCGAGGGAACGGGCAGTATTGAGGCATGATGACTGTGCGATGCATAGCATCCAGACCAGAATGGGCGTTTAGCATTTTAAATTTTGGGTGGAGTTCGGTGATTAGGATACCTATTCCACCGCACATGAACGTCAGCCAGGCTCAGAAAGCATCGTCGGCTTCATGAGCAGACACTGAGGAGTGCTCGGCTAGTTGTATATGCTCTGCTGTAATTGTGGAGGGACATCGTAGAAGCGCCTCGCCGATTCCAGAGCACCGAAGTCCGGCTTCATTTTGCCTTTCCGGATGTGGATCAATTGAATGGCTGCCTTTATCCGCCTTTGCACTGCGTCCTGTCCAGAGATTTTCGGTAAATTCCAGACAGGATTGTGGACAGCGAGCTTTATTATCATTGGGGATGCTTTGCGGCCTGAAACAATCACGCCCGGCTTGACATTGCCGACAAGCGGGTCCCGTGGATATTTCCTACCTGACCGATAAGGCAGGTTTGGGTGAGTTGAGTGGGAACGATTTGCGCGAGCACAAGGATATGTACGGCATATTTAGAATTATTGATTTCATTTCTCAGATTCTGTCCGAGGGGGCCCGTGTAAAACGCGTCCAGCTGAGCACGAAGAGGACTGTTCACGTGATCGCGTCGTACAGGCACCTTTTGGACACGGTCGGCCACGCAATCTCCTCGACAATCTCTTTCCGTCCCACAACAGCAGGTACCTGTCCATCTATCACACATCATGTTTTGCACGCCTGCATACGCTGTTCCCTGAGTCTATCCGTCAGGACCGCGACATTGGCACGGCGAAGCATCGCCCAGGTTCGTAAACTGCCGAGAGAGAAGCTGTCGTGCATCGCTGGATCTTGTCGGATTCGCCGATGCCTGTCTTGCGTTGCACCACGCCGAACAGAGTGCCGGCCGGACAGGAAGCATTGTTCGGTCACCCAATATCTGACTTCTGTTCCTGGTGCGAACAAAGGCTGTCCTCGCCCCCCCTCACGTCTTCACGGAATACTTAGACTACATCCGAGTGTCAGACGCGGCGCAGCTTGCTCTGTGCGCCTTCCACTCTTTCTTTTTTCTCTTTCTTGGTTTGGTCATCGTCGCCGGAAAGCTTAGAAGATGTCGACACCGTATCTGTCTTTTACGGCCAGCACCGTCGGAGGGGTGCGACCCAATTCGGCTGATTCGCTCAACGGCGGATCCCCCGCATCGTCAGTTTCTTCGACGCCGTCCGCTTCTCCTCGTTCGGCCAACTACTCTGCTGCTGCCCGCGCTAGCAGGAACAACCCGTACCATCACCACCACCAGGCTTCGACCAGTGGTAGCTCGCAGCGACGCCATGTTCGGTCTCAGCTCGGTGTTTCTCACCCGTGGGATGCCTCCGCTGATGATCTCGAACGAGACACGGACTCGGGCCGGGAGGTAGAGCGGATCGAGATCGACGATAACGACGTTGCGCGACACCGACTCGGGATGCAGCAAGCGCTCAATGTGGCCAGCGGAGTGACGATCCTGACGAGTGACTACGACGAGGTCGACGCTCTGCTCCATTCCATATGTTCGTTCGCACCGCGACTTCTAGTGTTCCCAACGCTAATCTTTCCCCGCGCTTACGTTGGCGATTCTAGACGAGAAGACTCAGCAAGACGCCTGGTTTGCCCCGGCCCCTGGCGCTCTCGCTGATGCCTCGCTCGGCGGGGTAGCGATCCGAGTCACGGCACCCGCAAGCACCGGTTCGATTGGCCTCCCTTCTGCAAGCAGTTCGTCATCCAGTTCAGCCTCCGCAAGTGATCAAAGTAAGGTTTCTCCCTCGTGGGGCCGCGGGCCTGATAAAGTTGGTAGCTTCTGGTGGAGCGGAGTTTCGTATCTTTCCGTACAACGCGCCGCACTTGGTCCTCTTCGAGTCTGCCGTTCGAGGCCTGAACCCCGCTGGGGCAGTGCTCGTCCGGAATGCTTCAATCACCGCTGCTGTGGCCAAAGTGTGGGTCCTATGCGTTCTGCGACGTTCGCAGGACTGACTGACGGGACTTCAGACCTGACAATGTGTTCTCTTTGGACGTAGACAGCGAAACTAGGATTCAGGTGCTGCGTAAGCTAGTAGACCTCCCCGGTGCCGAGAAGGATCAATGCGGAGCTTTCATTGTGAGCTGTTGTTGTTCATCTGCACGTTCTCGGGCTAATAACCCGCAGCGCAACCCGCCCTCACTCGTCTTGTGGTCGCCGGAGGTGGAGATGCTGATTCCCCTCGCCGTTGAATTCGAGGAGAAGCTCATCAAGCACGTCTGGAAAACGCGTGTCGTGTCCGAAACGACCCGTAACCGAGACAGCATTGCTGCGCCAGCCGTTTTGGCGTCGATCTTCGGCGGCGCGGCCGAACCTGTTCGCAGCTCCGAGTCCATCGCAGAGACCAGCACCGATGTCGCTGTCGAGACCCGAGTCGGGAGCAACGTCAATCTCAACGAAATAGACAAGGAATCCCGCTTCATTGACACTGAAAAGCCCGAGCAACAGGTGCCCGATCGTGCCGCTGGAAGCAAGCTTTCTCAGTTCTTTGGTCTCTGGCGTTTGAAGCCTCGACCGAGCCGCAGCTCCACGACTGGCGATGCCGAGAAAGGTGGCAAGACAGAGCGCAAACTAGTGATGATGGGACCGTTCTATGCGGGCTGCGGTGCTGGCTTAGCTGCCTGTAAGTCAACATCTCTTCTTGCGTTGATGCCTGACCACTGTCACAGACTTTGTCATGTCCGGTGTGAGTGTGCTGCTTGAAGAGTATGCACTCGATGGGGACCCACGTCGATTCGCTTTGATGTTGACTCTGCCTGTGATCTTCTGTGTTTCGATCGTGAGCATTCTTCGCACATCTTAGCGGCCACATCTGACACTCTTACAGTTCTTCTGTCTCCAACTCGTCGGCAACATCTCGCTCGTCATTGGTCCAGTAGCCCAATACCACGAGAATTCAGCTTTCTACTCTGCTGTCAAGCCTGCGCCCAACCCTGAGGTCGACAACAACCTGCCGCACGTCACAATTCAATGTCCTGTCTACAAGGAGAGCTTGAAAGAAACCATGTAGGCTCGGTTCCGGGTTCTCTGTGCATTGGTCGACTCACGTCATCTGTAGTGGCCCGTCCATTTTGTCCATCAAAAAGGCGATGCAGACGTATGCGCGCCAAGGTGGAACGTCGTCAATCTTCATCTGCGATGACGGGATGCAGCTCATCTCGGAAGAGTTGCGCAAAGAGCGAATGGAATTCTATGCTAACCATAACATTGGGTGAATTCGCTTTTCTGTGTGCAAGTTACCCAACACTGATCATTTGAGCACAGATGGACTGCTCGTCCTGCCCATAATAAGGACGGCTTCTTCCGCAAGGGGAAGTTCAAGAAAGCCAGCAACATGAACTATGGACTGCGTAAGCAAGATGACACGACTCTGGGACTTCCCTCATTTGCTTCCTGCAGAGCTCTCTTTGCGATTGGAGAAGCATCTCGCAGCATTGGAGGCGTCCGGGGTCACCGAGGACGACGGCGAATGTCTCGAAGACAAGGCTATGCACCTGGCTGTCGAGGAGATGTACGAGGAGAGCGGTCGTCGCCACCGGCCCTGGGCGTGCAACGGCAAAAGCTTGCGGGTGGGAGAGATCATTCTCATCATTGATGCAGACACCATCGTGCCTGAGGATTGTTTCCGCGATGCTGCGCGAGAGATGTACGAGAGCCCGGACGTCGCTATCATCCAGCACGAGTCGGGTATGTGCCATGTGATCGATCTGCTCATGACCGAAAATTAACACTCGCGTTTCAGATGTGATGCAGGTAGCGCACCATTACTTCGAGAACGGAATCACGCATTTTACTCGCCGGATCAATCGGTGTATCTCGTACGGATGTGCGAACGGTGAAGTCGCACCGTTCGTCGGTCATAATGCATTCCTCCGGTGGAGTGCCGTTCAGGATGCCGCGTTCGACGACGAGGACGGCAAGAGGTGCCACTGGTCGGAAAGCAACGTCTCCGAGGACTTTGATCAGGCGCTCCGTCTCTTGCTCGGCGGATACACCCTGCGCTGGGCCACCTACTCCGAGGGTGGCTTCAAGGAAGGAGTCTCTCTCACGGTTGTCGACGAGCTTGCCCGCTGGCAGAAATACGCTTACGGTTGTGACGAAATCATCTTCAACCCGCTCATCACGTGGTGGAGAAAGGGACCCATCAGCAAGCAACTGCGCGGATTCGTGTGGTCGGCTGCGCCTGTGCACTACAAAGTGGGAATGATGTCCTGTGCGTTCCCGAGGGCCTACTTCGGTCGTGATCGCTTGCTCATGGCTTCGCAGACATGTTCTCGTACTACGGCATTGCGGCAGCCACTGTTGGCTCCATTCTCAACTATCTTTTGCTCGGGTTAGGCCCTGACCTCGATCGGTTCTATCTGCACAGTTTCGAGATCCTGCTAGCATGCACCGTCGTCTTCCCCGGTCTCGGAAACCTCGGCTTCACGCTGCTCGAGTACCGCATCGGCCACCGGAACTTCTTCTCGGGGATAGTCGAGAATCTGCGATGGGTTCCGTTCTTGTATGGCTTGACATCGCATATCTTGACTTGTCCCTGACGTATCTGCAGCCTGTTCTTCTTTGGCGGTCTAAGCATCCATCTGTCGACTGCCATCCTGGCCCATCTTTTCTCCTATGACATGTGCGTCTGTCCGATGTCTTGTGAAGCGCGAATGCTGACCATCCTGCGCAGGACGTGGGGATCAACGGGTAAAGAAGTGGAGCGCTCAACATTCTGGATTGAAGGTATGTCCTATCTATCATATCATTCCATGTTGCTCGCGCAGTGTCTCATCGGACGTAGTACCTCGCATATGGCAGAACTTCAAGCTATCCTTCATCATCTGTTTTGCCGCCATTGTGATGATGATCGTCTTCACGACTGGCGCCGTCCCTGCCGAATGGCAGATTCCAGGGTGGAACTGGGCTCTGAACATTCCTCTGTCCCTGGTCGTTGGTTGCCACATTCTCCTTCCTATCGTATTGAATCCTTGGCTTATGATCTTCTCGTACTAATATCAATAGACTACAATTATTGTACACCCCACCGCTCGTTTGGGATCTGTTGGACTCTTATCTTCATGTCGTTACTATGTCCAGGACACTGTTTGACATGATAAACATACATTCGGAGTGTATTTGGTCATTTTGATTATACACTACGATGACAGAGGTTGTTACTAGAGATCCATCACTGCGTCTTTTGCTTCTCACTCCCGTTGAGCCACCAAATTCCAGCGTTCAGGTATGTGGCAAACGTGAGCCAGGCGCAGTACGGCAGTAAAAGCTGGCTGGCGGTTGGAGCAATCCCTGAAACCAAGTTCTACATGAACTCCGTCAGCCAACACTAGCCGTCACGCAGCCGGCAGCACTCACGGTCAGGTAGAACGTCGTCCCCGCCATCAGTGCGCTGTTGACTAGTGCGAGACCCGTCTGCGAGGGCGAATCAGGATCAGTCGCACGTCAATTTCTGCAGCACGGCACTGCTCACCCGTTTTGCGCCGAAGAACAACGGTGTCCACGTCAAATTGAGTGCTAGTTGGCCGTAGTAAAGCCACAGCGCCGTCTGGCATTGGGACCTGCATATTATGAATCAGTAAGGGGTGACAACCTCAGACCGTGCATTCGAACGCACCTGACGGTGGACGTGAGCGCGTTATCGAGTGCGCCGACGATGAGGTGCGAGGCGTATCCCATCGCTGTAGCGGCCGTAAATAAGTCACTCGCGGATTGACATCGAACTCAATGTGACGACGACTCACAGACGTAGAGCGCCGGCCAGACGATGGGGAATACCCACCGCGGTGGACGACCCGGGGGCACCTTCAGGTTCTGTGGGCCTCAGCTGGTCAGCGGCGTTAGGGTTGATTCACACGCGAGGAGCCCACGTGCATTGTACCACGGGCCCTTGACCACTTGAGCTGTGGGGTACCCGCTCAGCATGCCCAGCCCGAGCGGAAGCCCGACTGCAACAAGCGGCAGTCGGGCGGCGCCGATGAGGATGTCAGGAAAGAAAGCCATTGTGTGGTTCGACGCGATGCGCCGCGCGTGACGTCATATTTATGGATTCAATCGAGCACATGACTGATGGCCGCCGTAGCTCATTGGTTAGCGAGGCACCTCGAGCCTATGGACACGGTTCAATGGATGAAGCGATCTGCGTGCTGATTACTGACATAGGCAAAGACGTTGTGCAATGGGAATACATCCGAGTTGATTGCGATGTGTGAACCGGCTTGAAATTGCGTCTGAACGCCTCTTGGCTGACGGCAGCAAACAGGGTGGCAGTGGCTGGTCTACGAGCTGTGGTGGCTTTCCGCCCCAGAGCAGACAACATCGGCGTCTGACCGAAAGGTTAGCACGCACTGAATGTACCCATCACATATCATTCGGGGGGCCGGAACTGAGACCGAGCGTGTCGAACGGCCATACACCAATGGACTGAATTCAGAGGCGATATCGATGGTTCAAATGTGCACCCACCTTTGTAAAGGAGCAAAGGACAGACCCTGCAGCGCATCTGCACTCAAGTCTTCGTCCTGTTCACAAGTGTCAGATAACGAGATAGAACAAGACGCGCTCCAGATCGCATCGTAGAGCGCGGAGAGCTGACTTTGTGTGGGACCTGAGACGTCCTGCGTGCGATTGGAAATGAAAGTCAAACCTAGTTGGATGTACGATATCGCGATCGACGTCTTGCAGTTGCCGTGAAGATCGCCTTCGCCGTGGCGCGGGAAGAAGCGGACATAGTGGCGTTTTCCAACGACGATCAGAGTAACTCTTGACCAGATTTCTCAAGATCGTCGCACGCCTCCGCAACTGTCTAGTTCCACTGAGGAATGAATTATGGTCTAGTACCGTGCCTTCAAACAACAGCAGCTCTTCTTCAAGCAACCGTTTTCAGATTGTGCATAAGACACTGTAAGGTCCGGAGTCATGTTTGGAAATGCGTCATCTATAGCGTACTGTCATTCTACTGATGCTGTGGATTCCAGGAGACAATAGATCTGTAGGTTCAGATTGCGAAACGAGACTTGGCCCTCAACTCAGGACCCATGCGATAAAAAATGAACCTGTAGCGAGGCTATTATAAATGCAGTCACGGAAAAGTGAAGAGTGACTTACGGGAGAGGCACCATGATGGTAGCCAGGCCCGCCAGAAGCGCGGATGCGCCAACAGTTCCCAGTTTGTTGTACATGGCGCCGGCAAAGAGCGGAAAGGCGGCAGCAAAACTCGAGCGGAGAGCACTGTTTGCGGCCATGGCACTGGCCGCAATCGGACGATACGACTGCCAATGCACATCAAACCACATATGAGACGCTGGCATATGGACCTACAGTGACAAGATACGTGAACGTTGCCGTGAACACGAAGAAGGTCCCTGTGCCAAAGGGAATCGAGGCGATAATGGGCACAACCCAATGCACGCGCGGATATGTCGTGAATGCGAACCAATACAAAGCTGAGCTAGAGTTGAGTTGTCGTAGACAGTCAGGGAACTGGACTCACAGAGCGGAACCATTATTCCCCCGACCTGTCCCATCACGAGGAATGTCTCGGGAGGTGCCGTGCCCCCATTGGCTGCGGCCGCTTTAGCATGATGTCTGCACGCGCGTTTAGACAATACACTAGACGCGAAAGCTTGACTGAGGCTTGCCTGTCCCAGAGTGGCTGCGTGCTGAGACCCACGATCATGCCGATGCCAATGCCCATAAACGTGAGGCCGGCGCTCTGAGCGTTAAAATGATGCCCTTGCTCGAATATAAGCGGGAAGGCCTGGAACATCAGGTACAAGATTCCGAGAATCAGAGCAGTCCTGATGACAGAGCTGTCAGCATTGCGCAGCTACGCCAAAGGGACGGGCAGACCAGGTATTGAGCAGAAGGGCCATTCTGTCGAATATCAGAAGCTCTAAAGAACACGCTTAATTTTGTGAAAAGGGAGTGAAGAGACCATACTGAATGGAACAGAGCAACTGAGTAGGAGCGACCGAGTGAGATTTATTTCACGGCGGTCAAGTGGCGCCCAGTATCGCTCATCGCCGGTCACTTTGCGAAGTCTGCTGGTGTTTAGTAAATGGATGGCCAGAAGCTAAGTCTCGTACCGGCGCGACTTTCTTTGCAGAAGGACGGGGGAATACGACTCTGGTACAAACTGCATCGAGGGTTTTAATGGGGTGATATGGTGCATGAAGATAAAAACAAACCAGGAAAATGGCAACAACTTCAACAAAGCTCCAAATAAGCAAAATCCGATACGTCCATCTCCAGTATAGATGCTGGTAGTCGTGAATGAGGGAAAACATTTCTCATAACAAAACAGCCACGGACCTGATTGATGAAACCAGACACCGATGGTCCCAAGACTGGGCATAATCAGCACGAACACAAACTTTCTGATTGTGGACAGACCTGGGCCCAAGAACTGTAGATCTTCAGTACATAACGGCCTTCGGGGGCTTTAAAGAGAGATCTTGCTCACCGGAAACATAGTATAAACTGCGATGGGCCTAGGGGCAACAGTTAGCGTGGGACAGACACAATTGCTTTGGCGAATCCGACTGACAATCGGACTTGCGACCCGGAGAACAAGTCTGCCATACTTCCTCCGGCAACACTGAGGAAAGACGCTCCAGTCGCACCAAGTAGGAAACGAAACGTTAGGGCGACACCTGTGACACGAGCGTTTAGTATACTGTGAAGCTAAACAATGAAGACGTACCCAAATTTGGCGCAAAGACGACCGGAACACAGAACAAAACGAATAACGCGTAAGACACTTTGTAGATGATCGAACGCCCGTAAACCTAGATACGCAAAGGATCGGCTGGTGTACCACGTTTCGCGCACATTGCTTACCTCCGAGAATGGTCCGGTAATCAAAGGTCCGGTCCCAAGCCCGAGCACGAACAGACTGATCATGAGGACGGTAGACTCCCGAGATACGTGAAATTCTTTGGCAATCGGTTGTTCGGTGAACGAGGCCTACCGCGGCCAGAGTGAATTGAGGTAGGAGTAGAGTGAGATGGACCCACCATCGACGACGAGCATGTCACACACAGCGATGCCGACGAAATGATCGCGACAACTACCCATTTTCTGAACGTTGAGAATTGCAGCGGATCCTCGGACGGATCGAGCTTGACGAGAAACGGATCGTCTACTGTTGCGGTTCCGGTGTGAGTCGGGGTCAAGCTGCCTTCAGATTTTTCCGTCAGTTGCTCCTTGAGGAGATCCTCATGCAGCGTCTGGTGGGAAGGCGAACTCGTCCCGTCAGTGGACAGAGGGGCAGGCATGAGAGATGGAAAGTCGAACAGTTCTCTGCTGAGGGGACGAATACTCATTACGGCTTTGAATATATACTCTTCGCGAATGACTGCATGTAAAACAGAATTAGTAACGGAGTCCAGACGATTGCAGGCTCAAAATTTCGAAGTCAAACCTGAACCCATCACTTGGCTGCGCATTGATGCCCATTCCACATATAGTAAGTACGCAGGTCCTTAACGCGCTTAAAATAGTACTCACCTGAAGTGATTCTTACTATACATGGCAGAATAGTCCTTCGTACGAGGATCGGGGCAGCCCCACACGTCCAGCGTGATGGGATTTCTGCAGATATGACCGTGGAAAGCCGAAGCGATCGACTGCGATCAATTTCGACCACAGAAGCACGCCTGTTGTGCACCAACCGCCATCAACCCAGAACAGACGCGGTCGCGTACTGGAACCGCTTATGTGCATCGAAACTCTTCCTGTAACAGCTCAACGATACGCACGGAACTTGACGAAGCCATGTGACAACATAATAAGTCATGACAAAGACGAGACACGAGAATTATCCGTGCATGCCACCTGGCACTTGGTTCGATGCGGGATGCGGAAGAAGTCCTCACGAAGGCTCCAAAATTCTTCGACTTGGGATCCAGAAAAACAAAAGGGAAGCGCTGCCCGGTGATGTCCTTGATGACATCATTTGGCTCGCAATGGTCCTCGAGCATCCGCACGGGACATTGATTGGTTTCGTTGATCCATCCGCGATTTACTGGGGCTATAAGCATCCAAGAAGTGATTCTATGGGAGCCTGGGATTTTCCAAGGGGTTCTGTTGAAAATTTCAAATATATATCTGTCAATGTGTAGACTCGATTCACTCGAACCAGGGCTCCGCGGTATCATGTGCGGCGATCAACAAAGAACAACGGGGCTACCGCGTAAGCGACTGGTGTAGAATCCGGCCTCTTGGTGGGAAATCAATTTCGATCACAAGGGTTATTCTGACTTAGCGTTTTGGGACAATGAATGGTCCTTGACTTGAGAATTCTGAGCATATGCACCTCACTGCAGGGGGACTTTTTTTTTCCGCGGAAGACGCAAAACAATCTAGAAGTCCGGTTTTCACGGTTCTGTTTTCGGACAAAATATATATATTGAAAATAAACGTTGATTTATAGCTCGATTTTTACCATGAATAGACAACTATTCCTCCCAAAAACAGAACTGTAAATAGATCATCGTTTTTTCAATCAATTCTCACTAGGAAAAGACGTCAATTTTCACTGAAAATAGAAAAAGAAATGATCTTTTCTCACTGAAAACAGATTAAAACCACTAGAAGATGTAAGGGCAACCTCGAGGCCTGATCTCAGAGTCCTGACAAGGGAGAGTCCAAAGCGTCAGATAAAGGGATCGACTATTACAGGGGACTTGGCAAACCTGACAAGGGAGGTCCAAAGCGTCAGATAAAGGGATCGACTATTACAGGGGACTTGGCAAACCTGACAAGGGAGAGTCCAAAGAGAAACCAAGTTGGGGACTCTCCTTGTCAGGGCCCACTATATATACCCTACAGAACAATGGATGACCAAGCACAATGGAAGCGCCAGACAATGGGGCCAGGGAACAATGAGGGGCCAAATCGGGGAGAACAATGGGAGCCGGACCGTCGGAACAATGGGAGTCCAGGCCGGAGTGTCATGTGGACGCGCTTGGCAGGGAAGTCCGGACCGAAGCATGTGACGCCTGACAGATGGCGCGTGCGCAGTCACATGCAAGATCCCATGATGATCGGACGAAAGCAGGGGTTCCCCTGACAGAAGAATGTGTTAATTCCAGTCCCAATTTGCCTCCTTTGCCTTGCAAAAGGCTACTGAATGCTACTCACAACATGTTGGAATCATGCTGCAGGACTTGTGATGTGAATTGGGGCTAGAATCGACAGATTCTTCTAGTGGTTTTAATCTGTTTTCAGTGAGTGTCAGGGGACGCTGTGCTCCTTGGGCACGTGACCATGCATGTGACCCACTGCGCCCTCTCTGCCGACCCGTGCCTGCTCACCTGTCGATCACCCAGCCTCCTCCTCCTCCTCCGATCCTCATCTCCATCCATGCCGACATCCGCCCTCTTCCTCCTTCCCCTGGCCATCTCCCTCGAATCCCCGCAAGCGGTCTAGCCAAGCTCGATTCCTTGCACCAGGGAGTGCTACTGCCGTACGCACTCCTCCCCCTCCACTTTGGCCTTCTCCCCGCGGATGTGGTCTACTGCCGTACAGGCTCGTACCAGATGCCTTGCGCTCATCCGCACCACCCCTCTTCCCAGTCGGGCATTGGTCCTCGCCTCCGATGCCTCCACTGGCTGGCCCGGCACTGGCCTGGCCACTGGGCTCCTCCAGTGTGGTCTTCCACTGTTGGTGTCTCAGGAGCTGGCCGTCACTGGCCCCTCTGAGCCACTCACTATCTTATCTGGGTTTGTCATTATCTACTTGTCATCTGCCATTGTTCCATGGCAGTGATATCCCATCATCATCAGTCACTTGTCACAGCTGACTATATAGTGTGACACCTGGGCACATGGATCCTTGAACCGTTCTCTAAGGATCCCCCTCTGTGCTCAGGTGAGTAGTATACCTCCCTTGTATTTGATAGTCTCTAAGGATCCCCCTCTGTGCTCAGACTCATGTGAGGTTGTTGTGTGCTGTGTGCTCTCTTCCTTCGGGCTGGCAGGAGTTGCCCTTACAGTGAGAAAAGATCATTTTTTTTTTCTATTTTCAGTGAAAATTGATGTCTATTCCCAATGAGAATCAATTAGAAAAAGATGATCTGTTTACAGTTCTGTTTTTGGGAGGATGTAAGGGCAACCTTGAGGCTCGATCTCAGAGTCCCGGCAAGAGAGAATCCAAAGGTGAATAAATGTGGTGGCTAGGTACAAGACTGGCATACTGTGATAATCAACCCAAAAATAAAGTCGAAAAGAGAAGTGAATTCGAAGACTGGAGAATACAACCAAGTAGCTGCAGTATTTATACCCAAATCCAGTCTGAGTCATATCTACAACTAATGAGTCATAGGGCTATGTACCGCATGGAGCACTGGTCATGGGTTGTAGTAGAATCTTCCGGAGCATATGTCGCGCAGCCTTGAATCGATAAGGATAACCCCTGCAACCCCTAGCCTGGACCGTTTGATGCCGTGATCCGTGATAAGATAAGTCGTGCCAAGATAAGATGAGATCGTCGAAGATAAGATGAAAAAGGGGTCGAATTATGACATTACCCCCTCTCTAGGGTCGATGTCCTCATCAACTAGGCCAATGGGTGTGAAGACGTTTTCGTAGGGATCGAAGAGTTGTCACTGTGGATATGGAAGGCGCTTGTCTTTGGGTTTGTAGCGATGGATGAGATAATCCCAATGTCCGGCTTCGAGAGTTGGCAGGAGGCGAATGCGTGTGTCTGGGTTGGATTGCTTCCTCTGCCAATCTCTCAGGACCTTCTTCGCGTGGGTAAGGTGACGTGACGGTTCCCAGGTGTTCTCGCTGTGCGGCCATCCCTTCCATTTGACCAAGTACTGTTTTCCTCGGCCGACGTTTCGTTCCTTCACAATTTCTTCGACTTCCCACTCTTCTGCTCCTCCGATCATCTTGGCTACGGGCCTCTTCTCTTGGCGATGGGGGGGTGGTTTGTGATAGGGTGTCAACAGTGACTTGTTGAACACCGGATGCCTTCGGTCTGTGTCCGGCAAATCCAGCTTCCATGCAGCCGCTCCAACCTTCTCCAATATCTCGTATGGCCCCAGTCTCTTGTCGCTCATCTTCTTTGATGGTCTATCCGTCTCGATATTTTCCCCTTCTATGTACACCTTCATCCCAACCTTCAACTCTGGAACTTCTTTTCTTTGTTTATCGTAGTATTTTTTCATTTTTTCATTTGCTTTTTCCAATGCTGCTTTTGCTTCGTTGTCATAGTTCGACTCTTTTTCATCTTATCATTGGCGATCTTATCTTGGCACGACTTATCTTATCATGGATCACGGCATCAGACGGTCCGGGCTAGGGGTTTCAGGGGTTATCTCTATCGATTCAAGGCTGCGCGACATATGCTCCGGAAGGTTCTACTGCAACCCATGACTGGTGCTCCGTGCGGTACATAGCCCTATGACTCATTAGTTGTAGATATGACTCAGACTGGATTTGGGTATAAATACTGCAGCTATTTGGTTGTATTCTCCAGTCTTCGAATTCACTTCTCTTTTCGACTTTGTTTTTGGGTTGATTGTCACATAATTCGAAGAATCACCTCATACCCTCTTACCTCATACCTCTTACCCTGCATCCTACACTGCTACGCCCGATATATCCTCTTAACCCTTATCACCCCACTCACCCTTTTACCGAATCATCTAGTCGTCCTCCACTATCGCAGTGAAGGGTTCATATCAAGCAAACAGCACCAGGCCACGGGTAACGTTGAGCCCAACCCAAGCCTTACGGTAGCTACAAGGAGTGCTGCGGAGACCTTCGGGAAAACGTACCTCGGGATCATCGGGCACGTGAAGAGCTAGGCCCGGGATCTTTTTGCTAGCAAAAGAACCCTCCCTCGAGTGCTTGTACAGCACACGAATCCACCATTTCGTACCGATTCCCATTGTCGTCTGGGAGTCCGTCCCCTCCCCCCATCGTACCATCGTTGCCCGATCTGGCGCATCAAAACCAACCCGGGCCCTCCGACTCCTACCTCGCCCTCCCACCGCCTGAAGACGAGATCCCCGACCTCGACGAACTGCCCTCCGAACAACCACCCTCGCCCCCACCTCACACGCCTGCCCCTACCATGTCAGGGCATCACCGCATCACCCTCGCCGCCAACCCCCGCTACTTCGATGGCGACAAGTCCAAATACCTGGGCTTTGTGGACGCGTGCACCACTTACATCGGTGCCTATCGATCGGAGTTCTCGCAGGATGAGACCAAAATCCTCTTTGTCCTCTCCTACCTCCGTAACGAGAATGGCACGAGCTGCGCTGCCTCGAGATGGGCGATGAACTGGAAGCAGCACAACTTCGATGGCTTCCAGGGACTGAAGGCAGGAGTCACATCAAAGAACTTCCTGGAGGAGCTTCAGAGGGCGTTCGGGGATTCCAATGCGGAACAAGTCGCCGCTGCTTGGCTTATGGCCCTGCGCCAAAACAAACGGTCCTTCGCGGACTACATCTCCGACTTTGAGATGTTGGCCGCGGATGCAGGCTACAATGTGGTCGACACCACCGACAACAAAGGCGAATACAAGAAGGGGGACCAAGATAATATCCGCATCGAGTTCCTGGAGCGCGGACTCAGCAGCGAGATCGCCAGCCGTCTCTACAACACTGGTGTCCCTCTGCCCAAGGCCTATGGAGCGTTCAAAGCCTGGTGCATCAACATCAAAGCCAATGCTCTGCGTGACCAGCTGCGCAAAGCGTCGTATAGGCACCCCACACAACGACCACCTCCTCAGTTCCGCCCCCAAGCGGCACCAATGGCGCCCACACCCGCTCCGGCCCGACCCGCTGCCAATGAACCGGTTCCGATGGAAATCGATCGTACCCACGCCCGCGGCCGCAATATCATCTGCTACAACTGTCAGCAGCCCGGGCACATTGCGCGGAACTGTCCGGAGCCAAGAAAGAAGCGCACATTCTTCAATCGGGCCACGATGCTTGAAGAGATCGAGAACAGGGACAAGGACAACAAGTTCCTCAGGGAGATCGCCAAGAAGCTGCGCGAGAAGGGTTTTTGAAGCGCTCCACTCCTCTAGCCAAGGAGGTGGAGCGTCCGGACTATGGACGATTTTCTATACTTGTTTCGATTGAAGATATGAACGATTCTACACATACATACACAATCTCGGACTCACTACGTACGAATATTCACGATTTTCTCATTGCCAATATGGAAAAAGAACGACAAAGAAAAATAGCTTTAAATAGAGAGTATTTACAAAGTAAAAAGGATCAGAAAGCTGCGGATAAATTAATTTTGGACTCCTACGTATTTATGGCTCGTGGAGAAGGAACCACGTCAACAAAGACCGAAAAGGGGAGCATCGCTCCGAAGGCTCAATCCTTGGAAAAGGAGGAAGCGCCTAAGGAATCTGCCGAAATCAAGGTTCCAGAAGCACCCAAACGCACCAGGGTGCCAGATGCGATCCAGAGGAAATTGGCGGCCGAGAGACAGAAGGGCCCGCAGCCCGGCAGACTGGCGCAGGAATTGCGCAACTACCAGGCCAAAAGGAAGAGACATTCGATGGACGTATATGTCCAGATCACGGGTCTGGACTCAGGGAAAACGCGCGGAGTCAAGGCGCTGCTCGATAGCGGCTGCAGTACCTGTTGCATCGATACCGACTACGCACGGGCGGAGAAGTTGGATATTCAAGAGCTTCCACAACCCATTGTGGCCCGTAACGCCGACAACACCGAGAACATCAGCGGTCGGATCACGCATTACGTCGACCTAAGGATGAGAATCGGCCCTCACATGGAGACACACACGTTCCTTCTGACGTGTTTAGGGAAAGCTCGGATCTTCATTGGTCTTGATTGGCTGACGGAACACAACCCCGAGGTGGATTGGCAGGAGCAGACCATGAGATTCAGCCGATGCCCAGAGCGGTGTCACATGAGGGGTCACGAGGAACATCAAGCAATGATTGACATGGATGCAATCGACCTGGACACGTGCACGCCGGATCTGGAAGAGGGAGAATCGATCCTGTTGGTCGATTTTGGGAAGGAAGTGGATCTGCGGCTGAAGGAAACGCCGGCGCAGAAATTCGCAGAAGAAGCGGAGAAAGAGAAGGAGAGGATGACCGAGGGGAAGATTCCGGATCAATATCGGGAATTTGTCAAAGTATTCGCCAAGGAATCGTTTGACTCGCTACCAGACCGACGGGCATGGGATCACGCAATCGAGCTCAAACCTGGTTCCAAGGCAGTGGACTGCAAGGTGTACCTGTTATCACGCAATGAACAAGTCAAACTCGACGAATTCTTACAAGAGAACTTGGCCAGTGGACGGATCAGGCCATCAAAATCACCCATGGCATCAGCATTCTTCTTTGTCAAAAAGAAGGATGGCTCCCTACGCCCCGTCCAAGACTATCGGAAGCTGAATGAGATGACGATTCGGAATCGATACCCGCTGCCGCTGATATCCGAACTAGTCCATAATCTATGTGGCGCCAAGTTCTTCACAAAACTTGACATCCGGTGGGGATATAACAATGTACAGATCAAAGAGGGCGACGAGTGGAAGGCTGCATTCCGCACGAACCGAGGGCTTTACGAGCCCTTAGTTATGTTCTTTGGTCTCACGAATTCCCCGGCAACGTTCCAAAACATGATGAACGACATACTCCGAGAGTTGATCAACAAGGGTCACGTGGTAGTCTATCTGGACGATATACTGATCTTCACAGAAAACTTGGACGAACATCGGCGGATCACAAAACGAGTGCTCGAATTGCTCCAGAAACACAAGCTATACCTGAAGCCCGAAAAGTGCGAGTTCGAACGCACGGAAATCGAATATTTGGGTGTAATTATTGGACACAATTCGATGCGGATGGACCCAGTCAAGATCAAGGGCGTGATAGAATGGCCGGAACCAAAGAGCGTCAAACAAGTCCAAGCTTTCCTCGGATTCACAAACTTCTATCGGCGCTTTGTCCGGGGATACGTGAAGGTTGCCAAGCCATTGACACGGCTGACAGGGAAGGGAGGATGGTCATGGGGTGCAAATGAGCATGCGGCATTTGATGGATTGAAGAAGAGAATCGCGGAGGATGCGGTCCTAGCACTGCCAAATGACACTGGCCAATATCGTCTGGAAGCCGATGCTTCGGAAGGGGCAACAGGATCAGTTTTGAGCCAAAACCAAGACGGCATTTGGCGCCCAATCGCATTTATTTCGCACGCATTGACCGAAACCGAGCGAAATTATGAGATCTACGACAAGGAGATGCTCGCAATCATGTTATCACTTGACGAATGGAGGCAGTTGCTCCTGGGAGCCACGGAAACGTTCGAGATCTTCACCGATCATCAGAATCTCGAGTACTTTCGGAAGCCGCAGAAGCTCAATCGACGGCAAGCACGATGGATCACGGAGTTGGCGGAGTTTGATTTCACCTTACGACACCGACCCGGCGCACTCAACCGCAAGGCGGACCTCCTGTCCCGACGAGCAGATCACGATCAGGGCAAGAACGACAACAAGGACGTCACGCTACTGAAGCCCGAGTTCTTCCGATCACAAGAAGTCACATTCGAGGGACAGGATCAGCAGCTAATCGATGAAATCAAGGCCATTCGATCAATTGATGGAAGTGTCAAGGTGGCCTTGGAGAAGTCACTCGCTGGATGGAAAAAGGAAGACGGGCTCATCACGTACCATGGGAAGCTCTACGTACCAAGGGACGAGGAACTGCAAGACAAGATCATCGGGCTACACCATGGCACACCTTTGGTCGGACACGCTGGGATCAACCGAACACAGGAGATGGTGGAAAGGAACTACTGGTGGCCAAGGATGGGAAACCAAATTCGGAAATACATCCAGACATGCGAAGCGTGCCAACTGACCAAGACCAGGAGAGCAAGGACGGGGACTCTGCACCCGCATGCAGTCCCAAATGCGCCATGGGAAATCATCTCCATGGATCAGATCGGACCCTTGCCGGTCAGTAACGGGTATGACGCAATTCATGTGTGGTGTGACACCTTCACCAAAATGATCCATGTCGAACCAATTAGTACTGACATCAGCAGTGAAGGAGTCGCACGATTAACCAGGGACCGAGTCTTCCGCTACCACGGGATCCCTTGCAAGATCATCACCGACAGGGATTCGCGTTACATCAAGGGCTTCATGAGGGAGACGAATCGGATGTTGGGCGTGGAAATGAACCCGGGGACCGCATATCACCCGATCACGGATGGACAGACAGAACGCATGAATCAGGAGATCGAGCATTATCTCCGCATCTACGTCAATTACCATCAGACGGACTGGTCGGAGTGGCTGGGAATGGCGGAGTTCGCATACAATGACAAGATGAACACGTCTACCAAAATATCGCCATTCTATGCGAATCACGGATATCATCCGTGGAAGGGAGTGGAGCAACGGATGGAATTGAGGAACGAGTCGGCGGAGGAGTTTGTAAAAAGAATCAAAGAAATACAAGACGAAGCAAAAGCAGCATTGGAAAAAGCAAATGAAAAAAATGAAAAAATACTACGATAAACAAAGAAAAGAAGTTCCGGAGTTGAAGGTTGGAATGAAGGTGTACATAGAAGGGGAAAATATCGAGACGGATAGACCATCAAAGAAGATGAGCGACAAGAGACTGGGGCCATACGAGATATTGGAGAAGGTTGGAGCGGCTGCATGGAAGCTCGATTTGCCGGACACGGACCGAAGGCATCCGGTGTTCAACAAGTCACTGTTGACACCCTATCACGAACCACCCCCCCATCGCCGAGAGAGGAGGCCTGTAGCCAAGATGATCGGAGGAGCAGAAGAGTGGGAAGTCGAAGAAATTGTGAAGGAACGAAACGTCGGCCGAGGAAAACAGTACTTGGTCAAATGGAAGGGATGGCCGCACAGCGAGAACACCTGGGAACCGTCACGTCACCTTACCCACGCGAAGAAGGTCCTGAGAGATTGGCAGAGGAAGCAATCCAACCCAGACACACGCATTCGCCTCCTGCCAACTCTCGAAGCCGGACATTGGGATTATCTCATCCATCGCTACAAACCCAAAGACGAGCGCCTTCCATATCCACAGCGACAACTCTTCGATCCCTACGAAAACGTCTTCACGCCCATTGGCCTAGTCGATGAGGACATCGACCCTAGAGAGGGGGTAATGTCATAGTTCGACTCTTTTTCATCTTATCATCGGCGATCTTATCTTGGCACGACTTATCTTATCATGGATCACGGCATCAGACGGTCCGGGCTAGGGGTTTCAGGGGTTATCCTTATCGATTCAAGGCTGCGTGACATATGCTCCGGAAGATTCTACTACAACCCATGACCAGTGCTCCATGCGGTACATAGCCCTATGACTCATTAGTTGTAGATATGACTCAGACTGGATTTGGGTATAAATACTGTAGCTATTTGGTTGTATTCTCCAGTCTTCGAATTCACTTCTCTTTTCGACTTTGTTTTTGGGTTGATTGTCACATTCGTCTTGTATTTCTTTGATTCTTTTTACAAACTCCTCCGCCGACTCGTTCCTCAATTCCATCTGTTGCTCCACTCCCTTCCATGGGTGATATCCGTGATTTGCATAGAATGGTGATATTTTGGTCGACGTGTTCATCTTGTTGTTATATGCGAACTGTGCCATTCCCAGCCACTCCGACCAGTCCGTCTGATGGTAATTGACGTAGATGCGGAGATAGTGCTCAATTTCCTGATTCATACACTCCGTTTGTCCATCCGTGATCGGGTGATATGCAGTTCCTGGATTCATTTCCACGCCCAACATCCGATTTGTCTCCTTCATGAAGCCCTTGATGTAGCGCAAATCCCTGTCAGTGATGATCTTTCGGGGGATCCCGTGGTAGCGGAAGACTCGGTCCCTGGTTAATTGTGCGACTCCTTCACTGCTGATGTCAGTACTAATTGGTTCGACATGGATCATTTTGGTGAAGGTGTCACACCACACATGAATTGTGTCATACCCATTACTGACCGGTAAGGGTCCAATTTGGTCCATTGAGATGATTTCCCACGGCGCATTTGGGACTGCATGCGGGTGCAGAGTCCCCGTCCTTGCTCTCCTGGTCTTGGTCAGTTGGCACGCTTCGCACGTCTGGATGTATTTCCGAATTTGGTTTCCCATCCTTGGCCACCAGTAGTTCCTTTCCACCATCTCCTGTGTTCGGTTGATCCCAGCGTGTCCGACCAAAGGTGTGCCATGGTGTAGCCCGATGATCTTGTCTTGCAGTTCCTCGTCCCTTGGTACGTAGAGCTTCCCATGGTACGTGATGAGCCCGTCTTCCTTTTTCCATCCAGCGAGTGACTTCTCCAAGGCCACCTTGACACTTCCATCAATTGATCGAGTGGCCTTGATCTCATTGATTAGCTGCTGATCCTGTCTCTCGAATGTGACTTCTTGTGATCGGAAGAACTCGGGCTTCAGTAGCGTGACGTCCTTGTTGTCGTTCTTGCCCTGATTGTGATCTGCTCGTCGAGACAGGAGATCCGCCTTGCAGTTGAGTGCGCCGGGCCGGTGTCGTAAGGTGAAATCAAACTCCGCCAACTCCGTGATCCATCGTGCTTGCCGTCGATTGAGCTTCTGTGGCTTCCGAAAGTATTCAAGATTCTGATGATTGGTGAAGATCTCAAACATTTCCGTGGCTCCCAGTAGTAACTGCCTCCATTTGTCCAATGATAGCATGATTGCAAGTATCTCCTTGTCGTAGATCTCGTAATTTCGCTTGGTTTTGGTTAATGCGTGCAAAATAAATGCGATTGGGTGTAAGGGCAACTCCTGCCAGCCCGAAGGAAGAGAGCACACAGCACACAACAACCTCACATGAGTCTGAGCACAGAGGGGGATCCTTAGAGACTATCAAATACAAGGGAGGTATACTACTCACCTGAGCACAGAGGGGGATCCTTAGAGAACGGTTCAAGGATCCATGTGCCCAGGTGTCACACTATATAGTCAGCTGTGACAAGTGACTGATGATGATGGGATATCACTGCCATGGAACAATGGCAGATGACAAGTAGATAATGACAAACCCAGATAAGATAGTGAGTGGCTCAGAGGGGCCAGTGACAGCCAGCTCCTGAGACACCAACAGTGGAAGGCCACACTGGAGGAGCCCAGCGGCCAGGCCAGTGCCGGGCCGGCCAGTGGAGACATTGGAGGCGAGGACCAATGCCCAACTGGGAAGAGGGGTGGTGCGGATGAGCGCAAGGGCATCTGGTACGAGCCTGTACGGCAGTAGACCACATCCGCGGGGAGAAGGCCGAAGTGAAGGGGGAGGAGTGCATACGGCAGTAGCACTCCCTGGTGCAAGGAATCGGGCTTAGCTAGACCGCTTGCGGGGATTCGAGGGAGATGGCCGGGGGAAGGAGGGAGAGGGCGGGCGTTGGCACGGATGGAGGTGAGGATCGGAGGAGGAGGAGGAGGCTGGGTGATCAACAGGTGAGCAGGCACGGGTCGGCAGAGAGGGTGCAGTGGGTCACGTGCATGGTCACGTGCCCAAGGAGCGCGGCGTCCCCTGACACAATCCATCAAATGCCGCATGCTCATCTGCACCCCATGACCATCCTGCTTTCCCTGTCAGCCGTGTCAATGGCTTGGCAACCTCCGCGTATCCCCGGACAAAGCGTCGATAGAAGTTTGTGAACCCTAGAAACGCTTGGACTTGTTTGACGCTCTTTGGGTCCGGCCATTCTATCACGCCCTTGATCTTGACTGGGTCCATCTGCATCGAATTGTGTCCAATAATTACACCCAAATATTCGATTTCCGTGCGTTCGAACTCGCACTTTTCGGGCTTCAGGTACAACTTGTGTTTTTGGAGCAATTCGAGTACTCGTTTTGTGGTCCGCCGATGTTCGTCCAAGTTTTCTGTGAAGATCAGTATATCATCGAGATAAACTACCACGTGGCCCTCGTTGATCAGTTCTCGGAGTATGTCATTCATCATGTTTTGGAAGGTGGCCGGGGAGTTCGTCAGACCAAAGAACATGACCAAGGGCTCGTACAGTCCGCGGTTCGTGCGGAACGCAGCCTTCCACTCGTCGCCCTCTTTGATCCGTACGTTATTGTATCCCCATCGGATGTCGAGCTTGGTGAAGAACTTGGTGCCACATAGATTATGGACCAGCTCGGAGATCAGTGGCAGCGGGTATCGATTTCGGATCGTTATCTCGTTCAGCTTCCGATAATCCTGGACGGGACATAGCAAACCATCCTTCTTTTTGACAAAGAAGAATGCTGAGGCCATGGGTGATTTTGATGGCCTGATTCGTCCACTGGCCAGGTTCTCTTGTAAGAACTTGTCGAGTTTGACCTGCTTGTTTCGTGATAGCGGGTACACCTTGCAGTCCACTGCTTTGGAACCGGGTTTGAGCTCAATTGCATGATCACATGCCCGTCGGTCCGGTAGTGAGTTGAACGATTCCTTGGCAAACACCTTGACAAATTCCCGATATTGATCCGGGATCTTTCCCTCGGTCATTCTCTCCTTCTCCTTTTCTGCTTCTTCTGCGAATTTCTGCGCCGGTGTTTCCTTCAGCCGTAGATCCACCTCCTTCCCAAAGTCGATCAACAGGATTGATTCTCCCTCTTCCAGATCCGGTGCACCGGTCTCCAGGTCGATTGCATCCATGTCAATCATCGCCTGATGCTCCTCGTGACCCCTCATGTGACAACGCTCTGGGCATCGACTGAATCTCATGGTCTGCTCCTGCCAATCCACCTCAGGGTTGTGTTCCGTCAGCCAGTCAAGACCAATGAAGATCCAGGCTTTCCCTAAGCACGTCAGAAGGAACATGCATGTCTCCACGTGAGGACTGATTCTCATCCTTAGGTCAACGTAATGCGTGATCCGGCCGCTGATGTTTTCGGTGTTGTCGGCGTTACGAGCCACAATGGGTTGGGGAAGTTCTTGGATATCCAGCTTCTCTGCCCGCGTGTAGTCGGTATCGATGCAGCAGGTGCTACAGCCACTGTCGAGTAGCGCCTTAACTCCGCGCGTCTTTCCTGAGTCCAGGCCTGTGATCTGGACATACACGTCCATCGAATGTCTCTTCCTTTCGGCCTGGTAGTTGCACAATTCCTGCGCCAGTCTGCTGGGCTGCGGGCCCTTCTGTTTCTCGGCCGCCAATTTCCTTTGAACGGCATCTGGCACCCTTGTGCGTTTGGGTGCTTCTGGAACCTTGATTCCGGCAGATTCCTTGGGCGCTTCCTCCTTTTTCAAGGATTGAGCCTCCGGAGCAATGCTCCCCTTTTTGGTCTTTGTTGACGTGGTTCCTTCTCCACGAGCCATAAATACGTAGGAGTCCAAAATTAATTTATCCGCTGCTTTCTGATCCTTTTTACTTTGTAAATACTCTCTATTTAAAGTTATTTTCCTTTGACGTTCCTTTTCCATATCAGCAACAAGAAAATCATGAATATTAGTACGTAATGAGTCTGGGATCGTGTATGTAGGAGGAGAATCGTTCATATCTTTAATCGAAACAAGTACAGAAAAATGTCCATAGTCCGGACGCTCCACCTCCTTGGCTAGAGGAGTGGAGCGCTTCAAAAACCCTTCTCGCGCAGCTTCTCAGCGATCTCCTTGAGGAACTTGTTGTCCTTGTCCCCGTTCTCGATCTCTTCTAGCATTGTGGCCCGATTGAAGAACGTGCGCTTCCTCTTGGGCTCAGGGCAGTTCCGCGCAATGTGCCCAGGCTGCTCACAGTTGTAGCAGATGATATTGCGGCCGCGGGCGTGGGTGCGATCGATCTCCATCGGAACCGGCTCATTGGCCGCTGTTCGGGCCGGAGCGGGTGCAGGTGCTGATGGTGCAGCCTGAGGGTGGAATTAGGGGGGAGGCCGCGGAGTCGAGTGTGCATAGGATGCCTTACGCAGCTGATTGCGCAAAGCATTGGCCTTGATGTTGACACACCAGTTCTTGAAGGCACCATATGCCTTGGGCAGGGGGACGCCGGTGTTGTAGAGGCGGCTTGCAATTTCGCTGCTGAGTCCGCGCTCGAGGAACTCGATGAGGATGTTGTCCTGATCCCCCTTCTTGTACTCGCCTTTGTCATTGGTCGAGGCGACCACGTTGTACCCCGCGTCCGCAGCCAGCATCTCGAAGTCAGAGATATAATCTGCAAAGGATCGCCTATTCTGGCGCAGGGCCATAAGCCGAGCGGCGGCAACTTGTTCTGCGTTAGAATCCCCAAAGGCCCTCTGGAGCTCCTCTAAGAAGCTTGTCGCAGTGACTCCCGCTTTCAGTCCTTGGAAGCCCTCGAAATTGTGCTGCTTCCAGTTCATCGCCCATCTTGAGGCGGCGCAGCTTGTGCCGGTTTCATTACGGAGGTAGGAAACGACGAAGAGGATTTTTGTCTCATCCAGCGAGAACTCCGATCGATAGGCACCGATGTAAGTGGTGCACGCGTCCACAAAGCCCAGGTATTTGGACTTGTCGCCATCGAAGTAGGGGGGGTTGGCGGCGAGGGTGATGCGGTGATGTCCTGACATGGTAGGAGCAGGTGCGGTAGGTGGGGGCGAGGGTGGTTGTTCGGAGGGTAACTCGCCAAGGTCGGGGATCTCGTCTTCAGGCGGCGGGAGGGCGAGGTAGGGGTTGGAGGGTCCGGGTTCGTTTTGATGCGCCAGATCGGGCGACGATGGTATGATGGGGGGAGGGGATGGACTCCCAGATGACGATGGGAATCGGTACGAAATGGTGGATTCGTGTGCTGTACAAGCACTCGAGGAAAGGTTCTTTTGCTAGCAAAAAGATCCCGGGCCTAGCTCTTCACGTGCCCGATGATCCCGAGGTGCGTTTTCCCGAAGGTCTCCGCAGCACTCCTTGTAGTGTGACAATCAACCCAAAAACAAAGTCGAAAAGAGAAGTGAATTCGAAGACTGGAGAATACAACCAAGTAGCTACAGTATTTATACCCAAATCCAGTATGAGTCATATCTACAACTAATGAGTCATAGGGCTATGTACCGCATGGAACACTGGTCATGGGTTGTAGTAGAACCTTCCGGAGCATATGTCGCGCAGCCTCGAATCGATAAAGATAACCCCTGGAACCCCTAGCCCGGACCGTCTGATGCCGTGATCCGTGATAAGATAAGTCGTGCCAAGATAAGATAAGATCGTCAATGATAAGATGAAAAAGAGTCGAATTATGACAGAGCACTGGGGAGAGCGTCTAGCAGCTCACCTGTGTGAGTGAGAGCTTAGTGTGGGCACTATGCGGGAGTAGTCAAGAGACTTATATTAAAGGGTAATAGAGCCCTCCTTATATATGATACAGGGGGCCGTTTGTGTCTATTTGGGATGGGTCGATATGACTCTAGATGACACGTGATGGAGTCATAGATGTGTATCATGACATCTATCTTGACAGATGATATTTGATCAACAGGAATGGCCGATGAAGATTTTGCTTTCAAACACTATCCCGTGGTTTTCAGCATGGGGGAGTGTTGATCAAATATCATCTGTCAAGATAGATGTCATGATACACATCTATGACTCCATCACGTGTCATCTAGAGTCATATCGACCCATCCCAAATAGACACAAACGGCCCCCTGTATCATATATAAGGAGGGCTCTATTACCCTTTAATATAAGTCTCTTGACTACTCCCGCATAGTGCCCACACTAAGCTCTCACTCACACAGGTGAGCTGCTAGATGCTCTCCCCAGTGCTCAACAGTTCATATCTTCAATCGAAACAAGTACAGAAAAACGTCCATAGTCTGGATGCTCCACCTCCTTGGCTAGAGGAGTGGAGCGCTTCAAAAACCCTTCTCATGCAGCTTCTCAGCAATCTCCTTGAGGAACTCATTGTTCTTGTCCCTGTTCTCAATCTCTTCAAGCATCGTGGCCCGATTGAAGAATGTGCGCTTCTTTCTTGGCTCTGGACAGTTCCATGCAATGTGCCCAGGCTGCTGACGATTGTAGCAGATGATATTGCAGCTGCGGGCGTGGGTGCAATCAATTTCCATTGGAACCGGTTCATTGGCAGCGGGTCAGGCCGCAGCGGGTGCAGGCGTTATTGGGGCACCCTGAGGACGGAATTGGGGAGGTGGTCGTGGCGTGGGGTGCCCATACAATGCTTTGCGCAGCTGGTCGCGCAGAGTGTTTGCCTTGATGTTGACACACCAGTCCTTGAAGGCTCCATATGCCTTGGGCAAGGGGACACCGGTGTTGTAAAGGCGGCTGGCAATTTCGCTGCTGAGCCCGCACTCAAGGAACTCAATCAGAATATTGTCCTGATCCCCTTTCTTGTACTCGCCCTTGTCGTTGGTGGTGGTGACCACATCATATCCCACGTCCGCTGCCAACATCTCGAAGTCAGAGATATAATCCGCAAAGGACCGTTTGTTCTGGCGCAGGGCCATAAGCCGAGCGGCGGCAACTTGTTCTGCGTTAGAATCCCCAAAGGCCCTCTGAAGCTCCTCCAAGAAGGTCGTTGAGGTGACTCTGGCCTTCATTCCCTTAAGGCTTTTGAAGTTGCGCTGTTTCCAGTTCATTGCCCATCTCGAGGCGGCGCAGCTTGTGCCAGCCTTGTTGCGGAGGTAGGAGAGGATGAAGAGGATTTTTGTCTCATCCTGTGAGAATTCCGACCGATACGCACCGATATGGGTGGTGCACGAGTCCACAAAGCCCATATACTGTCATAATTCAGCCCTTTTTCATCTTATCATTGACCATCTTATCTTATCTCGGCACGAATTATCTTATCTCGGCACGAATTATCTTATGACGGATCACGGCATCAGACGGTCCGGGCTAGGGGTTCCAGGGATTATCTTTATTGATTCAAGGCTGCGCAACATATGCTCCAGAAGGTTCTACTACAACCCATGACCAGCGTTCCATGCGGTACATAGTCTCATGACTCATTAGTTGTAGATATGACTCAGACTGGATTTGGGTATAAATACTGTAGCTACTTGGTTGTATTCTCCAGTCTTCGAATTCACTTCTCTTTTCGACTATTATTTTGGTTGATTGTCACATAATTCGAAGACTCCCCTCATACCCTCCTACCTCATACCTCTTACCCTGCATCCCGCACCGCTATGCCCGCTATATCCTCTTAAACCCCATCAACCAACTCACCCTTTTACGGAATCATCTAGTCGTTCCCCGCAATCGCAGCAAAGGGTTCATCTTGAGCAAACAGCACCAGGCCACAGGTAACGTTGAGCCCGACCCAAGCCTTACGGTAGCTACAAGGAGTGCTGCGGAGACCTTCGGGAAAACGCACCTCGGGATCATCGGGCACATGAAGAGCTAGGCCCGGGATCTTTTTGCTAGCAAAAGAACCCTCCCTCAAGTGCTTGTACAGCACACAAATCCACCATTATGTTCCAATTCCCATCGTCGTCTGGGAGTCTGTCTCCTCCCCCCATCTTACCATCGTCGCCCGATCTGGCGCATCAGAACCAACCTGGGACCTCTAATCCCTACCTCACCCTCCCACCGCCTTAAGACGAGATCCCGGACCTCGACGAGTTACTCTCTGAACAACCACCCCCACCTACCACGCCTGCTCCTGCCATGTCAGGACATCACTGCATCACCCTCGCCGCCAATCCCCCCTACTTTGATGGCGACAAGTCCAAGTACCTGGGCTTTGTGGACGCATGCACCACTTACATTGGTGCCTATCGATCGGAGTTCTTGTTGGACGAGACAAAAATCCTCTTCGTCGTTTCCTACCTCCGTAATGAAACCGGCACAAGCTGCACCGCCTCAAGATGGGCGATGAACTGGAAGCAGCACAATTTCGAGGGCTTCCAAGGACTGAAAGCGGGAGTCACTGCGACAAGCTTCTTAGAGGAGCTCCAGAGGGCCTTTGGGGATTCTAACGCAGAACAAGTTGCCGCCGCTCGGCTTATGGCCCTGCGCCAGAATAGGCGATCCTTTGCAGATTATATCTCTGACTTCGAGATGCTGGCTGTGGACGCAGGGTACAACGTGGTCACCTCCACCAACAGCAAGGCCGAGTACAAGAAGGGGGATCAGGACAACATCCTGATCGAGTTTCTTGAGCGCGGGCTCAGCAGCTAAATTGCAAGCCGCCTCTACAACACCGGTGTTCCCCTGCCCAAGGTATACGGCGCCTTCAAGAACTGGTGTGTCAACATCAAGGCCAATGCTTTGCGCAATCAGCTGCGTAAGGCATCCTATGCACACTCGACTCCGCGGCCTCCCCCCTAATTCCGCCCTCAGGCTGCATCAGTGGCGCCCACACCCGCTCCGACCCGGCTGGCTGCCAACGAACCGGTCCCGATGGAAATCGATCGCACCCATGCCCACGGCCGCAATATTATCTGCTACAACTGTCAGCAGCCTGGACACATTGCGTGGAACTGCCCGGAACCAAGGAAGAAGCGCACGTTCTTCAATCGGGCCACAATGCTAGAAGAGATCGAGAACAGGGACAAGGACAACAAGTTCCTCAAGGAGATTGCCGAGAAGCTGCGTGCGAAGGGTTTTTGAAGCGCTCCACTCCTCTAGCCAAGGAGGTGGAGCGTCCAGACTATGGAAGATTTTCTGTACTGGTTTCAATTAAAGACATGAATGATTCTGCACATACATATACAATCTCGGACTCACTACGTACCAATATTCACGACTTTCTCATTGCTGATATGGAAAAAGAACGCCAAAGAAAAATAGCTTTAAATAGAGAGTATTTACAAAGTAAAAAGGATCAGAAAGCTGCAGATAAATTAATTTTGGACTCCTATGTATTTATGGCTCATGGAGAAGGAACCACGTCAACAAAGACCGAAAAGGGGAGCATTGCTCCGGAGGCTCAATACTTGAAAAAGGAGGAAGCACCTAAGGAATCTGCCAAAATCAAGGTTCCAGAAGCACCCAAACGGACCAGGGTGCCAGATGCCGTCCAGAGGAAATTGGCGGCCGAGAAACAGAAGGGCCCCCAGCCCAGCAGGTTGGCGCAGGAATTGCGCAGTTACCAGGCCAAAAGGAAGAGGCATTCGATGGACGTATATGTCCAGATCACGGGTCTGGACTCAGGGAAAACGCGCGGAGTCAAGGCGCTGCTCGATAGCGGCTGCAGTACCTGTTGCATCGATACCGACTACGCGCGGGCAGAGAAGCTGGATATTCAAGAGCTTCCAGAACCCATCGTGGCTCGTAACACCGACAACACCGAGAACATCAGCGGTCAGATCACGCATTATGTCGACCTAAGGATGAGAATTGGTCCTCATGTGGAGACATGCATGTTCCTTCTGACGTGCTTAGGGAAAGCCTGGATCTTCATCGGTCTTGATTGGCTGATGAAACATAACCCGGAGGTGGATTGGCAGGAGCAGACCATGAGATTCAGCCGATGCCCAGAGCGGTGTCACATGAGGGGTCACGAGGAACATCAAGCAATGATTGACATGGATGCAATCGACCTGGACACGGACACACCGGATCTGGAAGAGGGAGAATCGATCCTGTTGGTCGACTTTGGGAAGGAAGTGGATCTGCGGCTGAAGGAAACGCCGGCGCAGAAATTCGCAGAAGAAGCAGAAAAGGAGAAGGAGAGAATGACCGAGGGAAAGATTCCGGATCAATATCAGGAATTTGTCAAGGTATTTGCCAAGGAATCGTTCAACTCACTACCGGACCGACGGGCATGGGATCATGCGATTGAGCTCAAACCTGGTTCCAAAGCAGTGGACTGCAAGGTGTACCCGTTATCACGCAATGAACAAGTCAAACTCGACGAATCCTTGCAAGAAAACCTGGCCAGCAGACGGATCAGGCCATCAGAATCACCCATGGCATCAGCATTCTTCTTTGTCAAGAAAAAGGATGGCTCCCTACGCCCTGTCCAAGATTATCGAAAGCTGAACGAGATGACAATCCAAAATCGATACCCGCTGCCGTTGATCTCTGAACTGGTCCATAATCTATGCGGCGCAAAGTTCTTCACCAAGCTTGACATCCGGTGGGGATATAACAATGTACGGATCAAAGAGGCCGACGAGTGGAAGGCTGCATTCCGCATGAACCGTGGGCTGTACGAGCCCTTAGTTATGTTCTTTGGTCTCACAAATTCCCGGCAATGTTCCAAAACATGATGAATGACATACTCTGAGAGTTGATCAACGAGGGTCATGTGGTAGTCTATCTGGATGATATACTGATCTTCACAGAGAACTTGGACGAACATCGGCAAATCACGAAACGAGTGCTCGAATTGCTCCAAAAACACAAGCTATACCTGAAGCCTGAAAAGTGCGAGTTCGAACGCACGGAAATCGAATATTTGGGTGTAATTATTGGACACAATTCGATGCAGATGGACCCAGTCAAGATCAAGGGCGTGATAGAATGGCCGGAACCAAAGAGCGTCAAACAAGTCCAAGCGTTTCTAGGGTTCACAAACTTCTATCGACGCTTTGTCCGGGGATACGCGGAGGTTGCCAAGCCATTGACACGGCTGACAGGGAAGGGAGGATGGTCATGGGGTGCAAATGAGCATGCGGCATTTGATGGATTGAAGAAGAGAATCGCAGAGGATGCGGTCTTAGCACTGCCAAACGACACCGGCCAATATCGTCTGGAAGCCGATGCTTTGGAAGGGGCAACAGGCTCCGTTTTGAGCCAAAACCAAGACGGCATTTGGCGCCCAATGTCAGGGGACGCCGCGCTCCTTGGGCACGTGACCATGCACGTGACCCACTGCGCCCTCTCTGCCGACCCGTGCCTGCTCACCTGTCGATCACCCAGCCTCCTCCTCCTCCTCCTCCGATCCTCATCTCCATCCATGCCAACATCCGCCCTCTCCCTCCTTCCCCCGGCCATATCCCTCAAATCCCCGCAAGCGGTCTAGCCAAGCCCGATTCCTTGCACCAGGGAGTGCTACTGCCATATGCACTCCTCCCCCTTCACTTCGGCCTTCTCCCCGCAGATGTGGTCTACTGCCGTACAGGCTCGTACCAGATGCCCTTGCGCTCATCCGCACCACCCCTCTTCCCAGTCGGGCATTGGTCCTCGCCTCCGATGTCTCCACTGGCCGGCCTGGCACTGGCCTGGCCACTGGGCTCCTCCAGTGTGGCCTTCCACTGTTGGTGTCTCAGGAGCTGGCTGTCACTGGCCCCTCTGAGCCACTCACTATCTTATCTGGGTTTGTCATTATCTACTTGTCATCTGCCATTGTTCCATGGCAGTGATATCCCATCATCATCAGTCACTTGTCACAGCTGACTATATAGTGTGACACCTGGGCACATGGATCCTTGAACCGTTCTCTAAGGATCCCCCTCTGTGCTCAGACTCATGTGAGGTTGTTGTGTGCTGTGTGCTCTCTTCCTTCGGGCTGGCAGGAGTTGCCCTTACACCCAATCGCATTTATTTTGCACGCATTAACCAAAACCAAGCGAAATTACGAGATCTACGACAAGGAGATACTTGCAATCATGCTATCATTGGACGAATGGAGGCAGTTACTACTGGGAGCCACGGAAATGTTTGAGATCTTCACCAATCATCAGAATCTTGAATACTTTCGGAAGCCACAGAAGCTCAATCGACGGCAAGCACGATGGATCACGGAGTTGGCGGAGTTTGATTTCACCTTACGACACCGGCCCGGCGCACTCAACTGCAAGGCGGATCTCCTGTCTCGACGAGCAGATCACAATCAGGGCAAGAACGACAACAAGGACGTCACGCTACTGAAGCCCGAGTTCTTCCGATCACAAGAAGTCACATTCGAGAGACAGGATCAGCAGCTAATCAATGAGATCAAGGCCACTCGATCAATTGATGGAAGTGTCAAGGTGGCCTTGGAGAAGTCACTCGCTGGATGGAAAAAGGAAGACGGGCTCATCACGTACCATGGGAAGCTCTACGTACCAAGGGACGAGGAACTGCAAGACAAGATCATCGGGCTACACCATGGCACACCTTTGGTCGGACACGCTGGGATCAACCGAACACAGGAGATGGTGGAAAGGAACTACTGGTGGCCAAGGATGGGAAACCAAATTCGGAAATACATCCAGACGTGCGAAGCGTGCCAACTGACCAAGACCAGGAGAGCAAGGACGGGGACTCTGCACCCGCATGCAGTCCCAAATGCGCCGTGGGAAATCATCTCAATGGACCAAATTGGACCCTTACCGGTCAGTAATAGGTATGACACAATTCATGTGTGGTGTGACACCTTCACCAAAATGATCCATGTCGAACCAATTAGTACTGACATCAGCAGTGAAGGAGTCGCACGATTAACCAGGGACCGAGTCTTCCGCTACCATGGGATCCCCCGAAAGATCATCACTGACAGGGATTTGCGCTACATCAAGGGCTTCATGAAGGAGACAAATCAGATGTTGGGCATGGAAATGAATCCGGGAACTGCATATCACCCGATCAAGGATGGACAAACAGAGCGTATGAATCAGGAAATTGAGCACTATCTCCGCATCTACGTCAATTACCATCAGACGGACTGGTCGGAGTGGCTGGGAATGGCACAGTTCGCATATAACAACAAGATGAACACGTCGACCAAAATATCACCATTCTATGCAAATCACGGATATCACCCATGGAAGGGAGTGGAGCAACAGATGGAATTGAGGAACGAGTCGGCGGAGGAGTTTGTAAAAAGAATCAAAGAAATACAAGACGAAGCAAAAGCAGCATTGGAAAAAGCAAATGAAAAAAAATGAAAAAATACTACGATAAACAAAGAAAAGAAGTTCCAGAGTTGAAGGTTGGGATGAAGGTGTACATAGAAGGGGAAAATATCGAGACGGATAGACCATCAAAGAAGATGAGCGACAAGAGACTGGGGCCATACGAGATATTGGAGAAGGTTGGAGCAGCTGCATGGAAGCTGGATTTGCCGGACACGGACCTGTCATAGTTCGGCCACTTTTTCATCTTATCATCAACGATCTTATCTTATCTTGGCACAACTTATCTTATCACGGATCACGGCATCAGACGGTCCGGACTAGGGGTTTCAGGGATTATCTTCATCGATTCGAGGCTGCGCGACATATGCTCCAGAAGGTTCTACTACGACCCATGACCAGCGTTCCATGCGGTACATAGCCCTATGACTCACTAGTTGTAGATATGACTCAGACTGGATTTGGGTATAAATACTGTAGCTACTTGGTTGTATTCTCCAGTCTTCGAATTCACTTCTCTTTTCGACTTTGCTTTTGGGTTGATTGTCACATAATTCGAAGACTCCCCTCATACCCTCCTACCTCATACCTCTTACCCTGCATCTTGCACCGCTACGCCCGCTATATCCTCTTAACCCTTATCACCCCACTCACCCTTTTACCGAATCATCTAGTCGTCCTCCACTATCGCAGTGAAGGGTTCATATCAAGCAAACAGCACCAGGCCACGGGTAACGTTGAGCCCAACCCAAGCCTTACGGTAGCTACAAGGAGTGCTGCGGAGACCTTCGGGAAAACGTACCTCGGGATCATCGGGCACGTGAAGAGCTAGGCCCGGGATCTTTTTGCTAGCAAAAGAACCCTCCCTCGAGTGCTTGTACAGCACACGAATCCACCATTTCGTACCGATTCCCATTGTCGTCTGGGAGTCCGTCCCCTCCCCCCATCGTACCATCGTTGCCCGATCTGGCGCATCAAAACCAACCCGGGCCCTCCGACTCCTACCTCGCCCTCCCACCGCCTGAAGACGAGATCCCCGACCTCGACGAACTGCCCTCCGAACAACCACCCTCGCCCCCACCTCACACGCCTGCCCCTACCATGTCAGGGCATCACCGCATCACCCTCGCCGCCAACCCCCGCTACTTCGATGGCGACAAGTCCAAATACCTGGGCTTTGTGGACGCGTGCACCACTTACATCGGTGCCTATCGATCGGAGTTCTCGCAGGATGAGACCAAAATCCTCTTTGTCCTCTCCTACCTCCGTAACGAGAATGGCACGAGCTGCGCTGCCTCGAGATGGGCGATGAACTGGAAGCAGCACAACTTCGATGGCTTCCAGGGACTGAAGGCAGGAGTCACATCAAAGAACTTCCTGGAGGAGCTTCAGAGGGCGTTCGGGGATTCCAATGCGGAACAAGTCGCCGCCGCTCGGCTTATGGCCCTGCGTCAAAACAAACGGTCCTTCGCGGACTACATCTCCGACTTTGAGATGTTGGCCGCGGATGCAGGCTACAATGTGGTTGACACCACCGACGACAAAGGCGAATACAAGAAGGGGGACCAGGATAATATCCTCATTGAGTTCCTGGAGCGCGGACTCAGCAGCGAGATCGCCAGCCGTCTCTACAACACCGGTGTCCCTCTGCCCAAGGCCTATGGAGCGTTCAAAGCCTGGTGCATCAACATCGAAGCCAATGCTCTGCGTGACCAGCTGCGCAAAGCGTCGTATGGGCACCCCACACAACGACCACCTCCCCAGTTCCGTCCCCAAACGGCACCAGTGGCGCCCACACCCGCTCCGGCCCGACCCGCTGCCAACGAACCGGTTCCGATGGAAATCGATCGTACCCACGCCCGCGGCCGCAATATCATCTGCTACAACTGTCAGCAGCCCGGGCACATTGCGCGGAACTGCCCGGAGCCCAAGAAGAAGCGCACGTTCTTCAATCGGGCCACAATGCTGGAAGAAATCGAGAACGGGGACAAGGACAACGAGTTCCTGAAGGAGATTGCCGAGAAGCTGCGCGAGAAGGGTTTTTGAAGCGCTCCACTCCTCTAGCCAAGGAGGTGGAGCGTCCGGACTATGGACGATTTTCTGTACTTGTTTCGATTAAAGATACGGACAATATTTCATCTACATACACGATCTCAGACTCACTACGTACAAATATCCACGATTTTCTTGTTGCCGAGATGGAAAAAGAACGCCAGGAAAAGATAGCTCTAAATAGAAAATACTTACAAGATAAAAAAGATCAGAAAGCTGCAGATAAATTATTTTTAGACTCCTACGTATTTATGGCTCGTGGAGAAGGAACCACGTCAACAAAGACCGAAAAGGGGAGCATCGCTCCGAAGGCTCGATCCTTGGAAAAGGAGGAAGCGCCCAAGGAATCTGCCAAAATCGAGGTTCCAGAAGCACCCAAACGCACCAGGGTGCCAGATGCCATCCAGAGGAAATTGGCGACCGAGAAACAGAAGGGCCCCCAGCCCAGCAGATTGGCGCAGGAATTGCGCAGTTACCAAGCCGAAAGAAAGAGGCATTCGATGGACGTATATGTCCAGATCACGGGCCTGGACTCAGGGAAAACGCGTGGAGTCAAGGCGCTGCTCGATAGTGGCTGCAGTACCTGCTGCATCGACACCGACTACGCACGGGCAGAAAAGCTGGATATCCAAGAGCTTCCGCAACCCATTGTGGCTCGTAACGCCGACAACACCGAGAACATCAGCGGTCGGATCACACACTACGTCGACTTGAGAATGAGAATCGGCCCTCATGTGGAGACACGCACGCTCCTTCTGACGTGTCTGGGAAAAGCCCGGATCTTCATCGGCCTGGATTGGCTGACGGAACACAACCCCGAGGTGGATTGGCAGGAGCAGACAATGAGATTCAGCCGATGCCCAGAGCAATGTCAAATGAGGGGTCACGAGGAGCACCAAGCGATGATCGACATGGATGCAATTGACCTGGACGCGGGTGCACCGGATCTGGAAGAAGGAGAATCGATCTTGTTGATCGACTTTGGAAAGGAGGTAGACCTACGGCTGAAGGAAACGCCGGCGCAGAAATTCGCAGAAGAAGCGGAAAAGGAGAAGGAGAGAATGACCGAGGGAAAGATTCCAGATCAATACTGAGAATTCGTCAAAGTATTTGCCAAGGAATCATTCGACTCGCTACCGGACCGACGGGCATGGGATCATGCGATCGAGCTCAAACCAGGCTCCAAAGCAGTGGACTGCAAGGTGTACCCCTTATCGAGAAACAAGCAGGTCAAACTCGACGAGTTCTTACAAGAGAACCTAGCCAGCGGACGAATCAGGCCATCAAAATCACCCATGGCATCGGCATTCTTCTTTGTCAAGAAGAAGGATGGCTCGCTACGGCCTGTTCAAGATTACCGGAAGCTGAATGAGATGACGATCCGAAATCGGTACCCGCTACCGCTGATTTCCGAACTGGTCCACAACCTGTGCGGCGCCAAGTTCTTCACCAAGCTAGACATCCGGTGGGGATACAACAACGTACGGATCAAAGAGGGCGATGAGTGGAAGGCTGCGTTTCGCACAAACCGCGGACTTTACGAGCCCTTGGTTATGTTCTTTGGTCTCACGAATTCCCCGGCAACTTTCCAAAACATGATGAACGACATACTCCGGGAACTGATCAACGAGGGACATGTGGTAGTTTATCTGGACGACATACTAATCTTCACAGAAAATCTGGATGAACATCGACGAATCACCAAACGGGTACTCGAGTTGCTCCAAAAGCACAAATTATACCTGAAGCCGGAAAAGTGCGAGTTCGAACGCACGGAAATCGAATACCTGGGTGTAATCATTGGACACAACTCGATGCGGATGGACCCTGTCAAGATCAAGGGCGTGATGGAATGGCCGGAACCAAAGAGCGTCAAACAAGTCCAAGCCTTCCTCGGATTCACAAACTTCTATCGACGTTTCGTTCGGGGATATGCGGAGGTCGCCAAGCCATTGACGCGGCTGACAGGGAAGGCAGGATGGTCATGGGGTCCGGATGAACATGCGGCGTTTGATGGGTTAAAGAAGAGAATCGCGGAGGATGCCGTCTTAGCACTGCCAAATGACACTGGCCAATATCGTCTGGAAGCCGATGCTTCGGAAGGGGCAACAGGATCAGTTTTGAGCCAAAACCAAGACGGCATTTGGCGCCCAATCGCATTTATTTCGCACGCATTGACCGAAACCGAGCGAAATTATGAGATCTACGACAAGGAGATGCTCGCAATCATGTTATCACTTGACGAATGGAGGCAGTTGCTCCTGGGAGCCACGGAAACGTTCGAGATCTTCACCGATCATCAGAATCTCGAGTACTTTCGGAAGCCGCAGAAGCTCAATCGACGGCAAGCACGATGGATCACGGAGTTGGCGGAGTTTGATTTCACCTTACGACACCGACCCGGCGCACTCAACCGCAAGGCGGACCTCCTGTCCCGACGAGCAGATCACGATCAGGGCAAGAACGACAACAAGGACGTCACGCTACTGAAGCCCGAGTTCTTCCGATCACAAGAAGTCACATTCGAGGGACAGGATCAGCAGCTAATCGACGAAATCAAGGCCATTCGATCAATTGATGGAAGCGTCAAGGCGGCCTTAGAGAAGTCACTCGCCGGATGGAAGAAGGAAGAGGGGCTTATCACGTACCATGGGAAGCTCTACGTACCAAGGGACGAGGAGTTGCGGGACAAAATCATCGGACTACACCACGACACCCCTTTGGTCGGACACGCCGGGATCAACCGAACGCAGGAGATGGTGGAAAGGAACTACTGGTGGCCAAGGATGGGAAACCAAATTCGGAAATACATCCAGACGTGCGAAGCGTGCCAGCGGACCAAGACCAGAAGAGCCAGGACAGGGAGTCTGCACCCGCATGCAGTTCCAAACGCGCCGTGGGAAATCATCTCCATGGATCAGATCGGACCCCTGCCGGTCAGTAACGGGTATGACGCAATTCATGTGTGGTGTGACACCTTCACCAAAATGATCCATGTCGAACCAATTAGTACTGACATCAGCAGCGAAGGAGTAGCACGATTAACCAGGGACCGAATCTTCCGCTATCACGGGGTCCCCCGCAAAATCATCACTGACAGGGACTCTCGATACATCAAGGGCTTTATGAAGGAAACGAATCGGATGTTGGGCGTGGAAATGAATCCGGGGACCGCATATCACCCTATCACGGATGGGCAGACGGAGCGTATGAATCAGGAGATCGAACACTATCTCCGCATTTACGTCAACTACCATCAGACGGACTGGTCGGAGTGGCTGGGAATGGCGGAGTTCGCATACAACGACAAAATGAACACGTCTACCAAAATGTCGCCGTTCTATGCTAATCACGGATATCACCCATGGAAGGGAGTGGAGCAGCGGATGGAATCAAGGAACGAGTCGGCGGAGGAATTTGTAAAAAGAATCAAAGAAATACAAGACGAAGCAAAAGCAGCATTGGAAAAAGCAAAAGAAAAAATGAAAAAATACTACGATAAACAAAGAAAAGAAGTTCCGGAGTTGAAGGTTGGGATGAAGGTGTACATAGAAGGGGAAAATATCGAGACGGATAGACCATCAAAGAAGATGAGCGACAAGAGATTGGGACCATACGAGATACTGGAGAAGGTTGGAGCGGCCGCATGGAAGCTGGATTTGCCGAACACGGACCGAAGACACCCGGTGTTCAACGAGTCACTGTTGACACCCTATCACGAACCACCCCCCATCGCCGAGAGAAGAGACCCGTGGCCAAGATGATCGGAGGAGCAGAGGAGTGGGAAGTCGAAGAAATCGTAAAAGAGCGAAAAGTCGGCCGAGGAAAACAGTACTTGGTCAAATGGAAGGGATGGCCGCACAGCGAGAACACCTGGGAACCATCACGTCACCTTACCCACGCAAAGGACGTCCTGAGAGACTGGCAGAGGAAACAATCAAATCCAGACACACGCATTCGCCTCCTGCCAACGCTCGAAGCTGGACACTGGGACTATCTCATTCATCGCTACCAGCCCAGGGACGAGCGCCTTCCATACCCCCAACGACAGCTCTTCGACCCTTACGAGAACGTCTTCTTACCCATTGGCCTGGTCGATGAGGACATCGACCCTAGAGAGGGGGTAATGTCATAGTTCGGCCACTTTTTCATCTTATCATCAACGATCTTATCTTATCTTGGCACAACTTATCTTATCACGGATCACGGCATCAGACGGTCCGGACTAGGGGTTTCAGGGATTATCTTCATCGATTCGAGGCTGCGCGACATATGCTCCAGAAGGTTCTACTACGACCCATGACCAGCGTTCCATGCGGTACATAGCCCTATGACTCACTAGTTGTAGATATGACTCAGACTGGATTTGGGTATAAATACTGTAGCTACTTGGTTGTATTCTCCAGTCTTCGAATTCACTTCTCTTTTCGACTTTGCTTTTGGGTTGATTGTCACAGGACCGAAGGCATCCGGTGTTCAACAAGTCACTGTTGACACCCTATCACGAACCACCCCCCCATCGCCAAGAGAAGAGGCCCGTAGCCAAGATGATCGGAGGAGCAGAAGAGTGGGAAGTCGAAGAAATTGTGAAGGAACGAAAAGTTGGCCGAGGAAAGCAATACTTGGTCAAATGGAAGGGATGGCCGCATAGCGAAAATACCTGGGAACCATCACGTCATCTTACCCACGCAAAAAAGGTCCTGAGAGATTGGCAGAAGAAACAATCCAACCCAGACACACACATTCGCCTCCTGCCAATGCTTGAAGCCGGACACTGGGATTATCTCATCCATTGCTACAAATGCAAAGACGAACACCTTCCATACCCCCAACGACAACTCTTTGACCCTTACGAGAATGTCTTCATGTGACAATCAACCCAAAAATAAAGTCGAAAAGAGAAGTGAATTCGAAGACTGGAGAATACAACCAAGTAGCTACAGTATTTATACCCAAATCCAGTCTGAGTCATATCTACAACTAATGAGTCATAGGGCTATGTACCGCATGAAGCACTGGTCATGGGTTGTAGTAGAACCTTCCGGAGCATATGTTGCACAGCCTTGAATCAATAAGGATAACCCCTGGAACCCCTAGCCCAGACCGTCTGATACCGTGATCTGTGATAAGATAAGTCGTGCCAAGATAAGATGAGATCGTCAAAGATAAGATGAAAAAGTGGCCGAATTATGACACTTCACAACCATTAGCCTAGTCGATGAGGACATCGACCCTAGAGAGGGGGTAATGTCTTAATTCAGCCCTTTTTCATCTTATCATTGACCATCTTCTTTTATCTCGGCACGGATTATCTTATCATGGATCACGGCATCAGACGGTCCGGGCTAGGGGTTCCAGGGATTATCTTTATTGATTTGAGGCTGCGCAACATATGCTCCGGAAGGTTCTACTACAACCCATGACCAGTGCTCCATGCAGTACATAGCCTTATGACTCATTAGTTGTAGATATGACTCAGACTGGACTTGGGCATAAATACTGTAGCTACTTGGTTGTATTCTCCAGTCTTCGAATTCACTTCTCTTTTTGACTTTGTTTTTGGGTTGATTGTCACAGCAGTCAGACCACTACTGTGGAATTGGTCTTATGGGTCTACACCAGGCTCAGGGCTATTAGTGATGAACGCTTGGACCGCGACAATTTCCCAAAAGGGATCTTTTGTTGTGGCAACTTCTCCAAAGGGTCATTCTCTGCAGATGGGAACTTGGGCTGAAGGGCTTAGCAATGCGTGATGTTCTCAATATTACAACTACTACTGGACAGGACTTGGCATTACGAGATTGAACCAATCTTGTCGCGGCAACCTCCGGTTTTGGGTTGGATGTTTCCTCAGATCATGCCACGGCAACAACTTGTCACATGTCAGGATCCACTCGATCACGGGACATTGTGGACGCATCGTGGTGACACCCCCAAGTGTCACAGCAAGTCGTGCCCATACCCAAACACACTGAAATTGACACGGGCTAGATCCGTGAACCGAACCATGTGAGGAACAGCTGGCGTGCCTAGGGCCATACGACTTCTTGGGGCACCCACGTTGGACTCACCCACCAAGACATATCAGTTGGCCAATCCAGCACGTTGTATTCCAAAAGTATGACGCGGTGGATTGACCCACATCAAAAGTACTATATGGACTATGGGGTAGGGTCCTGATCACTCGGGACCTGTCCGATCGTTCAACTTTTCATTACCATAAAAGGCAACCAATCTTAGATAGCGTAGCTACTATGCAGTTGTACAGGACTTTACTAAGCATTGTCGTAGACAGTATAAGTAGCACATCATTTCTTTGTATTAAAAAGCTTTCCCCCGGACTGTGAATCACTCTCATATCAGATTGTTTTGTACAATTTGCGTGCCGCGCAATTCCACCCTAAGAAGTTCTGTTACCCCTGCCCGGTCACGACGAGTTGCTCCCTGAGCGCTTGTAGCTACTGTGATTTGAGTTTGAGTTTTGAGACATCAGAAAGTCGGATTCGCCGCATCTGGTTCAGTCGCGGCATTTAGTGTCGTTGCCTTTGGGCTTTGTTGAGATCGTTCCACACCTCTAGTTTGGCAGTGCGTCAACTAGTTGTGCTCGGGTTGTTTTGGTCAGTTGGCAGTGCGTTGACTTGAGAACTTTGGTTCCACACTTCTTGCTTGGCAGTGCGTCGACAAGTTGTGCTTGGGTTTTGGACATTGGATATTGGCTGTTAGTTGGCAGTGCGTCGACGTGGCATTTTGGTTTACTAGTTGGCAGTGCGTCAACTTAGTATATTGGTTGTATTGGTTGGCAGTGCGTCGACTTGATATTTGGGCTTTGCGTCGCCATCTAGATGCTGTCGCTACAAGGGATCTTAATACTTTGTATTAAGCTCTGACTTGTGACATTGTTGATTGTGATTGGATTAGTGTTGGTTTTGGTTGTATAGAAGATATTGGTTGAGATACCACTGTTTGCTCTATATAAATTCTTGTTGTCGACTTTGTCTTCCGCAACCATTGGATCGGCGTCTATTGAGAGTTGTGATACTGGTGCTCTGTCCACCCCGAAGCCCTCGCATCTTTCACACACTGAGAAGCTGATTACAAGGAGTGTGAACGTGTTTATATTTGGGTTTACTTCATAGTAGATTCACCTGTGAGCGCGCCCTCAGCATTTCAGCGCAGCCTTGAATCAATAAAGATAACCCCTTGGACCCTAGCCCGGACCATCTGATGCCATGATCCATGATAAGATAACCCATGTCAAGATAAGATAAGATTGTTGATGATAAGAAAAAAGTGGTCAAACTATGACAAAAGCGGGGGTTCCATTGACAAGTGTTCCATAAGGTACATAGCCTTGTGACTCCTGGTAGATATGATTTGACCAGGGCTGGGTATATTTACTGTAGCTACTAGTGTTGTATTCTCCAGTCTTGGAATTCATGTTTCTTCTTGACTTGTATTCTTGGGTTGATTGTCACATGAACCACCTCAGACAGTTGATAGTGGCTTCTGTTTCAAACTCTCATCAGTTTGCAAGATGACCAGCACTCATAGATGCACCCGCTTTTGTTTGGATGCCCTGCCAGTCTCAGATTGTGCAAAAAAAAATTGAATACCCCGAATGATGTTGGTGGATATGTATGGGATGCACTGTCTGTCTACTGATGCTGTGGATGCTTGAAAATAACAGCTGTAGTACCCTTTTATACTGCGAAACGGGACTTGGCCCTCAACTCAGGACCCATGCGATAAAAAATGAACCTGTAGCAAGGGTATTATGAATGCAGTCACGGAAAAGGGAAGAGTGGCTGACGGGAGAGGCACCATGATGGTTGCCAGGCCTGCAAGGAGCGCCGTTGCACCCACAGTTCCCAATTTGTTGTACATGGCGCCAGCAAAGAGCGGAAAGGCGGCAGCAAAACTTGAGCGGAGGGCGCTGTTTGCGGCCATGGCACTGGCCGCAATCGGACGATACGCCTGCCAATGCACATCGAACCACATAAGAGACGCTAGCACATGGACCTACAGTGACAAGATACGTGAACGTTGCCGTGAACACGAAAAAGGTCCCTGTGCCAAAGGGAATCGAGGCGATAATGGGCACCACCCAATGCACGCGCGGATATGTCGTGAATGCGAACCAATACAAAGCTGTACCAGATTTTAGTCGTCCTAAACAGTCACAAGAATGGGCATACATAGCGGAACCATGATTCCCCCGACTTGCCCCATGACAAGCAACGTCTCGGGAGGTGCCTTGCCCCCATTGGCAGCAGCCGCTCTGGCATGGTGTCTGTATTTATGTTTAGCCAATACACTAGACGCGGAAGCTTGGCTGAGACTTGCTTGTCCCAGTATGGCTGTGTACAAAGACCCGCGACCATGCCGATGCCGATGCCCAGAAAGGTGAGGCCGGTGCTCTGAACGTTGAAGTGGTGCCCTTGTTCGAATATGATCGGAAAGGCCTGGAACATCAGGTACAAGATTCCGAGAAGCAGAGCAGTCCTAATCACAGAGCTGTCAGCATGTGCCCGGCTGCTCCAAAGGCACGACCAGACCAGGTATCGAGCAGAAGGGCCATTCTGTCGAACATCAGAAGCTCTAAAGAACAAGTTTAACATCGCGAAAATGAAGGGAGTCAAGTGGCTCATACTGAAAGGAACATAACAACTGAGCAGAAGCGACTGAGCAAAATTTATTTCATGCCGATCCAGTGGCGCCCAGTACCGCTCATCGCCGGTTTCTTTGCGAAGTCTGTCAGAGTTTAGCGGATAGATGGACAGAAGCCAAGTCTCGTACCGGCGCGACTTTCTTCGCAGAAGGACAGGGGCATACGTTTCTGGCACAAACTGCATCGAACGTTTCAATGGGGTGATATGATACTTGGAGATAGAAAACAAACCAGGAAAATGGTAATAAGTTGGACAAAGCTCCAAATAATCAAGATCCGATACGTCCATCTCCAGTACAAATTCTAACAGTCGTGAATGAGGGGAGGTTTCCGCATTCGGAACAGCCACAAACCTGATTGATGAAACCGGACAATAATGGCCCGAAGACTAGGCACAATCAGCACGTACACCGACTGTCTGATCGTGTACAGACCTGGGCCCAAGAACTGTGTACCTTCAGTACATAACAGCCTTCGGGAGCCTTACAGAAAGGCCTTGCTCACCGGAGACATGGTATAAGCTGCCATGGGCCTAAGGTATCGATCAGGAAGACAGACGTAACCAGTTCATCGAACTCGACTGACATTCTGACCTGTGGACCGGAGAACAAGTCTGCTATGCTTCCTCCGGCAACACTGAGGAAAGACGCTCCGGCCGCACCGAGCAAGAAACGGAACGTAAGCGCGACACCTGCGACGCGAGTCTTCAATATCGTGATGCTGAACCAGGAAAAACGCACCCAAATCCGGTGCAAAGACCACCGGAAGACTGAATAAAACCAGTAACACGTAAGAGACTTGGTAGATGATCGAGCGCCCATAAACCTAAACAGACAAAGGATCACCTGGTGTAACGCGTTTCGCGGGCATTGCTTACCTCCGAGAACGGTCCGGTAATCAACGGACCCACCCCGAGCCCAAGCACAAAGAGACTGATCATGAGGATGGTCGGCTCCCGGGATACATGGAATTCTTCGGCGAGGGCTTGTTCGGTGAACGAGGCCTACGATAGCCGGAGTGAGGTGAGGATCACAGGAGAATGAGAATGACGCACCATAGACGATGCACATGTCACACAAAACGATCCCGCCGAAATGACCATGACGACGAGCCACTTTTTGAATGGCGAGAATAGCACTGGGTCCTCAGAGGGATCGAGCTTGACGAGAAACGAATCATCCTCCGAGTCTTGGGCCTTTTCGAGTCCGGTCCCGGTGTGAGTTTCCGTCGGGGTTGGGCTGCGTTCGTGTTTTTCCGTCAGGTTCTCTTCATGCAATGTCTGGTTGGAAGGTGTATCCGCCTCTTCAGTGGATATGGCAGAAGACATGCAGGAGATAGAAGGTTAAACAGTCCTCCGCCGCCGAGACACTCATCATAACTTCGGAAACAAACTTGTGACCAATGTCATGATGACGCCTATACCTTTTAACAGACTGCTTACGGCAAGGTTTGAGGTTGAATTGATCCCTTTCCTGCGCTCTCGCTCTGGCACGGTTCTGATTCAACTTGGCCAGTGAGTCGTCTTCGATGTGCAGCTTCGGCGTCTAGTCGGTAGAGCAAGAGTATAGTAAGGGTAAGTCAGTCTTCCTGCCATGTATAGTAAGTGCTATTTTGAGTGCAGGGTCCCTTGATTCGAGTGTTCTATGGTCACGTGATTGACATTTGACTTGATGAGACTCGAGTAGACTTCAACCTGCTTGAACACATCCTCAAGGATCTCAATGACATCGTCGCGAAGACCGTGACGGAAGTGCACGGCGCCATCGTAATCACCATCTCGCTCGGACATGAACTCGAGGCTGTCCCACCACGCACGAGCCGGCGGCCCAACATGTGCTCAAGAATCTGCCTTTTAAAGGGCGCGTCAAGCATAAAGTCTATGCCACTCTTTATCTCGACCCCAGGCCCTGAGCTCCTGGACCGAACGCTACGTCTTCTCTGTGGGCTTATTCTTGCGCTTCTTCTCTTTCTCAACATGCCTCGGGACATGAGCTACAGAAAACCAGTCCCTGCTTACATTCCTTCTCCTCCACCTTCTCCAGCGGCAGGCTTCCGCGAACGCATGTCGTTTGGAGATGCTAGTGGCTACCCAGAAGACGTGCCGGGCAGCGTGGCTGACTCGTTCTCCAACCATCCTAATTCCTCATTGTCCTCTGTACACACACTGCCGAGACATCGAAATGAGCTGGTCTCAGGTGCTCTACAAGTGCCACGGATAGCACCGCCTGTATACGTCAGAACGAGCTTTTTCCGGGTGCAAGTGCGTGTTTCCTTGCAGTTGAGGTCGATCATGGCTCACGACTCCCAGACCTACCGACCTCCTACCCCACCCAAAGGACGAGAACCTACACACTTGCCCAAATACCAGGTCAGCATCCTCGAAGCACCCGCTCATAGCAACTCTAAACGCATTTCTCCAGCCTCGACCGTCAGGCATGTCGTCGCAAAACCAGTCCTTTTCACACTGTTCCTCAATCTTGACATCGTCCACCTACGTCGACTTGAAACTCGCCACCGTAGAGAAATCTGGGAATCGCTCATGGTGGCAGAAGCTCAAAGATTGGGGTCGCTCGATTAGATCTCGTGCGAGGCAGCGCTTTCGGGTCTGGTTACCTTGATTCAGGATGAGAATGTGGCCCATTTGTGTAGGTCCATTTACTCAATGTAGCCATCAGAGTTATGTATCTGTACGTACGTACGAGTTCAAATGAATATGTATCACCTCCTCGACGTTGTCGACATCAGCGATTAACTCACAGGCTGCATCGGATTACACTACAGTACCCCTATTTCTAGTTTCCTCGGCCCGGAGACAGACGTGGTGACCCGATTGATGCATTGCAAATACGTCAACCTTGCACTCCAACTCTCTGTTCCAATGCATCTATAGGCTGAGCCTTCACCGACACAGACACTGAACCTCCGCGTCGATGGGTGGTGACCCGAGCCAGGCGAGAACGCTTGACGGATTTAGAGAACTAGAGGGACGCGAAAACCGTAAAACGCGTCTGAAAGCTTTGTGGCAACAACTCGCGGCTCTACACGATAGCGCGCAGTGCGCAGAAAGGCGGCGAGGCGATGACGGCGGGCTCAGCCCCGAGGCGGCTCAACGGCGGATGGGGGCGTACGAGAAGGAGCTCCTGCGTAGATGTGATGGTCACAGCTCATCGTTGTCGCCGATGAACATCGGATGGAGGGAGTTCAGAGAGTATGCGGAGGCTAAAGAGACAGGTTGGTTCCCTTTTCTGCGGCGTTCTTCTCAGGCTGAATGTCCCGTCGCAGAGCTGTGGCACGTCTTCCACGACGAGTTGGATCTAGACGGCAATGGGCGGCTTGACGCGCAGGAGCTGAAATCAGCGCTGTTGACAGTTGGTTCGTCGTCTGAAACACCGTGTCGATATTCTGCGCTCAATCACGACTCAAGGAATTTCGCTCTCTGCGCCTAAACTAGAAGAGTTTATCGGTTTTCTGACTTCTTCGCCTGGGTCAAAGTCTATTAACTTCGCCCAGTTTCGCGATTTTCTTTTGCTGCTACCTCAGAAGGCCTCGCCACTTGAAATATATCGCTATTATGAGACGAGGAGGTTTTTGGGAGACGACTATCGCGGGGCTTCTCGTGTGACGATGGAAGGTGTGCATCCATTAATCTCTCGAGTATTTGCATGCTGACAGGAAGTAGGTGACGTCAGTTTGAGTGCCGAAGACCACCGGCCAAGTCCTCAATCAACGAATGAGCACGCTCTCCCGCGCACTGCCAATCACGCTCCAGCTACCGAGGACGCGGCTGAGGGCGGGCAGCATGACCATGGATGGCTAGACGGACACACTGCCATCAAATTTCTTTTGGCGGGTGGTATTGCAGGCGCAGGTGAGTTATTCTTGGTTCGCATTGTACGAAATCTGATCTCCGTCCCAGTTAGTCGAACCTGTACAGCGCCTTTCGACAGACTCAAGATCTTTCTCATCACGCGTCCACCTGACCTTGGCGGTGTGCCTTTAAACTCGCCGTCTCTCGGTGGCGCTCGAGTCATCGCTGGCGCCATCGCACGGATCTACTCGGAAGGCGGCGTGTTGGCTTTCTGGACGGGAAACGGTCTTTCGGTGGCCAAGATCTTCCCTGAATCCGGTAGATATATCCGTCTTGCCTCATCTCTTCCGCGGCCATTGACGCGTCCACAGCTATCAAATTCTTCACCTATGAGTCTTCGGTTCGTATTTCGCTCTCGTCGACTCTGACCTGACTGAGGTGAACTGGTAGAAACGCGCCTTCGCCAAGTACTGGGATCATGTCGATGACACTCGGGACATACATGCTTCCAGTCGTTTCCTATCTGGTGGGATCGGAGGCATATGCAGTCAACTCAGTAGGCGATGGCCTGTTTCCACGCATCGGGACATGCTGACAGTCTAAAACCAGGCATCTATCCAATTGAAACTCTGAAGGTAAATCCCTTTGTAGTCCCTCGCCAAGGTTTACCAATCCAGCATCGCAAAGACCCAAATGATGAGCCGAGCGCGCGATCCCGCTAATTACGGTGATTGCGTTACCTGCCCCTACTGCGGTTGTCGTTGAACGTCTCTACAGGTCAAGGAAAGGGCCTGTTCAAAGTGAATATACGCCGTCTCATCACCTCTGTATTAACTCGAACTTCTCTCAGCAAGGCAGAATCATCTCCGCTGCCAAACACCTGTGGTCTTTGGGAGGCATGCGTGCATATTACAGAGGCTTGACGGTGTGTTTTCTGATGTTGTCCCATCCCATATCTGATGACGTCGCTACAGATCGGATTAGTGGGCGTTTTTCCATATTCCGCCATCGACATGAGCACATTCGAGGCGCTGAAGATTGCGTACCAGCGATCGACAGGCAAGGAGGAGCCAAATGTGCTGGCCCTCCTAGCGTTCGGCAGCGTCTCTGGCAGTGTGGGAGCCACCAGCGTGTATCCATTGAATATGGTCCGGACCCGGCTACAGGCGTCAGGATCCTCCGGTCACCCTCAGACTTATACGGGTCCCATGGACGTCGTCTATAAAACTTGGGAACACGAAGGCTGGCGCGGGTTCTATCGCGGTCTTCTCCCTAGTCTGGCCAAAGTGGTGCCCGCGGTTTCGATATCCTATGTTGTTTATGAGCACAGCAAGAAAAGGTGGGCATTCTTTGAGACGGCTCTTCCGCGGTGGACTGATGACTTTCAGATTGGGGGTTTGACTGGACTTAACATAGTGCCTGTACTGTTTGACTCATCTACACCATACATCTGCTACCGATACAATCTTCTCGTACTTATCTATCTATTATAATCTGTGTACCACCAGTATCGGGCGCATATCAATGCTAGCTATCGAGAACATGATCAACACATTCGCCGCCACATTCAATGCCGTTCCACAAGTGCACACCCTCTCTTCGCCTGCGTCCGAGACATCTCTTACTCTCGAAGTACTGCTTGATCTTGTTCGGCTGCTTGCACAAATTTTCTGACCAGGGTGCATACGACCAGTGATGCAACTTACCGCCAAGGCACAGTCTCGACTTACCCCACGTCAACGCAGAGATGTCCATGTTGTCTGCAGCGATCGGATGCACAAAGCTAGGGTTGATCGAGCTTCGTGGCAGAGGGCATCGCCAGGGAAAAGATCACACACCCCTATGAATGGCTACCGACAGACTGACATTTTTTGCATCGAATCCTGATCGAAATAAAGCGGCTCAACGGGCACACGAGCGGTCTACAGAGATTCTAGCTGCCTGATACCTTCGCAAGCAGGAAGTGGGATAGGGGCTGGATGTTATGGAATTCGTGAGTGGAGATGGTGCGGGAAATGCATTACATTTGAGTTTACTATGTGGTATAACATCTATGATATGGACGCGAAGGGTGGTGTAGTATTCAATACATAGTGAAGATCCGGACTGACATTAAGAGGCGTAGTCGTAAGTAACGGACGATAGATGGGAGCCGATAGATAGGGTGATAAATGCGACATGCAGATGGCGAGGTATGTGATGCAGAAAGCGAACGCTGCAACGAAGTGGTATGGACAGCACGAAAACCGATGGACAAAACGATCAATGCCGAGCTTTATGACTGTCGAGCCTCCAGGACCCGTTTCTCATCAACCAGCGTCGAAAGCTGTTCATCCAGCGACGGTTCTCGAGAACGCGAGCTGCCGCGGATCTTCGTTCGCCAATCTTGAACCCATCCCACACTCCATCTGCCAGAACGCTTTTCAGAGCTCGGAGATGACTTTTCAGCCTCAGCTGTCAAAAAGCTGCGCAGATGGCTACGACCCAGAACGGGAGCCAAAGACAGGAATGACAGAAGTACAAGCTTGATGATGATCTCCGGAGAAGTGAGAAGAGATGAGACGGTCTGGGGTGTCGGGGACGGATGCGAAGCAACCGTTTGGAGAATATCTCCGATCTAACAAGACATCAGCACACAGCAAAGGATAGACGGGCAAGACTGACCTGACAGGTCACCGCAGTCCACGGCAATGATCCAATGAAACATCCCATTGCGCAGTCCCACAGTGTTACACCACAGACACCGCATGCAATGTTGATCCCAGACCATGGCACCACGCCAATCAATCGCATCACGCACAGTCGCACCCAAGCGGGCGAACGCGCAGTCGTGTCCGTGTCCGAGGACGACGCGTCAGACCCGTCGAGGGCACGGCGCGTCACATCCAGTGCACGGGGGAAGAATCGGGTTATGACAGGTCCTAGGGGCATAGCAAGGAGAGTAGCACACAAAGAACCGATCGTCGTCAGTGTCGTCAGCAGGATTGTCGCAAATGCGGGTGAGAATAACGCTCCAGCCAGGACGTTCTGACGTAACAAGGTGGTCAGCAATTGCCTGGGCAGATAGGGATTCGGAAGGCGCGCACCCATATGACGCTACCCGGAACAGACCATGCGTGCTTCCATATCGCCGTAAGGGAGAGGACCGCTACGACATGGGTGGTCTGAATCGGCCCGCTTTGACAATACCCGTGGAGCTCCCTGCCAAGCTGAGCAAGATCGGGCAGGGTGTGCGGCCATGAAACGGTGATCGGCAGAGTCGTAAGACTGAGTAAAACGAGCGCCGTCGAGAGCGGGAATAAGATAAGAACAAGGATTGCAGGCAGGTGCGCCTTTCGAACGCAGCAGTCAGTCTGGTGGCCAGTACAATCAGCATTGTGAACTTACGGAAGAAAACCGGGACTGTGACGCAGGGGGCGGCGCCAGGTCCGTTTTGGAGAAAGCAGTTTTGTAGGCTGGAGTGGAAAGAGGGAGCACGAGTTCTGGAGTCCCAAGATGGGGGGAGGGACGGGAATGTGAGGAAAGATGGGTCCAATCCAGGATGCGAGAGGCAACGAGGTACAACATGGGGGACTCGGGAGCATCGTTAGGTGCCTGCGCAGCTCTCCGTGTACATACAGACAGAGTCTTTGACGTCGACGACGAGCGCGCACGCGTGAAGGATGGTGGGCTGAGCATAAAAGAAGAGTAGAGGAAGAAGAGCCGGGAACACAACCAGAACTTGGAAATTGTCAGCATGTACATCATCACATCCCGATTTGGAAGCTGCCGATCTGGAGCCTTAGATATCCCGGCACAATTCGTCCGCCTAAGAAAAAAACAGAAGTAGAATGGTGCCCGCAGGCCTTCCCTAGTGCTGCCTCCAAGGCCCCGATCGACCGTACGGGATTTTCTGCTGCATATGGGTCGTACGAGGGAAAAGATCTCGAAGGAGTCAGTCGGGGTTCGGCTTGTGTAGGTCAGACAGTGTGCGTCAGCAGCGTCAGATCTCTGTCAGTGACTTTTCACATCCCGAACGCGCCGGACGACCTCACGTTTCTGCGTTTACCCAGTCTCAAAGATCATCCGATCAACATTGACAATTCGACAAGGGCAGGATTCTGGTCTGTCCACCAAGGCTCACAAAGGCAAACTCCAAGGCAGACATAAAACTGCCATTCATTTCGACGTCAGGGAACATTCTACGAGCGTGTGCGCTGTCACAGACATTGGCTAGATTCTCGAAAGCCGGCATTTTGATCACAACGTAACAGACATCGCGGATTATTGGAGGCGGAGAAGAGAGGGAGCAAAAAAGTCGTGTGCAGGCCCACATAGTCGCATGAGAAATACAAGGCAGCATAGGGTTCATATTGATGCAATCCAACGCTCTAGTGGCCCGCCCGTCTGCTCTCCTGGATGACACTCTGCAGCTCCTCCAACTTGCGCTTCGAGCGCAACAATGTCCCAAGCTGAGAAAAGGATGAACGATGCAGCAAAGCGATTGATGAGATAATACACACCCGCTTTTTGGTGAGCTTGCGAGCCTTTTTGTCCTATTGGTCGGGATGGTAAGGCAGGAAGGAAAGATTGCTTCGAGGGACACACCTTGGAGTTCCTCAACAGCTCCATTACCCGACGCTCATAGGCAGAGAATCCGGCCACCTCACGAACGATCGACCGAACGAACTTCGTTTTTGTGGATTGAACGCCTGTGATCTTGTCAACATCTCCGTAGCAGGCGCGAACGAAGAAACAAACCCTTGCGCTGGCTGGGACGGACGGTCTTGGGGATGGCCGTGGTGGGGTGGCCGCGGTTGAGGCCATAACTGATGTCTATGCAATCACGTCAACGAAACCAGAAGAGTGAGAGCGGAACGGGCGGCATACTGGTACGGGCCATGGCGTCGACTAGTCTTGAGGGGATGCTTGGAATTTGCAAGGTCGGCCTTGTTCAGACGCTGATGCCGAGCTTGCTAGTAGCACGTGATCTTAATCACGTGTGATGAAATCGATAAGGACCTGATTAGATTGACCATTGTTATGTAGATTATCGGAAACTGTTACCAGAAAAACAAAAACAAAAGATAGACAACTAAGCCAGCCCCATGATCTCTGCCGGCCGTCGAACAATCTTTAGCTTTCCTGGGGTCATGGTGACAATGGCTGCCTTTGAGTCTCCCACGACTATTGGAACGGCTCGGACTGCGTGGCTCACTGTCACAGGGACATTCGCTTGTCTATGGCCATGACGCGTCTGGCCTTGCATTGCTTCCCCATCGTCGTCTTCCTCCTCTTCCTCCTCCTCCTCATCGTCTTCATCGTCGACTGCATCCTGTGCGAGGTGTTTGATTACGCCGACAGGAACGAACGTTGAGAGCATACCGGATCAAAGTCTTCCATCTGCCTGTCCCCTCCGTCCTCGTCGTCCTCGTCATAATCTTCCTCATCTATCCATCGACCTCGCCAATCTACCTGATCCAGTTCCTCCGGAGATTCTGGCCGCAATCGTAGCCACTGCATTCTCGGCCCACACTTGGCTCGTTCGCTGACTTTGAAACCGTAGATTCGTGGAACATAAACGTATCCATTGGCCCTCTTTTGCCCGCCGTATGGATTTGGGTTGACGAAGGGTGTCCCACGGTTCAGTGCAGCACTACGTGGAGATGCCTGACCTGGCGGAGGAGGTTTCCAAAAGGGGGCCGGAGCTGATTCGCGGTAGTTCTGGAAGAAGAGATGCGCGAAAGTGGTTCCAAAGAAGGCCCCTGTGGCAGCAGACCTGAGCACGATCTGAGTATCGATGGTGGTTAGTACTGACCATCGACACCCTGGAAGCGGCTGCTAGGGGGAACATAGATGTCGTTGCAATTTGGACAGAACAGTTTCACTGTATCCAGTCCGGGTATATCAGAGCGTCCACAAGGTACAACGTTGCAACCAACGCAGTATACGCGGGGACATGAGCCAAAAACACCACTTTCGTACTTTTCCACCTAAAGCAATCCAAATGTCAGTTACAAGTAGACATTCAGACGGGTCAGAGAGTTACCATAGCTTGCTGACCTGCCCTTCCCAAAATGTATCGTTGATGCACCATCCCATAGAGCATCTCTGCCGATGATTCTACGATGGACACGTCGGGTATCTTCGCTGCATCTTCATCTACGCGTTGTTTGCATCGGACTGTCAAGCCGATATAGATTCTTCGCACCTGGTTCAACGTCCAAGACCATCTCCATCGCTTCTTTCCAAAAAGGCACCATCGAGTTCAGACCAGTCAAATTGAAATCGTCTTCGATGAACTCTTCGCTGACTTCGCAGAAGTATTCGTGCCCGGGGAGTGAGCAAAACCAGGATATCCATGTCAAAGTGGAGGTAGGAGTAGACGACGCTATGAGACGGCGCGTGGCCATTCGTCATTGAAAGATGGGGAAGAGCAAGACGCTGCAACGCACTGTATCCGTCCTCCTGCTCATCTTGCTCTTCCTGCTCCTCCATGACTTCATCCCCTCCACTTATGAGTTCTTCGGTTGGCCGCGACATTTCGGAAGACGCGACGTGATGGTAGAGGTGAAAGGTGTGTATTGTTGCAATCAAAAACTACACCGGCTAAACAAGACTTGGAGATCTTAAGAGCTGACTCTCACAAGCGCGCAACTCATTGAATATCATGTCTGCGACCGCTCACATCCTCTATTTGCTCTGTTCCCGCACACGATTTATTATCAGATGTGATTCTACTGGGCGTTGTGGATGGCGCCGGGACTCGCGATGAGCCTCAAGCTAGTCAAAAAGACAGGTCTGCGTCGTCGAAACTTTGCCACCCCAAAGTGGACCGCCAAAGATACAGATAACGATAATTTGACCCAGGATCCCTGTGACCAGTGCGTATCTATATCGGTGCCCAACGTTCTTCAGCGTCCATACTTCCGCGAAGAATGTGCTGATTGTAGTCAGACACCCGCAATATCCATCCGCCAACCCTTGCAAGATATCGCAGCTGGCAGGAGACACAGGATGGTTCGATATGCTCTGTAGGCTATGAAAGGCGGACAGAAGCGCGGTGCCCAACATGTTGGCAGCGAACGTCCCTAGCGGGAATGCTGGGACGACAGGGTTGAGGAGAATCCCAAGGACGTAGCGGGTGAGCGTGCCGGGGAACGAAAAGAGCATAGCGGCGGTGGCGTCAGGGCGATATGCTCTGGGAAGGAGGAAAAACGTTGGCAATGTTGCAGCATAAACACACACGCTGATAACCATGAATGTGACACGTGCAAGTTTCCCTGGCGGAGAGAGGGTAGGGAAGAGCTGCGCCTGGACCGCAAGCCGGGCGACGTGCATGCCATATTGAAGGGACGCCAGCGACACTGAAACAGTGAAGACAATTTTGCATATGCCATCTATTGCCTGGAGCAGAATCAGAGTGCACGCGGCAGAAGATTCAGACACAAACATCGCTCAGCCCGGAACGCGAATCACCGCCTGCGCTGATCCATGATTTGTATATGTCTAGCTGCCAGCTAGAGAATGTTGTCAAGGAGCCACAGAAACCTGTCCGCAGATAAGAGAGCAAAGGAGGCCAGAGAGTTGAATTAACCGGAGGTAAGAGCTGTGTACGCTGGGGGATAGCTGGTCAAGCTGAGGGATCCACTCGAATCATCCTGTCAGGGAGGACTCACTACCGGCTGAACGGATCCTTCAAAGCCAAACAGAACCCCATGACGAAGCAACCGAGCGCTTGAGAGTATATGAGCGCGAAGATACTTTGTCCATTGTATGTCGTCAACGCAGTCAAACCCAGTCGCGCAAGCACTCCGAACACGGAAAAGGGCATAAGCAATGCGATAACATCTGGAGAGAAAGGATGGAACGTCTTGGGAACCAGTGGGGGTTCAGATTGGGAAGGGAGGGCAGGGCCCATGCCACATGAGTCGAAGGAGGGAAGAACGACAGTGAGCGTCCGAAACAATCACTTCCCGGTCGTATTGGTCCACCAATCACGACCGCACTCATTAGCATGCTTGCCAACTGTTCGAAAAGACACGAGCAGTGATAGTAGTGAATATAAAATCTTGATTGGATCGATTGTAAAAAGTTTTTTTTTCCTACTACACGCGACATCTAAAATCCAACTGCTTCCGTACCAACAGAATAGCTCCCACTCCGACGGGACAGGCAAGTGATGAACGACCCAGGTACGACTGCCGCATTGAGGAGGCTGATGGACAGCGTGTTCGAAGGAAGCGAAGCTCGTGTGCAGTCGGAAGAGACACGCAAGCATTATATCCGTCAGTGTCTTCTAGGGCCCCGCCATTAGGTGGAACGGCATCAACATTGCCGTGCACCTTGGTTTACAGTAGCCCAAGATGTAAGATGAGAAAATTTGGGGAAGGAATTTTGCTTTTATAGCTGGTGCTTGCGTAAGCCCTTACGTCAGACGTATTCGGCACCGGCCCCCTTCATCCTTCAATTGGCCTTCGTGATGCGGTTTCATCAAGACTGGCTTTCGCGACGACGTGTTATAAATGGCACAAACAAGTATCAGGCACCGTTCTCTCCACCACTCTACCTATACCCCAACCTCCACGCCAACAGCTTGCACGGTGCCGTCAGCTCGATTTGCCAAGTCCTCGGCATTTCATGGGCAGTCCCCGCCGCAATCCTTCAGATTTAGTTTCTCGGCTCAAGGGTCCGTCGCCATTACCCGTTCAGCGCGGGGGGCAGCAACCCAAGATGCGATCTTCATCCATATCCGCGATACCCACCCACTATTATGTGCTCTTTGCCATATATGAACCGTGTCTGACCACGATCGGCTTTCTGGGCGCGTTGATGTGAGTGCTGGTTCGTCCCGTATCTTGTGCGTTGTGCCTGACACAACCCAGAGATCCCAAAGCTGTACGTCGTTCCATGCCTGTGAGGTTGTCGCACTCATCTCAACTGCCTCCCTGAAGACCCATGATTCCCAAGCCCCCTGGCCGAAGTGTGTGAGAATTTCCGGATGTATGCGCACATACCGAGCTTGATTTTCACAGCGGAATCGCTCCTGATGGACTACCGCTCGCCACGCGATTAACAATCGTACAACTTGGACATGTCTGTGCACTACTGGGCTTAATCAACGTCTGTATTCTTTCGGCTGCTCGCAAACATCTGGCCTTCAATCCGGCTCTCCAGGAGAAGGCGCGTGCTCCCGGGTCTCACTCACCTGCATAATCTCACGCGGTACAAAAGATTGCTTCGGCTCTCCTGACACCCCTACTTATAGGGGACATTGCGCACCTATATCTGTCACTATACGCGCTTGGACCTGGGCGATGGGATGTGCTGAAATGGAGTCCAATGCTGATCACGACTGTTCTCCTTGGGTTTTCTCTCCTTATTCCACGGGTCATGTGGTTCATGGGCGTCGGCCGTTATGTCGACAGCCGCGATGGGCCAACTACGAGATCATCAGCATAAATGTAATTGTACAGGTTATCTTAATCCCTCCTAGGAATACACAGCAAAGCATATCACCCTGAAATGCAGACAGATTAGACTAGTACGGTGCATTGACTATGCCAGAGTGGCTCTGCGAAACCCGGCGCGGAACACCGAGCGAGGCTCGGGTCGGGCGTTTGAGATGTTGCTTGTTCACGGCAACGACATTGTTCTTGAGGGCGACAATCTTCAACCATGCGTTAGCTCAGCGGTCTCGCCCAAACAAAATTTCAGGCCTTACGATTTCTTTGTCGTCTCCAAACCTAAAGTTATCTTGAATAACCATATCCTCATACTTTTTGATTTCGTATTTGTCCAGCAAGCCCTTCTTGACTTTGCTGAAGTCCCAAGCAATCACAAATTGGCCAGTGGACGTGACGATAGTGTTCTCAGAGTCGGTCTCAGATTGGTTGAACCTGTGGGCTCATGAATACTGGAGCAAGTCATCGGAGCGCCACCCACCTAGCTGGTGAGAACGAGATGTCGTGATTCATGTAGGCCACGTGTTCAGCGCGAAGCTGCAATCGACGAGGAATCGGCTTGGCATTCGCCGGGAAGCTCCGGTCGAAGCCCAGGCTACCTGCATACCGGCCCTCACCGATCAAGGTATCAATCAAAAGCAGATATGTTTTCGTAGTGGCCACAATGTAACGTCCGTCGGCGGTGACATCGACACCGAGAATGGGGTCGCCCAATGGCGGCAGGGCTGTCTTGGCATTTTTCCCGATCGAGTCGAACAGCCGGAGGTCTCCCTTCTCACTCGATACGGCTAGCTTACCGTCCTTGGTTGTAGCAACACCGGAGAACTTGTTCTTGGCAACATACTGCTTGAACTGACTCTCAACCATCTTCGTTCCCGAAACACGCGGATCAATCCTGAACAGCGCGTTGTGAGAGGCGCCGACGAGTGTTTGCTCTTGTGTCGTAGGCGCAAACTTGCTCTCGGGAGCGATATGATCCACTTGTATGTCGTCATGCACCTTCCATTCTTCCACTATCTTTCCGCGCTCCAAGTCCAGACTATAGAGCGAATGTGGATCGAGTGGATTCTTCAGGACCATCTTGGTGTCTTGATCGTGCAGCATGACCTTGGCCTCTGTCAGGAACAAACGGATGGCCGCAGACAGGTCGCACCTTGCTGGGGCGGAACTCCTTGCCCTTCGGTGTAGTAAGCTTGTCGATAGTGCCCCCGTATTTCATATTAAAATCGCTGCCCCTCGTGAAGAACCCGATCTTGCTGCCTCGGACAACGTAGGATCTGTCTCCCTTGTATCCAACAGTGAGCTGTGAGTTGTGTTCACCGTCAGCGGGTCGAGGATTGTCCTCGTCATCTTCTTCCTCTTCTTCTGTCTCCTCGTCTTCCGAATCACTGGGCTCTGCAGTGATGCTTAGTGAATTTTCGACTACGCCGCGGTCGAGACAAACCGTCAGCGCCCAACTCCGAATGGATCTGATCTTCGTCTTCCTCGTCATCAGATACATCAGGCATGTCCACGTCTTCATTTGCGCTCATCACATAGCTTTGCTCATCAGGCTGAAAAATTGTCAATGGCGGGATCAATAACCATGGAGCGACTAACCTTAGCTTTGGCCCACGCCGTTTGGTATAGCGTCTCCCATAGCGCTTGCGTGAAAGTTTGGAGGAAAGGCTCGTAGTCTTCGAGGGAACCAAAACGCATGACCCAGCTGGTCATGTTACCGTCATCCCCCATATGATTCCATGTGAACGATCTCATCTTGCTTGTCCATCGCTGGTTCATTTCAGTGCGTATCTTGTGCGCTAGCAGTTGTCCGTCCTCGTTGGAAGCCGTCAACCAGCTTTCAAAGGATTCCCCGCGTAAGATTCGTGCCACAACTTGACCGTGCTCAACAAATTCAGCGATATCGCTGTCCCAGAAGAATAGAGCCGCCTCTTTCTCAATTAGAACAGGAAAGTCGGCAAGCGCAGAGACTGCTGCTGGGGCGACAGGAGCAGATGCGACAACAGTCTCTTGAGGTGCAGCGACTTTCTTTCGGCGCACAGGTGGATTCACAATAGGAGGTCTGGAGGTAAATGAGATACAATCATCGGATGATAATAAACACACTTGAATACAAACTCCTCCAGATCCTTATCGCTGAGATTGTCTGCGCCAGCCTTATACTTGCGCTCATACATGGCTCGGTACATGCAGTTTCGAAGAACGCACGGGTCGGCGCGTTCGTGCCGACCGCCACATACTCGTAAAACTCGTCCACGTCGCCTTGCAGATCGCGCCAAATGAAATGCGGTTCACCGTCAGTTTCTCCAGTTCGGAATTCAAGCTCTTCTGCGATCAGAAATGTCTTCTCCTCGTCGGCTATGGTTCCATATCAGACCAGTGCAGAAGGAAACAATCAGCAGGGGCGTACTCTCGTCCTCATCTTCCAGTAACTCTTGGTCCCCTTCTTCGTAAACTCGTGTGATAACAAGCTGGAAGTGATGTTCCACAGCAGAAACGCGTCGGATGGTAGCCATGGCGTCATTGTATCTGGAAGTGCCACACTCAGCTTGGTGCATATCCATAGCACGAAAGTACCCACATGCATTCCCGGAAGTCCGGATGTTTCCTGTTGAGTTGAGATTATATCCCCGCTTACAGTGGCTCACAGACCTGGGCGAACAAGGTAAAGTTGACCGGCGGGAATCTTGACGACCTCGGCGGCATTGGGATCCTCTGGAAAGAGTAAGCGTTTGATCCTAAAGATTGAGGAGCTCACGGACGCCACACTTTGCCGATTACTGCAGACGAGGTCAGCGGGTTCAGCGGATCAGGGATATTGGGCCACCCACAGCTCTTGAAGATGTTCATGCCTACTCCAATGATGCGATCTTGCAAATACGAGAGGAAGCAGCACGCTTTAATCGAGGGGTTGCCTCACGATGTGAGATGAAGATCGAGATAGACACTAACAAGGAAGTAGGAGAAGGTGCAGGTACTGGGCAAGTCAGGTCAAGTCACAAACGCGTGACACATTCACCGCGTGACTGCCGGTTTGGCTTTCATCTGAACTTATGGCGACTGGGACGACCTCCTCAAATCCTCTCTTTTCATCGACGTTTCCTCATTCACCAGGCACATAGAATCTCCTTGAATCCAACTGATGCTGATGTCAGGTCTCTAGGCAACGTCGGCAGCGTGCCATCCACTCCTGTGCAAGGTCATTCCTCCCGGACAGCTGGCTCCGAAGTGAGGGCCTCGACGCGATTTTCTTCGTGTTTGATGCTGAAGTTCTCTGCAGTTCAATAGCCAACCCGTTGGGTCGCCAACATCCACGCTTTCTGGTCTCGGTGACTCGACCTCTCGGCCCATCTTCCGGTCGAGCTTTGTTCAGTCAATGCAAGCGCCTGGTACACCTCTAAGGCCCCAAAACAAGATTATCAGATCCGACCCCTCACTGCTCACGGCATTTGACCCGGCGGATCGCGAGCTATACGATCTTTGGGCACCGAAACACTAGTAGGCAAGGCTGTATTGTCATGGAATCACAGAGTATCAAGGAACATGGCCAATCCTGAACCAAGTGCGTTATCCTTAGGCTTCTCCTGCTTTTCTCGCTGCTTATTCCGTTCCAGCAGAAACTCCAATCCTGCCTCTTCTTAGATCTCGAGCGGCCTGGTAACATCGTGCCGGCTTTGGTATCGGTGGAGGATTTTTGTGCTTGGAGAGCGGGGTTGGCGATAGAAGACGAACTAGATAATGGCGGGATCGGTGTTTCAACGGATTGTGTTCTCTGTGGTTCAGGAATGGGATTTGCAAGTTTAGGCGGCGAAGATGTGCGGGCTGACGACTTCCGCGACGGAAAAATTGTGGCATTCCCTTCGATCCTCGGCGTATTCTGGATCCAGCCACATATCAGGCAGGTTGTTTGCATGACCCGGTCATTCTTCGTGTTCCGGGGACGCTTCACACGGACGCTTCGCACGGAGCTATCTCCGCGATGGAGCGCGCACCCGCACCGCAGGCAGCAGTAAAGAGTCGAATGCACGCGAGACGCATGCAGCGAGGATAAATTGGGTGCAATGGGCAATAATGTAAAGGGCAAAGCTAGCTGGAAGCGCCGAGTCGCGTCGTCCATGAAAGGAAACAATGACCAAATGACCAAATGACCTATAAACCAGGGTAAACACAGTCGACCCATTTGGCAATATGCTTTTGTTCTTCTTGACGCTTCACGAAACAAAGACATGCCTCGGCCCGTCAATAAAGACAAGCCTTTGCCCTGGCCCTTGTTTCCCTCCAATCCCCACGTCCGTAACGTTTTTTACTCTCTCATACCATCATCATCATGCCACCTCGCCCCTCCCTGGCCATGCCTTCCCCACCTGTCTCCTACACCTATAACGCCAGCCCGGCCTCATGCGAGGCGGTTGACAGTACTCCTCGCTCACCCACCCCCACTACAAGCACACATCACAGTCGTCGTCCATCCATAACCAATCCAATGCATTGGCTTTCTCGTAGCTCAACGCAACTCTCGCTGAAACACACAGCACGCATCTCAGAGCCGAAGCCCATCTCAGCGGACCTATTCTCTTCCCGGGCCGGGACTCTTGGGTCTGGGGCCACGGTTGTGAAGACCCCGGAGGAGGCACTACGCGACACTCGAGTGCGCTTGACGCACGATGGCTATTGCTCAGAAGCTGGGAAAAAGGAACAGGAGCAATCGCCCCGTACTTCGTCTTCTTCCTCAGAGGACGAAGACGAGGACGAGATTCCATCCCCTCTTGACAGCCCTCCTCTGCCGGCTGTCCCAGTAGACAGGAAGTCGTCGACTAGCACGCTCGATGAGTTCCCCAGCCCGCCGGCATTCACGTTTCCTCCACGACCTACTCGGGCTGTACCTTTGACCCCAGCACTATCACTGCGCTCGTCCCTCAAGTGGTCTGGGACCAAAAGTGCCGAATCGCTGCCTAGTGCTTCTGTGAAAATGAACAGCGCAGAGCATGTTCCGACCCTCACCGTTCCCTCGTTGCCGGCCAACATATCACCCACCCCCAGCCCACCACCTTTCAACGCGATTCTGGTGTCGGAGTCGCCGATTTCGACCCACTGCCCGATGATTGTCTCTCTAGAGACGTCGACGACGACACTGAAGACGACGATGGAAACACTGTGCAGTCGACCCTCCTTCCTGTCGCAATACATGGGGCAGTTCGGTCGGCGACGGGTGGACTCATCCGCATCTTCTGTGTATTCCACCGCTAGTGCAGACCAGGACGTCTATCGCCGACATCTCGCGTCACAAGGGCTGTTACCTCACTCGTCGTGCAGCGTCCATATCTTCCTCGATCGCCCAGCGAGCCGTACGCGCATATTCTGGCCTATCTTCGCTCACCGTGTGGTACGGCAGAATGCCCAGAGATGCTGCCTACTCGAGCGAGTTCAGCTGGCCTGGACTCGTTGCTGGAGCTGCGAGATGAGGCAGCCTATCTGGGCCTAGACGGCCTACATAAACTGTGCGTCGACGAAATCGGACACATCCGCTCGCGAGGACTTGCACGGCATCGTGGTCCTAAACCGGCTTCGATGCATAGCCTGAGTGCTTCTATCAGCAGTCTACATACGATGCTCGAGCGTGTAGAGCGGCATCATTCGGATGATGCGGGCAGTCGCTCGTTGCCTACGCCAGACTCGGCTTTGTCGACAAAGCTGCCGCGACACGCATCCTTGCGAACTCCTCCAGCTGGCTGGATCTGAGAACCCACGGCTGGAATCTTGACGCAGTATTCTATTTATCTCAGGCTTAACGCTTAATCGGTAGTCCCTCGCAGAGCATGATAAGTAATGGCATTGTTGTTTAAGACTTCCTCGTGCGAAAAGATACAATACACAGTTCGAGAACGAATCAGTATGGCTTGCGACAAAAAAGGGGAAGAGGCATAGAGAGTAAAGTACATGGTTCGAGAAAGTTTCCCCCGTTCACTTGTTTTGTTCGGCATAGGGATTCATACTGTAGACCTTGATGACCGGGGGACTCTTGGTCAGGTCAGCAGTGACAATCACCTGCACGGGATGATGAGCGGCGATTCACATAGACAGCTGGAACACGCACAGGGACAGTCATGAGCTCGCGGATGTCCTGATCTTGTGGCCCGCAGCAGTGGTCCGAAGCCCTTCGAATTGGGGCTGGACCTTAGCAATTGACAACAGCCGCTGCGCCGATGTCTCCGGAGGTGAGGGAGCAACCTCGGCCCGACCAAGAACGATCTCGTCGTCGTCACCCTCGTCCTCGTCGAACAGCGCACTTTCGTCGTGAACAGAGCGAGACGCGACCTCCATCTTGACCGCATGCTGCTCGGCATTCTCCTTGACTTTCTTGAGGTGCTCGTCGTCGCTGTTCTCAGCAAGCCACGTGATCACATCGCGGGTTGACCAGTAAATCTGCAACGTGTGGGTATGATCATCGTAGACATGATTCTGTTGGATGTGTCAGTGTATAACGAGAGCCGTTTTAATATAATGACGTACGTCGATAGGCATTTGGTCGACATGCACACGCTTCTCGATACCGAACTCGGAACCAACACATCGAACGCCGCATCGAGGACACCCACAACCTTGGCCTGTCGGACAACAGGCCCGAAGCGCTGAGTCAGATCGGCGATCAGGACACAGAGGAACAAGTGCGCAGATTGTTCCTGGGCGAGCGTCGCTGAATCTCGTTTGCTGCAAGCACGTTCAGTCAGGGAGGCTTCTCAGAAGCAAAGCTACTTGCATGTTGCATTGCTGGGCAACCTTGGCTACAGCATCGCGATCCATGGTGAACTTGGGCTCTGTAAATACATCAGATCAGCAAGCTTTGTCAGCAGCACTGCTCCCACTCACCGGCGCTGGCAGCGCCCTGCAAAACCGACTCGAGCTGGCGGTGGACCATGAGATCGGCATACCGACGGATGGGAGACGTGAAGTGGGTGTAGAGCGGAGTGTTCAAGGCATAGTGACTGTATTTGGCAATGTCAAGCATGCCGGCGCAGAAATACTTGGCTCGCTGCGTAGCCTTGAACGAGAGTAATTGAAGAAGACGACGAGCAGTAGGATCGGCAACTGCGTCAAATGATTTCATCAGTGCACCAGCTGACGATGTGTCCATTTGGTATCCCAGTCTCTGAGCACGCTCAGTGAAGGCGACCAGACGGCGTTCGATCGGGTTGTCGTGTCGACGGAGCAACGCTTGCTCAGGAAGGTGGACAGCAATCTGCTGCGCGACAGCGATGTTGTCATGAGCATAAACTGGAAAAAACGGTCAGTGCATCATCTCTTGGCCCGTTTCACTGGTCTCACCTCCTCAATCAACTCGTTAGCGTCAGTACGTTCGTAGGTCCACAGTCGACGGCATGCCGTTGTCGTCGAGTTCGAAGTGAAGGCGAGGAGAATCCAAGCTTAGCGTGCCATTCTCGAAGCGGCGAGCACGAAGCTTCTTAGCTATACCCTCAAGAATTTTGATGTCGTGCTCGATGTCGACGGCGGCATGCTCAGCTGCAACAGCAACGCTCCCCAACGACTTGCCCTCGATCACGTTCTGGGCGTCTCGATATGCGAGCTGGGCTGCAGACTTGATCACGGTCTTTCCAAACCACTTCTTGAGCACCACTCCTTCGCCAGTCATCGTGAAGACCGCAGAAAAGGCCAATCGCTCCTTGCCAGGCACGAGACTGCACAGTTCTTCGCTCAGCGACGGAGGCAGCATCGGCACAGCACGTTGCACAAGGTCACACTCGTGGCACGCTTGCGAGCATCCCGATCCAGAGCAGTGTTGGGTTTGACGAAGAAAGATACGTCAGCGATGTGAACACCGACATCGTACGTTCCGTCTTCGTTCAGCTTGACTGAGACTGCGTCATCCAAGTCCTTGGCCGTCTCCGGGTCATGGTGAAGACGCGCTCAGCACGAAGATCCTTGCGTGCCTCAAGCTCTCTCTCGGGAATGCTACCAGGAATATGAGGAATGGAGACAACGACAAAGTAGAACACTCACGTCCAGGGGTAGAGGCAAGCCTTGATAACATTCTCAGTAAGTCCTCAGTGGGGAGTTGCAATCCTTGAGTAAAGCACTAGTCTCGACCTCAATGTCGCCGATCGGTCCTAGCTCTTCGACCAGGGTCCCGAACGGATGGAGAGAGCTGATGGGCTACAATAATTGTGAGAAAGTGCATCAAAATTGACTGGATAAAGCTCACGTGGCGCTTGATGCAAGCCACAAACAGCTTGTCGACATAGCTCTCTGAGTTCTGCACGAAATCGGGAGGAGCCTGTTCAGTCGGGATCGCAATCAACGGGACACGCTGTCGGTAGGCTTGAACCAGACGATCTTGGGGCGCTCGATCGGGGCACGACGGGGTTCGTCACCCCGATCACCTTCACGCTCGCGACGTTCCGCCTCCTGCTTTTCCTTGGTAGCAGCAGACGACGCCGGAGCAGTCCGAGCGTGCCAGAGAAAAGCTTGGCCAGTCATGCGCTCGACGACGGCAACGACGTGGCCCGCAAACTGAGGCTTCACATCATCGGTAACCCTAGTAGAATAGCTGATCAGCAGAC